CGGTAAAGGGGATTGATAGTAACGTGGACTGATGATCTTATTGCTAGCAATGACCTCTACGCGGTTGCCCCTGGAAACCATCATGATAAATTCCTCGTGAATTTGTCACGATGGTCTAACTGACCTGACCTCATGCTCATCTTATCATCTTCCACTGGTGCCCCGCCAGCGTAAACCGTTAGCGCAGATGAGTGTAACATTCCATTATCATACATAAGAAATGTCGGTCAGTTCAGGAAGCACATCGTGACGTTTAAATTAAAATAAATAATATTTCTAAAATATAAGTTTGCTAAGGTACTTATAACATCTATCTGCGCGTGAAAGTCGCGTCAAAATTGGTCTAGCCGCCAGAAATTAGCGTGAATATGAACAAACAAATAGACAACAATACATACTTTCGTATGCATTTGATGAAAAGCTGTTAATTTGAAATTACAAAGACGCTTAAATTTTATATTTTTGTGTTTATAGTCATTTACAAATATTGTTATTAGAAAAATTTAATTAATTGGTTCTAGAAAGTAATTAAAAACAAGAATATTATTTTTGGCGCAATAGCCGAAACCAGTTTTTTTATGTTTGGTTTTTCCCGTCACAGGAAAAGGCAAAAGGACTCGGCTCATACAGCCATTGTTTCAGTAAGCTAAATCAGTATGAATGACGCACATTTCGGAACTACCCGCGTCGCGTAATCATTCGTGTATGACTCATTCAACTTTTAATATGTTGGTCTATAGGTATAATAAATCACGACGGTCCTCGATAATCTTATCTTTATAAGCACAACAAAGTATACATACCTAATTAAGGACTTGACAACATTCATATTAAACACATGATGTATTGCTTAATTTCATAAACATATTTTGGCTCTGGCGAATACATATAATTTAAAAACAATTCTAAATTTGAACAGCCCGCCATATTTTTAATCGCCGAAAATGAAATTCCGAATTCAAAATATTTGTTTATTTTCGTGTCATTAGTAAATGGGATCGCAAACAATTACATATACAGCTTTACTCTATTGTGGACATTCTAAAAATACAACGGTGTGTACACACTAAAGAGATTCCAATTGGAATTCGGACCCAAAACAAATTAATTGCACTCACCTATACTCATTCCGTTCGATGACGTCATTAGCGTCCAAAAATAAACTGTTCCCTTGATGTGTCCACCCATCATTGTTTTTAGTACAGAAGTACAACTTTCCAGACTTGGGCACTTGAATTTCCACGTAACTCAACAATGTTTCTATTAAAACAACATTTTCACAGAGTTCACCTCTATTAGCCGGCTTCGAGGTTAACGACCACTCTTTTACACCATCGCCGGTCACATTTATGTTAAAATTACACGTTTTATCTATACACGATACAGTGTTTACACGCACGGAGAATATCCATGGCGGTGACGCGGCACATGTGTTTAATAATAAAAATAACAATAAGAAAACACCACTAGTCCGTAATGAACACACTGGCGCCATGGCAGTCGGTGCGGGAGGAATGAGCTGAATTGAGTTGCGGGAATGATTCAGTCAAATGAGGACAGTCGGCCGGCCGGTGTCAGTCTAACACTATCATGGTGATGCACGATAAATGTATCGATATTTCATGACATATTTGATTTGTAATGTCGATAAATAGTATCGATATCATATTTGTAACATCAATACCGTATATTTATATTTGTTTATTTTATTAATAAGGCAAACGAGGAAACACCAATAAATACATATTTATTGAATATGAAAACAAAATATAAGAGAATAGCTATTACACGCTTTATTTCTTCTTTGTTTCGATTAAAAATTAGTCTTTATGAACTTAAAATATAATCATTATATGATCATTACATAGTATAACACAAAGTCACTGTCGCTGTCTGCCCGTCCCTATGTATGCTTAAATCTTTAAAACTACGCAAAGGATTTTGAAGCGGTCTTTTTAAATAGATACGAGTGAGTTTAAAAAAAATAAGAAATTTTGTAAATGAATGAAAATGTAAAATTTCTATATATGTGAAAATACTCTTTTTCTCTATTAAGCATTCTATCTGATTATTGAAGTATTACAAGATATCTACCAGGGGCGAACAGATTTTCATTAATAAGTAGGTACTTTCTCTATCTTATTATATATATATATATCTTAGTTTTAACAAACAATCCACCTCATTTCATAGAATGTATCGTAGATAATATTTCTGCGCTCTTTTTTTATGCGATACTAATGTACTCCTTTGTACCTACTGTTCTCCAAGAGTGGGGTATTATTCTTCTAAATTTAGTATTTACATTCCAAAGAAAAGATGACTAGGCGACTAGGTGTTGCACTGCTTCGAATGACTTTAGTTCACCTTTCTTATTGAAATAACCTATAAGATACATTCTAGAATCTAGAAATGATAATAGACAGAAATATTGACTTCACAACAAAGAATAAGCACTAAAATATTAATAAGAATTGTTCATATATTCAACTGATTGTAATACACTATTTACCCTGAGCATAAATTAAAATAAAATAAAATAAAATGTAGTTTTTTCAATCCCATTGAAATCATATGTATTTTTTTTTCGTGGATGATAATGGTACGGTGCTCCCGCCTACGCTAACGCGGTTTACGCTGGTGGAGCACCAGTGGAAGATGATAAAATAAGTATGAGGTCAGGTCAGTTAGCCCATCGTGACAAATTTGCTAGGAATTGAACATGATGGTTTCCAGGGGGAACCGCGGAGGTCAACCTGACAAGGTATATTAGCAATGGGGTTATCAATCCACATTAGTAACCACCCCCTTCCCCCCAAACATATGTATTCACTGCATCCTACTTGCGCACTCGTTATGTTATTATATATGTAGGCATTCAATGAATTTTAAGTACGAAAATTATTGGATTAGAATAATGAAAATAATTTATAAAAAAATTACTCATTAATTATTTATTTAAATAAATGTTCTTCGAGTTCGATTGTATTAACGATCTATCGATATTATTATTGATGGTGTGCACATCACTATCTCTAATTGTACAAAAACGCACACATTTATACGTTTTGACACATGGAGATAAGAATGTACAACCGTATGCTTTAGAGAGGGAAAAATAAAACGGTTTTCAGTATCACTGAGCGACTATATCTATATATATAAATAAAATTGGAGTGTCTGTTTGTAATATTGCAATAACAGTTTTTTATTTTTATATGAATATATATGGTACATATACCAAATAGATGGTACACCTGTCTGCGTTAACACTGGCGGGGCACCAGTGGAGGATGATAGGATGAGCATAAAGTCATGTTAGTTACTCCATCTTGGCGACTCATTAACGCATACAGTTTCAAGGTAGGTATGCGTGAAATAATTCCTCTTAGTTTTTTTTTATTTTCACGACTCTGGGTACTCCCTTCAATGAACAATCTGCACATCGTGACTAATTCTCCAGGAATTTATAAACCGATGAAGGTTTCTAGTCAGATTTGCGAGAAGTAATTTTTTATTTCCCCGGCTCTGGGTACTTGGTGACTCCCTTCATGAACAGTCTGCACATTGTGACTAATTCACCAGGTCATTCATTTGGTGGAGAAGTCATTTATAAATCCATTAAGGTTTCTAGGTAATCGGTAATTTAGCGGGTTTTATTAAAACGCACATATCGCTATCCGTCAAATTGACAACACTGCCAACCCACAGAAATAATTGAGGGGAATTCCGTAGGCATAACTTTCGAATTTCTCAACTGAGTTGCCATGATTAAAGTAGGGTTGCAACCTGTCATATTTATTTTGAAAATGGGAGAAATATTCAAAAGTTCAGTTCGATCGAGATTTTCTGGTAAGGGTTCGAGGGTCCCCTGAGCTTGAGAGGCCCGGGGTACTGCCCCACCTAGCCCCTAGGTAGCTACGCCACAGCATATATTGTTATACGAGGCAAGTAAGACTACTAGCTTTCAGAAATAGTTTAATACTTTGTACAACAAAGCTTAACTACCAGTATACAAATTTATTTCCTTCATGATTTTGAAAAGAATAATATTTATTCCAGGGATTATGAAAAAATGATTATGAGGATTCGGATAGGTTTCGGATAAAGGAATGATTATTATACTGGATACGGATGCGGATATGAAATTATTTCAGATTATCCGTTACTTTCGGATATTATTTTTTTAAGGAATTTCAAAAGTAAAATACAAATAGCTAATAAAATGGTTACATAACGTGACTCAATTAGGCTCCGCCCATATCCGATATTATCCGAAACCTTTATTTCGGAATCGGTTATGAATATTTTTTAATCGGATATCCGATGCTTTTGGTTACTGTTACGGTGATCCCTAACATCCTTGATACACATACAATAGGCCGTACAAATTAGAGACAGGTCCTTTAAAGTTTGTTATGCCTAGGTCGAGATTAGAACCTAGAACGAAGGCCAGGCTAAAGAAATATTAAAGAAATACCTTCAACCTCTACATAAGTTTGGAGTATTCTCTATACTAACCCCCTTCGATCGATCTCCAATTCAAATAGGGATCGAAATTAAGACGGCCTGAGCCGAGGTTCCAGCCCCGCGGTGGCCTCAGTCGTACCCATCAGGCGGGAGTTGGCCTTCAGCCGCTCCATAAGTCTTTCCTTTGGTTTGGAGTGCCATCTGCACTCGCCCCTATCGTCCGGTGAAGCTGTAAAGGCTAGCTGCGGCCAACACTAGCTTGATATGATGATGCACCCGCCTGCGCTAACTGTATACGCTGGTGGGGTACTAGTGGAGGATGATAGGATGAGCATAAGTCAGGTTAGTTAGTCCATCATATCAACTCATTTATTACTCATACAGTTTCTAGCTAGGAATGCGAAAAAGTAAGTCATATTTTTTTTTATTTTCACAACTCTGGGTACTTGTTTACTACCTTCAATGAACAATCTGCAATTACAACATGCATAACAATCTGAATTTGGTGGACAAGTCATTTCTAAACCGATGAAGGTTTCTAGGTTTGCGCGAAGTATTTTCTTTTTATTTTCACGGCTCTGGGTACTTGTTTACTCCCTTGAATTCTTTATTTACACGGCTCTGGGTACTTCTTGACTCCCTTCAATGAACAATCTATATCAACAGACAGTGTAAACTGTCTCTTGCTGAAATTACTGAAATTCAGAGCGGTGTCATAACGCCATCTTGCTTATGTCTTCATATTGAACACCTTTCACGATACGTCCTGTCAGCGGTCCTTCCGAAATCTGAAAAAAATAGGCAAATATAAAACGTATTTGTAAAGTTACGACTATTAAAAAGAGCAACACACAAGTTTCTTGCTCGTTCTTCTTGTGATGAGACAGCTTTCCGTATGAGCGGTAGATTAAAAGAATTGTAACAATGATTATATTCTTCTTATTTATCTGTCTGCGATCAGCCAATTAGCTCTCATCAGATTTTATAGCTTTCGGCTTTGAGTTACCACATCCAGTAACATAAAAATAATTAAAGAAAAAAACATTTATGACGTACCTCAACGTCACAGCAGTAATTGTCAGTGTCGATGTCCCTCAGAAGGCCTGCGTGTCCGCGGTACGCACCGTTAACAAACCGGACCGCTCGCCCTTGAGACGGTATTACAGTTTCCATGTGGTTCTGACGGCAAAATTAAAAAGAATCCTTACTTAATATTATACATGTGTCAGTAGGGGTGTTTGTTACGCTTTCACGCAATAACTACTAAACCGATCATCATGAAATTTTGTACACATGTTCTTGGAGGTGTTTTAATAAACATATGATACTTTTTATGAAAAAAAAGCAAATATTTTTTATAAAATTCACACAAATAAAATATCAACATTTTGCTACTTTTACGCCATATAGCAGCCAGTAATGAAGTTATTTAATGGATTCAATGCGAGCGAAGCCGCGAGTAAAAGTTAGTAGGCTATTTCACGTGGATGAAACCACGGGCACTGCTAGTTATATTTATTTATTTATTTATTTATTTATATGCTCTCGGTGAGTATTACAGTATAATACCAATGCACTCATCAAGGATTAAACTTACGCAATACATAGATTAATAGTAATAATTATTATAATAACAATAGCTAATATATATATATATATATAGAAAACAACAACTACAGAAATTACAATAACAATAATAATTTAGAAATAGAAATAGAAATAATCTTTATTCAAATAAACTCATTACAAGCACTTTTGAATAGTCATATTTTGATTCTACCACTCATTCGGAATGCAGATTCATCACAAGAAGAATGAGCAAGAAACTTGTGTGTTGCTCTTTTTAATAGATGTTTTTTTTATATATAAATAATTACAGTATAACAAGTAAGAGGCATGCGATAATCAACATAGAAGTCGCTACGCACTCTATATAGATCTACTATAGACAAGAATAATACCTATTCTAACATTGTGACTCTACAAAATTTGTTACCGCTCTGAAACTCTGGGGCAGTACAGTATACTAGCTGCGCTTGCGACTTTGTTAGCGTAATTATAAGAAACAGTTTACATATTTTTTCCGTAACTTTGTATATAACCGTTTACGCAACGGAAGCTGTTAAATATGAATAATTTTCCCCGTTTTTGCAATATTTTTCATTGATGCCTCGCTCCTATTGGTCGTAGCGTAATGTTATATAGCTTAAAGCCTTCCTCGACAAATGGACTATCCAACACAAATATAATTTTTCAATTGGAAGCAGTGGTTTCTGAGATTAGCGCTTCAAACAAACAAACTCTTCAGCTTTATAATATTAGCATAGATTCCACTGCGTACCTGATCCAACTTTAGTTTGACACCTTCGTCGATCAGCTTCACTTGTGCTGCGTACTTATCCACCACCCGTTCAACGACCGCCTTCCGTTTGTAGAACTTATCACCGAGTGATTTAGTCACAATTTTTATGATAATCCCTTCAGTTAGCCAATAGTCCTTTCTGTAACAAGAATGACAATAAATCTCATTAATAATAATAATCTCAGGACAATTCACACAGCGCCATCTAGACCTAAGTTAAGCTAGCTAAAGCTTGTGTTATGGGTATTAGACAACTGATACAAATATATAGATATTTTTTTTTGTAAATACATACATGTTATACATAGAAAACACCCACCGATACAAACAATCATACTCATGAATGTTAATGTTTGTGCCGTGCGAGGAATCGAACCCGCGACTATCGGACGTAAAGCGGAATGCCAGACCGCTAGACCACCGAGGTCGTCATTCATAAATCTCATTATAAAACAACTGAATTTAACAAATAAATTATTAGAATATTTTGTGACGCCTTGGAAGGCAATATAGAGCCTAGATAGACCTGACGTAATCGATCCCCCGTCCAATTCAATCGGGGATCGACGCCCTGAGCCAAGTTCGAGCTTTTTTTTTTTTATTTTTTTTTTCGTGGAGAAAAATATTCATACATTCCCCCGTCCGGGGGAACTGATGGGACATATGAGATTCGTAGCCAAGTCAGCATGCCATGGGAAGTACATTTATATTCTACCGCGACAGCTGTAGCGACGGCCAGTTCTGTTCTCCAAGTTCGAACCTAGCGTCAGAACCTCCACGCGGTGGAAACAATCGTGATACATTCCTGGTGAATTTGTCACGTTGGGCTAACTGATCTGACTTCATGTTCATCTTATCATCCTCCACTGGTGCCCCGCCAGCGTAACCCGTTAGCGCAGGTGGCTGCATCATTACATTATCATTTAAAAAAACCTAGCGTCAGACTAACGTATCCGTTAGATGGGACTTGGCCTTCAGCCGCTCCATAAGTCATTTGGTTTTGGAGTGCCATCTGCCCTCCTCTATCGTCCGGTGAAGCTGTAAAGGCCAGCTGAGGTCAATAGCATTAAAAAAAATATGACAATAATATAATTATTTACTTTAGTTACCAAAACGTCCTATATTACCCTTATTAATATTATAAATGTGAATGTTAGGATGTTTGTTACGCTCTCACGCAACTACTGAACCGATCATCATGAAATTTTGTACACATGTTCTTGGAGGTATTAGAATGAACATAGCATACTTGTAGCAGCACACATGATTAGTGGAATACAGTTACGCGCCAACTGCCGGCGTATTTTTTTTTTTTTTCGGACTACTCTAATGCTGTTGGCCGTAGCTGGCCTTTACAGCTTCACCGGACGTTATGGGGCGAGTGCAGATGGCACTCCAAACCAAAGGAAGGACTTATGGAGCGGCTGAAGGCCAACTCCTGCCCGACGGATACGACTTTAGTCTGAGGGCACCACTAGGGGTTCGAACCTCGGCTCAGGTCGTAATTTGTCGTTTGAATTTCGATCCCCGTTTGAATCCGGTGCGAGCAGGAGGGGATCATGAATGGAATCTGTTTGTATAGTATACTAATGACATGATTTTACGCACATAAGTTGTAAAGCATTCCAAATAAATCAATCCACGGATACTACTAAATTAGTGGTTTCTCTTCATCCCATACGAGCTACAACATACTTTTTAAAAAGTAACAATAAAAAAGAAATAAAATATCAATATTTTGCTACTCCATCGCCTTCTAGCAGTCAGTAATGAAGTTATACGAGCGAAGTCTCAAATAAAACCTTCAGCACTTAGAGGTATAAAAATAGATAACAATTTATTCTCAAACCTACCGGGTGTACATATAAAATTTCATCATAATCGTTCAAGCCTTCCAAGTATCGGAGAAGTATGGCAACTAACATTGCGACAGGAGAATTATATATATATACATATGTAGTTTAAGATATCCATGTAAAGTCTGCCACATTACATCAGCTCGTTTTATTTAAAAAAAATTAATTGTGTGGTATTCTACCTATTCGCTTTCTCTTTCGCACGCTCCTGCATCTGCATAATCTCATCCAGCGCCGACTGCTTACTTCTGTTCTCTTCTGCCTTCTGCCTTTTACTGGAGGATTCTTCTTTTACCTTCGACAGTTTCAGAGCTGATGATGAGAGTGACTCCGGTTTTTTGTCTGAAATCAAAACATTATATTTAATGTTAGTATTATAAAACACTATAGTATCAGTTTGGGTGTTTTTTATTCTTAAGTTTAGCTTAGCTTGGGACTAGATGGCACTGTGTGAATTGTCCAGGGATATTATTGCTATTAGTACTGTTGTATAACAATAATTGTGTCTTCTATTGTTACCCTCAATATAACTTTTTACTAAAAATGTCAAATATATAATATATATATCTCAGGACAATCCACACAGCGCCATCTAGTCCCAAGCTAAGCAGAGCTTGTGTTATGGGACTAGACAACTGATATAAATACATGGATACATTTTTTTTTCGTAAATACATACATATTATACATAGAAAACACCCAGACCGATACAAACAATCATACTTATGAATACAAATGTTTGTACCGTGCGAGGAATCGAACCCACAACCATCGGATAGTAAAGCGGTGTGCTAAACCACTAGACCACCGAGGCTGTGTAGGGTACTTAAATATAATTACAACACACAAGTTTCTTGCTTATTCTTCTTGTGATGAGACAGCTTTCCGAATAAGCGGTAGATTTAAAAAAAATGTTGACTATTCAAAAGTGCTTAAATTAAGTTGAATAAATGATTTTCTATTCTATTCTATTCTATAATCATTCTATGTAAGCCTCAATACAAACATTCATATTAAAAAACATGATTCTAAATCTAAACGTGTTTTAATCCATAATAAGTACTCTGTAATAGCGACCTCTACACTCTTTTAGCATATTGTTAAAAAATTGGGTTCTAAGTAAGCCGGGTATCAAATAAATAAATGGTCAATATGGTTGAGAGCAAGGATGGCAGGTTCGTCCGTCATACTTGTGAACGAGTGCATCTTGTAGGGATTTGTTCAATATTTTATCACCTACCATCAACTTTCCTCTTCAAGCTCAGCGTTATTCGTTCCTGACTGCTCTCTCGTTTGAACTCTGTGTATTCTGTTTCATTGCTGGAGGTACCCTTCTTTCCTCTTTCCACTTGCTTCTCTATAAACTCTAACATTCTTTCCTGAGGATAAATCACAAAAATATTTAAATGTTGTGCCCCTTTAAACAATTCACTCATTCAAAAGAATGACGAGTTGAGTTTCTTGTCAGTTCTCATCTCGAAAGCACTGTTCTGATGGTAAATTTGACATATATATAATAAGAGTGTGTAATAGACCTACATAAGTAAAGATATTTTGATTAATTGATTCATTTGATTTATCAACACCTGAGTGAAGCCAGGGCTGGCCACAAGTTAAATATAATACAAAAATTGTATGTAAAACAAAATAGGATCCTGTCAGACCTGATCATCTTTATCCATCTTCTCCTTCTTGGCCTTAGCCTCTTGAGCAGCAACAGCAGCCGGATCTCGGTCAATGTATGCCACGAACCAGCCCTTCTCCGTCTCGTCAACCACACATTTACCTTCTCGTCCGAGCCATTTAACAAATTCCGTGAGTGTTTCCCATTGAGTTGCATTCATGTGGAGGTGGTCTCTGGAAGTTTAGAGTTATATATATGTTAATATGTGAAGCAAGAGCTTTGTATCCCTTTTTATGAAATTTTGGAAATTTTACAGAGAAACATGAAATTTTAAATTTATACCGCAAATAACAATGTTTAATATTTAATAGTAATGTGTTCCAAATTCAATTACAGAGATGTTCATAACATTTTTTGAATGGTTGACAATGATGCACCAACTTACACTAACTTAAATACCAGTTGAGGATAATAGGATGAGCATAAAGTAATATTAGCTAGAAATAGAAATATTCTTTATTCAAATAAACTCACTACAAGCACTTTTGAATAGTCATATTTTTTATTCTACCACTCATTCGGAACGCAGACTCATCACAAGAAGTATGAGCAAACAATTTGTGTTGCTCTTTTGAATAAATGTTATTTTATTATTAAAATTATTAACGGATCTTAACAGGAATATTTTATGGCAAATAAAGGTATTTATAGATAAGATACCTCTCTTTATTTGCCATAAAATATTTGTGTTAAGACCCGGTTAATAATTTAAATAATGTATATTAAATACGAAAGTTTAAAATTAACTAGATGTTATTTTAAATAAATAATTACACAAAAACAAGTAAGAGGCATGCGATAATCAACATAGAAAGACATTCCTAGTGCAATCAAATAATGTTATCACCACAATTTTTTTCTACAAAAACATTATTATCATTTCAAACTTTTCAATTTTATAGTAAGCTCTTTTACAGAGAACATATTTTATCAGACATTTGAGTCTTTTTTCAGGCAGAATCAGCGCATTATGTAGACTTCACCAGAAATACGTCACATTCCTTTCCAAGGGCTGATGGTTGATGGCACAGAGGTTGATGTGATAACTCTATGCTACACTTACCTATTAGAAATATAATCCTGATACACTTTATTAGCATTCACTCTCTTTGTGCCAAACTGTCTCTTCAATAACTCCAAATAACCATCAGAGAACTCCTTTGAGAATTGGTCTATGTACTTAGAAGCATTATCGGCGAATAATAGCAGCTGTCTTTGATGTGATTCCGACATAGTATGGCATTTGAAGCCATTCTCATCTCGACACTGTTTCTGGCACATTTGACAATACCATCGTAGTTTTTGTAAGCCTTTTGCTTTTATTTTATTGGCTATGTATTTAGGCGTGCCTTTCTCAGCTTTGCCCCCCATTTTTAGTAATCAATGTGATTTTACACTTCGATTTTCGATTACCATTAATAAACATTAAACGAAAGACTTTTTTCATTTAAACTATTAGGCTAAGAGTATTTACTTCATAATAACAATGTAATTAATAAATCACACAAATAAATAAATAATTTCGAAATTATTGATAAATACAGAAAATGAAATTAGTTTTCACAACAATATTCCAAGCAAAGAATATAGAGATTACAAGTTAATCACAGAGCAGATATATTAAAGTAGTAATGCACAGATTAATCACAACACTGTATTTGTCAGTTTGGATGTTCATTTATCGATCGTGTCAGTCAAAGTTGGCTGTCAATCGAAAATTCAAAAATCTTATTCGAATTAAACTTCATTTTTATTCAAATTTTATTTTTATCAGTACTTCATTTCTCAAATGATAATTTTTAATTAAACTATTGATTGCTTTAAATGTAAATAACACTTCTAAAGAAACTTACGTTCCTTTTAGAAATTTTAACGGTTGTGCCGAAAATAAAACTGTAAGTATATTTTAAAAACTTACAAATAGTAAACAAATTTTTAGGTGACCCCATCTTCTGACGGTCCCGGGTTCTATTCTCATACAGTACAAAGATTTATTCGTGACTGTGACTGTATTAGTCTGTTGGTTTTTATATTATATACAGTCCCTTAGTGTCTTTAATATGTTTTTACTGCATTAAATGTAAATAAAAGTGAAAACTCCAGTTCGTAATCCTGAATTTATGCCAGAGGGCGATACTAAACAAGAAGTCTTGCGGTCAATGGACTGTAGACTCTCATTGCCACCTGCTAACCAATCTTTATAATCAATGTGATTTTACACTTCGATGTTCGAACATTAATAAAATAAAAAATCTAAATATGTTTTTCATGGATTAAACTATTGGGCTAAGAGTATTTATCTTCATAAAACAATGCAACTTAATAATATCACACAAATAAACTTTAAATAATATTTATTTTATAGTTTATTGCAAAAACATAAATAAATTGATGTTGCTGACATTAATGTGTGTCTTCCAATCAATGAGTGATCCAAATAGTTATATATTAATCAGAACAGTGTTTCTTGTCAGTTTGGATGTTCATTGTGATATGATTGGTGGTCAGTCTGATTGTCAATCGAAAATTCAAAAATCTTATTCGAATTAAACTTTCATTTTTATTTATTTATTTTTATCAGTACTTTATTGCACACAAAAAAAACCAATTAAAATAGAAAATATACATTGACTGATACAAAAGGCAGTCTTATCGCTAAGCAATATCTTCCAGACTACCTTTGGGTGGATAGAGAAATAATAGGGAAAGGCTAGGTGTCACACATAATGAACAAGAATAAATATATATGACTCAAACATACATAAATGTACATTTAAATATATATATGCAGAAGGAGGATTTATGAATTTTATTTTTATTTTAAAAAAAGAATTGAGTTGACTGAACGACATAAGACAATGTAAAGACGTAACGTAAATAAATAATTAAATATTATAAGACTTTTCTTAGTCTCTTTACATATATACATATATATACTGCATATACACAATGTGCACAAATGGAAAGAATGAAGGAAGTAGGGACCATCACTTAAAAGAATAATAAGAAATTAAAGGAAAAGAAAATGGGATAGGTATATACTATAACAAGGTTAATGGAGTTTTTTTTTATGGATGATAATGGAATGGTGCACCAACGGTTTACGCTTGCGGGCCACCAGTGGAGGATGATAAGATGAGCATGAGGTCAGATCAGTTAGCCCATCGTGACAAATTCATAAAATGTAAATATGGTTTACAGCTCACCATGGGTCAATCTGACATGGTACATTGCTAGTAATGGGGTCATGAGTCCACATTACTAATAATTCCCTTCTCCCCAGGTTAAAGAGTTTTTTTTTATGGATGATAATGGAATGGTGCACCAAAGCCTACGCACTGCTGAAAATATAATAAGATGAGATGAGGATTTTGAAATAGGTTTGTTACCAGGAATTTATTTATGGTTTGTTGCAAAACCGCGTGGAGGTATATAGACATGGTATATTGCTAGTAATGGGGTCATGAGTCCACATTACTAACAATCCCTCCACCCCAGGTTAAAGAGTTTGTTGTTATCCTTCATTGTTATCCCGTCATATTACATTTTTTTAACTCCCATCCGATACTACACACTGTAGTTGTGTGGACAAATCCTTCCTCTATCTTAATGATTCTCCATTCATAGTACTTTTTTTTTATTTAGCTGCTGGCTCATCCGTCATACTCGTGAACGGGTACTGCTTGTGGGGACTGGTCTGTTCAGGTTGCGAACACTGATTAGATTATTTGTTTTTTTTTTCAATAGCATATGCTGGTGGTCACTCTATGCTCCCAAATTTGAATTTAAATGAATCTGTATTAATGTGAATAGGTACATTAAAAAAAATACTAGCTGAGTTTCTTGTCAGGTCTTCTCATCCCGAAATCATTCTGAACTGACGGTAGATTTGACATATCATAAGAGTCTGTAATAGACCTACATGAATAAAGATATTTTTAATTTTGATTTTTTTTTAATTTAGAAAGGATCCTGGATACACTGCTCTACCAGCCAGTGTGTTTATTGGAAACCCTGATGGCTAACCATTCCGTTGTCTCCTGGTGCCATATCATCAGGGATACCTTCAAGTTGCTCACAGATGTGATCACAAAGCGCCCTGAAGCTATACAAAACTACTGTGAAGATATTGTGAAGGTTTCTTTTTACTTTATTGATGATAATGTAATGGTTTGCGCTAACGGTTTACGCTGGCGGGACATCAGTGGAGGATGAAACTATGAATGGATGAGGGTTGTCCACCCCTAACATTTATTTTTTGGACAATTTTTTTTTATACTTATTTATTATGATTTAGTATTAAAATATATATAAAGACATAAATTTTTACCACCAACCCCTATTTTTAATTTGAGCAGTACCCCACAGCAAAACTAATAAAAATCGGCCAGATATGTTAAATAAGATTACCATCAAGTATTACCACACTTTACCATTCTTATCTATACATATAAATAAAATTGGTGTCTGTTTGTAATATTGAAATAACCGTTTTTTACTACATGCATGTGAATATAAATACGGTACCGGAAACCAAAATATTTTTTTTTACAATTTTTGTCAGTCTGTTTGTTCTGGCTAATCTGAAATGCCTGGACCGATTTTGACGGAACTTTTTTTGGAAAAATAAAGTTAAATTCCACCCGGACGAAGTCGCGTGTACAGCTAGTCACTAATAAATTTCATTTCACCATTTAATTGAAATGGAATGAAATTTTCATTCTTCAATTCAGAAGCTTCATTTTAGTCCTGAGCTAAAGACCGCGTGTGCTATAAGTGCTTACTCCTTTTTTTTTAAACTCAGGTGTGCCTTCTCCCCTTCGACTCGGAAGGTCAGAAGAATGCCCTGAAGTGTTTGGAGAGAGTGGCGAGGGTGCATCCATACGACAGGCGGATGGCTGCCCGTCATGTCAGCCAGTTGGAGAACTCCGACGTGGTCAGAACTCAACTGGCTCTTATTGTTGGTAAGTCCAGGAAGGACTTGATCGTTTATTTGTATTCAATAAAGTCGGAAACTACTATATATATATATATACTTTACTAGACTTGGCCACGCATTGCTGTGGCTGAGGTTCTTGAATAAAATAATATTGCGACTATAAATTGAGATGTAAGCTATCCTATCTTTCAAGTTGGATCAAATTGCACACAATGTGCAATTGCTTCAGAAGTCCATCGCGGAGTAACATTAAATGAAAATCCCGTACATAAAAACTATTGCCATACACGCTCGTCATTCAAGTAATCGTTTAGTGAGTAATAGGCCTTGCTTAGTAAATATGATATAACAGATGTTTTGAATTTATTTAAGGGGTAATTCCAATATATCCTTTTTAAACCTGAATCATATTTTTTTTAAAAAGTCCAATAATTAAATAATTCTTGCCCCCTCCTACTAGACCGAGACGTCTTTGCCAAAACCACTCCATAATGTTAAAACTTCCACTTGGCAAGTCTCAATTCTTAGGAAATTCCTTTTCATTTCTGCGGTTATGGAATAAACTACCAGTACAGATACAGGAAAGTCCATCAATTGGTTGTTTAAGAAAAGTTTGAAATCACACTATTTATCGACCTTAGTATGATTAGTTTCATCTTGTATTTTATTATTTGTATTTTGTGTAATATATGTAGATATCTATAGTAATTGTATATATTTGTATATGTATGTATATATAACTTTTATTAATGTTTATTTTATTTATTATTGTATATCTTATTATAATTATAATATAATAATTGTGACTTTGCTCACTTTATATGGTCGTGTGGAATGAGTAGTCATGCTCACTAAAAAAAATATGGTCTATTTAAAGAGCGCAGTGATTTGAATTAGCTGGCTCATCCGACATTTATCATACTCGTGAAACGAGTGCTGCTTGTAGGGACTGGTCTGCTCTTATCACTACGACTAATTTAATCTTATTGCATATATTATATTTGACCCAAAAATTAGTGCTTGTTGGTAGTTTGTATTCACACGTTTCGACTTGTAAATGTAAACTTACAAGGATTATTTAAAAGAGCAACACACAAGTTCCTTGCTCGTTCTTCTTGTGATGAGACAGCTTTCCGAACGAGTGGTAGATAAAAAACAAATTGTTATGACTATTCAAAAGTGCTTAAATTAAATTAAGTTTATTTGAATAAATGATTTTCTATTCTATTCTATTAGAACTTTATTTAATTGGTTGAATTTTAAATGTTTTGTTTTTCTCAATTTGGACATTTCAACATATTAGTGTTAATTACACTCACTACTAGCTATGCCACATTGTTGGGTTGACTGGTAGAGATCTCTCTTAAAGATAAGTCCACCTTTGCTCACTTCGTATATGTTTAAATTTAGAACTGTATTTAAAAGTGCAATAAAGTGCAATAAAGAATATATATATATATAAAGCCTTTTTAATTAAAAGAAAATCATCCACAGGCACCATATGTGAGTTTCACCCTGAAACGGTGGAGGACGATGTGAACAGGATATGGCGTATCTATTTAAAGATGCTGGAGTCTAAGAAGAACTCGGTGAGATTTGAATTAGATTATTATTACATTTATATTATTTTGTTTTCTTTTGCTACAATTAGCATATCTGTTCGCGACATTTATAAACATATCAAGTAGTATAGTATTATTCCCTTTCCCGCGCACAGTATGTCAACTGAGATCGCCCGAAGACCTCGTCTACTAACGTGAATGGTGACATCTCGTCCCAACCGCTCCGCTTTTTATATAAATATAATATAATTCGTTTTTTTTTTCCTACTTACTTAACCTAACTTAAGAAACAGTGCTTATAAATACTAGGACATAAATTTTAATACCCAATAGATTTATATTATTTTGTTTAATTCCGCTACAGTTAGCATGTTTGAGACCACGAATATTCAGTATGGAAATTAACTACCGTTACGACCTTCTCTATTGGTGATCAAATTCCGACCGTTATTGAATCTCCGTCCATATTGCGACACGTGTTTCAACCTCGAATTCAACGGGGATCGAAATTACGATGGCCTGAGCCGAGGTTCGAACCCCTAGCGGTGCTCTCAGACTACAGTCCGGCAGGCGGGAGTTGACCCGCTTCATAAGTCCTTTCTTTGGTTTGGTGTGCCATCTGCACTCGTCAGGTAGTAGTCTCGTCTCTGAACGAGGCTTGTCCTGGGTTATTGTTATTTGTCTCATATTAAACGTAATTTCAGGATACACTAGTGTCGGTGATACTGCAAGGATTATCCGGCCTGTTTCACAGTTTTGGTACACAGCTGCCAACGTCAGAACTGAACATGTTCTACAGTACCCTCATAAAGTTTATCGACTCAAAGAAGTGTGATGAAGGTAGCTATCTTATATACAACTCCTTAATATAGTACAATGAATGGCTGGTGAATGACCAGGTTGACATGCGCTAACGCTACGCTGGCGGGGCACCAGTGGCGGATAATAAGATGAGCATGAGGTCAGGTCAGTTAGCATATAGTGACAAATTCACCAAGAACTTAATCACGATGGTTTCTTGGGCGAACCGCGTAGAGGTCACCTGACATAAGCTAGCAATAAGACCATCGGTGCTTCATTACTAACAATCCCTTTTCCCCTGGACCTCCCAGGCGAAAGGGGTTCGAACTTAATCACGATGGTTTCTTTGGCCCTCTGAGCGAGATCATCCCATTTGCCCCAGCATCTACTCCTACGGTTGGCTGGATTGAAGCCTGTTAGAGCCAGTATAAAATTAAAAATAACAGTTTTTTTTTTTATTTATTTATTTATAGCAACTATTGTAAAAACTAAGATAAAATAATATACACTTATGATATTCAACCATAATGTATTTTTTTTTTCAGTTATAATTACAATACTAGAGAAGCATTCGAATTTATTTAAAGAGAGACTTTCTGCTGATGCAAGGATCCGCAGCTGGCTGTGGGGAACGATACGGAAGAACATGTTGAATGTTTTACGCAGTGTATACGATACATGTGCTAATGTATTGGACAAGGATAGTGCCCAGGTATGCTTTCTACTAATTTTTACCATGTAGTACTATTTCTACCAAGTAGATACTACCATTTCTACCATAATCCATATTAGAAAATTATTTCACTTATAATCTAGTGTTAAACTAAAAACTACTATATTCTACCATCATCATCTCCTTCTTCTTTATCCCATTTATTTGTGGTTGGCGTAGTTTGTTTTTCTCTTCCATTCATCCCTTTTCGCAATCATCTCTTTATTTACTCCATTTCTTACCATACCATTTTTCACACAATCCATCCAACTCTTTTTAAAAACTACTATATACTACCATGATATATTTTCCCTGATAATTATAATTTTAATGATAATAAAACTAACAAGAAGTAGTGTTATGGAATTGAAAACTACCATTACTAGGAATATTCTACCAATTTCAGAATTTACTAAATTCTGAAGTACTGACGAGAGCAGTGGCTACCGACATAAACATCAAATTCGTGGCGCTGAGAATATTAGTGTATATGGAACAGAAGGGCTTCAGTTTCGGAGATCTTGCGCGATTCACAGATGTACACGCATTAGAGTTTTCACTGCGTTGTGGGACGATATCGTATGACACCGCTGAGGAGGTAAAGTTGACTCTAGTTACTGTATTAAAACTAAACTTAAGCTTAAATATTTACTAGTGATCACCCAATGGTTTCACCCATTCTACCATAAATTATTTATATTGTTAACCGGGTCTTAACACGAACTAATTTTATGGCAAAGGTATTTATCTCTCTCTGGTTAATAATATAGATAAAGTATACTAAACCCGAAAGTTTTGTTTAAAAAAAAATCTACCATAAATATTGTTTTAAACCTTAAATTTTTACTAGTGATCACAATAATCTAATTTCTACCATAACTGCTACTTTTTAACCCTGTACCTAGATGCGCCATTCATCCAGATTATCAGGATGATAACTATTAAAACGTGTTTCGTCATATATACGTAAATATACAATATAAATATATACTTCTTGAAAATAAAACTATTTACATGAGAGTCTCGAAGTTCTAGCGATTTTACAGACCGCTCTACTTCCAATGATTATACAAATGTTGCACCGTGCGAGGTATCGAACCCGATTCCTCGCACGGTGCAACAGTTGTATTCATTAGTATGATTGTTTGTTAAATTTCGATATACGATACAAATCTGGGTGTTTTCTGCGTGTTATGTATTTATAAAAAAAATATCAGTTGTCTAGTACCAATAACACAAGCTTTGCTTGTCGCGGAACTAGATGGCGCTGTGTTAATTGTCCACGGTTATTTATTTATTGGTTACTAGCTGTGCCCGCGGTCGCACCCGCGACAAAAAAATGTTTTTCTAATATATAAGCTATATTACTGTAAAATTTCATTAATATCCATTTAGTAGTTTTTGCGTGAAAGACTAACAAACATCAATCCATACTCACAAACTTTTGCGTTTATAATATTAATAATAAAATTGTGTTATTTCAGATATCTTGGTGCATAGAATCAAATCTACCAAACAGTGATAAGTTACTACAGACAACCATATTATTCTACTACAATCTACCATTTTCTAGAAGAATAAATATTATAACTCATGGGATATTGAACTCGCCCGATGATATACGAACGGTGAGTAGAAGAACAATGTCTAAATTAATTGTGCACTCGACCTCGTCCGCGGGAATAATCACCACTATTCTTGTGCTAAATCACTAGATCACCGAGACTGTCAATCAAATTAATATTTATTTACAGGAAGCTATAATATTCCTCACGACGGAGACAATACAGCCATCCGACAGTGGGGATGGTATACAGAAGTATATAGAGATATGGCGCAACCTGGTAGCGGGTTCAAATCCGGCGTCGAGGAAGGTTCTCGAAGATTACGTCGCTCACGTCATTTTAGTATTGGAGACGTTCTTCGAAGAAGAGAGCGAGGTCAGTATTTTAGTCATTTTATGCTATATACCTTGACCAAATAAAGAAAAAATATTCAATAAAAGAGGAATTTCCATACAAAGTTTCATCCCCTATTTTGTTTCCTTAAGGGTAACATTTTGACAAATTTTGAATATCATATTTATTTATATTTAATCAACATCCTAAAAATTAAGTTGTAAGCTTCTAGCTTTAAAAATGGCAATACTTCTATACAAACTTTCATGTCCACTTTCAACCCCTTACAACCCTTTTTTTTGCATTAGAAAGTAGCCTTGACTTTCTCAGGGTCCAGACTATCCTTGTACCAAATTTCATTTAAATCGGTTCAATAGTTTTGGCGTGACAGCGAGACAGACAGACAGAGTTACTATCGCATTTATATTATAATATTAGTGATTAAATAAGGATGTGTTTTTCTGATATATAATCTATATTACTGTAAAGTTTCATCAAAATCCGTTCAGTAGTTTTTGCGTGAAAGAGTAACAAACATCCATATCCAAAATAACTTTCGCGTTTATAATATTACTGTAGCTACTCGCCCCGGCTTCGCCCGGGTGTACATGTATTATATATATAAATCTTCCTCTTGAATCACTCTATTTGTTAAAAAACCGCTTCAAAATCCGTTGCGTAGTTTTAAAGATTTAAGCATACATAGGGACAGACAGACAGCGACAGCGACATTGTTTTATACTATGTAATAATGATTAAGATTAAAATTAAATAAGATATATCTACAGGAAATACCGGATCGGTTGTCCTCCCTGCTCAAATTGACCTCGGAGTTGGTCCCACTGGGTCCCCCTGATGCCGCAGACCTGTGGGCGGCGTTGGTGCCACTGGTGGCGAAGTGTAAGGTTGCAGCCGCCCTGGCAACCATCGCGGCGGTAGCGGAGTATCTTCCCGACCATAACATCCCAGATGATTTATGCAAGGTATGGAAACTGGAAAGATACTATACAACTGATATAAATACAATTTGTAAATATATACATAATGTTTATATATAAAAATTACGTGTCACGTTGTTTGTCCGCGATGAACTCCTAAACTACTTTGCAATTGGTCGGCTGCAATCGGCTAATCAAATTTGCAATCGGTTCACGATTGCAAATTTGATTTGCATATTGTGTGCAATTTGATCCAACTTGAAAGATATATGTTAGCGTCGATATACATATACTAGCTGTATATATCTGAGTAACCCTTATACTAGCTGTATATATCTGAGTAACCCTTCAAAATCGGTCCAGCCATTTCAGAGATTACCCGGAACAAACGGTCAGACAAAAATTGTAAAAAATGTTATTTTGGTGTGTGTACCGTATTTATATTCACATGCATGTAGTAAAAAACGGTTATTTCAATATTAGAAACAGATACTCCAAATTTTATTTATATGCATAACATTACTTATATATATATATATATATAACGTTACTTATATTGTTTTTAGTGTACAATAATTTGTAGATATTATTTAACCCCAATTATTCTAACACATTTATTTCAATTGAAGTGCCCAGGAGTGATCACTCGCTCCCAACGTGTAAATTTACTTTCGTTGCGGAGTGACCCACAAGTGGGCATGCGGTCTTTAACATGTTAAATAAAAGTCGTATCGTAAGTTACTGCAGTCGCGCTCCCGGGTGCTCATGGGCGATGGTAACTTACCATCACGTTGCCTGCAGGTTAATTTTAGAGCAAGAGGTTCATGTTTGGGGATCGTTCTTACCTGTGTTGGGGACACACATACAAGAACTTTCACGTTTACTAAAATGACGTATGTCTGGCAGTCGTGGGCTCTTAGGCTATTTGTTTCCCCTATGCTGTTAAAAAAATGTCGCAAATAGAGACTGAGGTAGAAGTTTTATTGCAACATACATGGAGTCACTAGTTTCTTAACCAGTTGCCTAGTGACCCACCGGTGGTCAGTCTTTAACTTAGACGACCTCGGTGGTCTAGCGGTTTGGCACACCGCCTTACTTCCGGTCGCGGGTGCGATTCCTCGCACTGCGCATACATTTGTATTCATGAGTATGATTGTTTGTCGGTCTGGGTGTTTTCTATATATAGCATGTATGTATTTAAGAAAAAAAATCTATATATTTATCAGCTGTCTAGTACCCATAATACAAGCTGTAGCTAGCTTAGCTTGCGACTAGATGGCGCTGTGTGAATTGTCCTGAGATTATTATTATTATTATTGTACTGTATTTAAATATTTAAATAAATAAAATGCTAAATTGCGCTTCACATTTCATTAGGCAGTTCCCGCCATTTTTACAATCAGACTCTGTCAACTGCACAGAGTACGTTATAAACAACAACATTAATTATGCCAAAGACTATATAGACCAGCGATGTTAGGGAGCTCTCTAACAGTAACCGAAACTATCGGATATCCGATATAAAAAATATTCGTAACTGTAATAATAATCCGAAATAAAAGCTACGGATTGTATCGGATAGGGGCGGAGCCTAATAGAAATACGATATGTAACCATTTTATAAGCTATTTGTATTTCACTTATGAAATTCCTTAAAAAAATAATATTCGTAACCGAAATTATCCGAAACTAACGGATAATCCGAAATAATTTCATATCCCTATCCGTATCCGGTATAATAATCATTCCTATATCCGAAAACTATCCGTACCCGAAATTTCATATCCATAACATCCCAAACTTCAATCATGTTAAATGATGAAAAATCCATTTTGCAGGGCATCGAAATTACAAGGTGTAAGGATGAGGCGACCTTATGCGCGTCGTGTCTACTGCTCCTCAGGGTCCAGGCTGATGCTGCACAGGTTCTCTTGGCGTTACAGGTAAATTGTGCCTTATAACGTTCACAATAATGTTTATTTTTAAAACTTGCATTAACATTTTCACAAGTCTATACTAATATTACAAAGCTGAAGAGTTTGTTTGTCTGAACGCGCTAATCTCAGGAATTACTGGTTCGAATTGAAAATATAATTTTTGTGTTGGATAGTCCATTTGTCGAGGAAGGCTTTAAGCTATATAACATTACGCTACGACCAATAGGTGCGAAAGGTGATGAAATGAAACGCAGACGAAGTTGCGCGAGTCAACTAGTGTTCTATAACTTCATAAACTCAGTCATTCATTCATTATGTTGGCGTTATTAGTAAATTGTACCTTATGACGTTCACAATAATGTTTATTTTTAAAAGTTCACATTTAAAAGTGATTTATTTATGTAAAAAAATTTATTTACTTTTGGTCTCTTCATCAATCCCATTTATTGGGGTCGGCGTAATATGTTTTTCGCTTGGTCATCCCTGTTTGCAGTCATTGCGTCATTTACTTTTTCTTACCATATCATCTTTCACACAGTCCATCCATCTCTTTTTTGGTTGCCCTTATAACCATCCACATTCATTTGTACTTTTGGTCTCTTATGTACGTCATATTTTTTTCATACATACACAACTGTTGATCTAAATGGTTGAAAGGGTGAATGGTTGAAAGGGTGAATGGTTGAAAGGGTGAATGGTTTGTGGAAGTATAGTCATTTTTAAAGCTTGAAACTTAAATTTTAGGCTGTTGATTAATCATAAATAAATATTACATTTTGTAAATATTTTACCCATAAAATAAAATAAGAGATGAATGATGAGTCTCGTGTGTGGTGGCCCCACTGAAAATCAGTGCTGTGGTATAATGTGTGAGGCTGAGTGGGAGCCACATTCAGCATTTTATATATTTATATAATTATTATATTATAGCATATATATTATAACATATTTTAGCATTTAAGTTGTATAGTAAATAAGAATACTGTAATGCTCAATAAATGTTTTTTTGTATATATATATTATATATCTCCCTTTGATGGGGTAATAGACTGATCATTGCGGGTAAAAATCACCAAACAATGATAGTATAAATTATGAATGATGAGGATGGATAATTTTTAAGTGGAAGACAAAATTATTATTATTATTATTATATATTATATATATATTTATTATATCTCCCTTTTTACGGGGGTAATATATTCAAACACGCGGGCCTTAGCCAAGCATGGATGAGTTATGTGATGAAGATAGAAATTTTCTGACTATTCGACATGTGTTTAGTATGACGGCTTTTTGTAATAGGTCTATTTTAGAGGAGGGGATATGCAACGTGTTATTATTATTATTATTGTAAAGTTTGTCTTAATGTAATTGTTTGTTTATTGTAAAGTTTTTTACAAAAATCATTCGTCATTTTTGAAGCTAGATCGACGAAAATTTGGCTTTAGTGGGTAACTAATAATAATACCCTTTTGTACCCTTTAATTTTAATTACTCTATTAATATAATTTTCCTGGTACAATAAAGAGTATATAAATAAATAATAATAATAATAATACACACACACTCACGCATACATACACGCGCACACACACATACACACACTCTGCACTTACTTGGTTTCGGCCCGTAAGTGTGGAGAAAACCAGCAATAGCTAAGAAATAATATACATATATACATAATAATAATAATATTATTATTATTATTATTATTATTATTCTTTATTTTTTCTCAGCTTTTGCTGGTTATTTAATATATTTATTATTATTATTATTATAAAGGAGACATTTATATTAATGAATATTTTTTCTTAACAAGGTTACTAATCCACGTGGAAGGAGTCGCGGGCACAGCTAGTATTTATTATAAACTCGCTGTGCCCGCGGTTTCACCCGCATGGAGTTTATAGCCTATGTGTTATACTCATGTATAAGCTATATTACTGTAAAGTTTTATTAAAATTCGTTCAGTAGTTTTTGCGTGAAAGAGTAACAAACATCAATCCATACTCACAAACTAACTAAGCTTTGTGACAGGTCATCTTCTCCAGGACCGACGTGGAATGGAAGACGTTCCAGCTGAGTCTCAAGAAATTTGAAGACCTCATCGTCTATGAGGGAGAACGGCTCGATGAGGAACGAGTGTATAAGGTAAATCAACAATCTATACATATAAATAAAATTGGAGTGTCTGTTTGTAATATTGAAATAACCATTTTTTACTACATGCATATGAATATAAATACGGTACATACACCAAAATACCATTTGTTACAAAATTTATCTGTCTGTCTATCTGTATGTTTGTTCCGGCTAAACTTTTTCTTTAACTTGCTTGATATAGCTGTGTCTCGGTCTTCCCCTTCCTCTCTTTCCATCTATTTTTCCTTCAATAATGTTGTTAATTAGTTCGTCGTGTCGTATCAAGTGCCCCAACATTTTCCCCGCCTATTCTCAATAACATCTATGATCTGTCTCTTTTCTTTAAACCTTTCAAGCACTTTCTCATACCTTATTTTGTCTTTTCAGCTATTTCTTTCCATCCTTCTCCAACACCACATCTCAAAGGCTTCCAATTTGTCTCTTTCCCAATGAGAAAGAAAATGCGCCTATTCAAAAGCTTATATTGAGTTTATTTCAATAAAGATTTCTATATTTATAGGTGATCCGTTTAGTTGATAAGCTGCGTGGACGCATCGATCTTTCGGCTAAAGATGGCCGCGTGTTGCACAGGCAGATCGTCATGTTCTTAGGTATGTATACTTATGTAGCATTACATATTATTCCCGCAAAACGCGTGCTAACCGGCAGCGTAACTGTTTCAGTTCCCGTTCTAGCAGGCGCAGGCTCTTAGGGATCCCTCCGATCGATCCCCCGTCCAATTCAAACGGGATCGATATTACGACGGCCTGACCCGAGGTTCGAACCCTTAGCGGTGCCCTTGGTGTAAAGTCGTATCCGTCAGGCGGGAGTTGGCCTTCAGCCGCTCCATAAGTCCCTAATTTAGTTTGGAGTGCCATCTGCACTGGTCCGGTGAAGGTGTAAAGGCCAGCTGCGGCCAACAGCATTAGAGTAGTCCGAAAAAAAAAATCTTATGGCTAACCAACGGTGGTTCGGACCCAAGCTTGCGCTCTTACTTACTCTTGCTCTACTTGTAAGATACGGAGATAAATACGCACACGTTCACTTAGCTGCTATATTTCGGAATGCCTTCAACAAACTCTGTATGTCTTCAATTCTACCCGCCACATTATTAAATTTTTATAATAAAATATACATATATAAAATTCTCGTGTCACAGTTTTCGTTGCCATACTCCTCCGAAACGGCTTGACCGATTCTCATGAAATTTTGTGTGCGTATTGAGTAGGTCTGAGAATCTGATCTGGTAGTCCACCCCTAATTTTTTTTTTATTTTAATGCAAAACAACGTTTTCCGGGACAGCTAGTAAGATATACAAATATATTATTATAGAAATTTTACAAGTGTAGCCACAAGATCAAGGCAAGGCAATTATGATTAGTATATTACTAGCTACTCGCCCCGGCTTCGCCCGGGTGTACATGTATTATACATATAAATCTTCCTCTTGAATCACTCTATCTATTTAAAAAACCGCTTCAAAATCCGTTGCGTAGTTTTAAAGATTTAAGCATACATAGGACGAACAGCGACAGCGACTCTGTTTTATACTATGTAATGATTAAAATCATTAGTTATGCTTACGACTTAGGCGTGATGCCGGTTGGCCAGGGAGAGAAGGGCCAAGTACCGCCCGTGACTTGTGACACGAGTGTAGGTTTAAAAGGCCCTTTTAGAATGCATTAATACATTACCAAACAAACATTTACATACAAAACCCCCCAATGCCTACAATATTCACAATTACATATCTCTTATTTGTTTTTATAATAATAAACACTGCAACCTTTAGCTCCAAACTTCCGCTACGTCAGTTCCACCGATCCATCAATCTACATGTCAATGTCACATAGATTATTTATTATTTATGATCTGGCATCTGCCGTGCCGTTTCAGGTTACTCTGTATGCCTTACATAAAGAAACATGATTATCGACTTTACCATTTTTAAGTAATGCCTCACACGATAGTTAACAATATTTACAGGTAAATATGGCCGTAAAACAAACTTCAACAACAATTCAAGATCTTCCAGCTCCGTTATGGCAAAATTAAAGGATGCCCTGTGCCTCAAGATACCTTATACGGACGAATTAACTATGAAGGTAATAGGATCAAATCCAATCAAATCAAAATATCTTCATTCATGTAGGTCTATTACACACTCCTAACCACCAATTCTGCAATATATATCTTAATACATAACATACATAGAAAACACACAGACCGATACAAACAATCATACTCATGACATATATTTGTATCGTGCGAGGTATCGAATCCGTGACCATCGTAGGTAAGGCGATGTGCTAAACTGCTGACCACCAAGTCCTGCATGATATGTCAAGTCTTACAAACTATAAGCTGTTTTTTTTATCTAGGAGACAAATTTGACATTACCGATGTTGCCAGTTTATTACGATTCTTAAATAGTGTTGTGCCACAATCGGAAATTAATATTAATTACCTATCTTACTAATATTATAAACGCAAGAGTTTGTGAGTATGTATGGATGTTTGTTAATCTTTCACGCAATATAATATTATGAAGAATGTAGTATACTATTACAGATCAACCTGCAGTCAGTTCTGGAGATCGCAATTGAAGACGGACAGTCGGAAGTGCTGCATCAACTGCTGACTATGTTATGTGCTGATCGTAAGTAAATATCCTAAGGAGATACAAGCCATCGCTCCTAAGAATATCCTTCACTTCTTGTCCCTGACGAGTCTAGGTAGCGAACTCTGAGAATGGGCGAGCACAATAGACCTATATAGATCGCAGTGCTGCAGTCCAAGCACCTGACAATAGCCCAAACAACCAAATAAAAAAAGTGACACTTCCTGAAGGGTACCATAATTTATCAAAAGCTAAAATGATATCCGTGGTAACTATACATGAATAAACAATGGTTAACAATTTCTATAAGGTGGATCGTAAGATTGAGATAAAGTTCATAGCATTCACCGTGCGGGAGTCGGGTCCAACATGTAGCAGAGAAACTCCGAGCAGAGCTCCGAGGAGTACCAAAACTTGCGAACTATTTTTATACGTTTTTTATCATCTATGTTTTTTATAATATTATATTGTTTTTATATGACATAAGTCATTAGTACACAAATATTCTACAACTATACCGGTACCGTTTTCTTTGCTCGTCGTCTTGGTCTCCATTCCACAAAAACCCTCAATAAAAATTAAAATAAAGTAACAAATATACATTATTTCATTGATAACTTAGGAGCCGCTCTCTTGTCTGTATAGCTCTTGCCATTTTCCATAATCTTCCATCAATCTCTTTTGTTGTTGATACACGATTAGAACTGGACGGTAGGGAAAAAATAAAATTATAATGTAAAAATCTGACGTTCATAAGCGGCTAAATTGTCTTACATGAATAAATGATTTTTGAATTTTGAATTTTTTTTTAGAATAGAATAGAAGATATTTTTTTCAAATAAACTTAATTTAAACACTTTTGAATAGTCATAACATTTTTTTAATTCGGAATGCTGTTTCATCTCAAGAAGAACGAGCAAGAAACTTGTGTGTTGCTCTTTTAAATAATCCTTGTAAGTTCACATTTAACAAGTCGAATTGTGGGAATACAAACTACCAACCAGTACAAATTTTTTAGGTCAAATATAAATATACAATAAGATTAAATCAGTCGCAGTGTTAAGAGAAGACCAGACCCTACAAGCAGCACTCGTTCACGAGTATGACGGATGAGCCAGCCATCACTGCGCTCGACCATATTTTAGGGAGCCCAATGACCTGACTCCAACTTTTTCCCTTATCAGCTTAATATAGCTGTCTTGGTCCTCCCTTTCTTCTCTTTCCTTCAAATTTTTCTTCTATATTATTATTCATGAATTCGTCATATCGTATCACCCCCAACATTTTTTTCCACCTATTCCCTACACAGTATATTTACTACAGTTTTGTACAGTTACTACAGTACATTACATTAATTAATTCATAATTTAAGAGCTGCACTGTTGCCGGTGGAGCTCCTGTTATTTTCCACGATATTTCATCAATCTCTTTAGTTCGTTATACACGACTCCAACTTTTTCCCTTATCCGCTTAATATAGCTGTGTCTTATCTTGCCTTTCTACTTTTCCCTTTCTCCTCTTTCCTTCTATAATATTATTCATGAGAGTTCGTCATGTCGTATCAGTGCCCCAGCATTTTTCACCACCTATTCCCAATATTACATTATTTCATTCATCATGATTCGAGAGCCGCTCTCTTATCAGTGCTCTTGCCGGTGAACAATAATTAAAAAATGATAAAATTGCTGGATGGAAGTTTCTAGGCGTAAACAATAATTAACATAAATATGTTTCAGCTAAGATAGTTCTGAATTCTGAGACGGGGTCGGCCATTCGAGACGCTGTGGCGTTGTTGTGCGTGGCGTCCTGTCGGCGGCACGCGGGCGGAGATCCTGCTAATGTGGCCGCCCTACACGGCGCTTTGCTGTGCTCCGCCCCGCGGTCGCTACCAGCACTGTTACAGGTAATTAATTTAATCTCTTTGCAGGGCATGTAAAAGACATGAGTAAGTATAAAACAACATTTACACCATCTAATCCCACTGTCCCACGGTAAGCTGAGCTTGTGTTATGGGTACTAGACCACTGATATAAATATATAGATATTGTTTTACATACTTACATAATATACATAGAAAACACCCAAACCGATACAAACACCCACACTCATGAATACAAATGTTTGTACCGTACGAGGTGTCGAACCCGCGACCATCGATGCTAAACCGCTAGACCACCGAGGTCGTCATAAATACATAAATGATAACGGTTTCAGTTCATCAGCGAAGAAACGTCTCCAGGCGCCAGGAAGATGCTGTCGGAACTACTGGGTGTGCTGCTACAGTCAGGGTCTGATGAAGTTCTGCAGACTGCTGCTGAGAGAACGCTCGTGATGCTTGCTGCCACTGATTGTAAGTAGACTTAAAATTTTTTTTACATCCTTCTGTGCTAACGGTTTATAGGAAGGGTAAGAAGGAGAAGAATATTAGTGGAGAAGGACGAGTATGAGGTCAGGTCAGGGAAAAGGCGATTGTTAGTAATGTGGACTGATGATCTTATTCCTAGCAATGTACCATGTCAGGTTGATTTCAACGCGGTTCCCCCTGGAAACCATCGGGACAAATTCCTGGTTAATTTGCCACGATGGTTTTTTATGGATGATAATGGAATGGTGCACCCGCCTGCGCTAACGGTTTACATTTGCGGGGTTGAGTTGAGGATGATAAGATGAGCATGAGGTCAGGTCAGTTAGCCCATTGTGGCACATTCACTAGGAATTATCAGGATGATTTCCAGGGGGAACCGCGTGGAGGTCAATCTGACATGGTACATTGCTAGGAATAAGATCATCAGTCCACATTACTAACTATCCCCATTTCCCCCAAATCGGGGTAGTTTTCCACTAGATCACGGCGATCTCCCGTCTAATCTTAGCTAATAATGTATATTTTTTGTTTCAGCAACCATAAGGCGAGCCGGTTTGGATATAACAGAGATTCTATTGACCGCACTAACCCAAAACGACGTTCTAACCCGGTCGTTACTACCACGGATTCTCGAATTGATATCGTGTACGAACGAAATAGAAACGACTTCGACATTCGATCTCGCTTCGAGAACGTTCATCGATAAAATAGCACTATTCGATAGTAACTCACTGGAGAAATTAATAAAGAATATTATGTCTAATTTGGTTGTATATAGAAAATTGTGCACGGAAAATGATATAATAATTTATAGCGATTTAACAAAGAAATCTATGGGTTTTATCAAAGAAGCGATGGAAGGTGAAAAGCAAGAGTGTTCGACATTATTCGATTCGTTCTTTGATGTCTACAGAAGTGAGAATTTGGATTTCTACCAATGCGTTTACGTTTTGGCGATAATGAAGAATGCGATCGGATTGAATTCGAGTTATTATAGTAATATGTTTGCGAGTAATAGCGAATTATTATCGAAATTGTACACGATTGAAGTTTACGCTGAGGACGCAATTTTCGTTGAACCGGATCTGTTCAAGTTGGACGCGATTTTGTCTTTTTTCTGTGAATACGCTGAGAGTTTATTGGAGCTTCATTATAAGGTATTTTTTTATATATGAATCTAGCTTTTATGTATCGATCGATCTCAGTGGTCTAACGGTAGTAAGCTTTACCTTCGATGGTCGCGAGTTCAATTCCTCGCAAGTACAAACATTTGTATTCATGAGTATAATTGTTTGTGTCGGTCTAGGTGCTTTCTATGTATATTACATGTGTATTAAAAAAATATATATCTAACTATGTGAGAAAAAGGTAGTAAAGAAGCTGAGCTACATTAAAAGTACCAGGAGAACATGAATTTATAGGCAGTTTGTTGAGAGATATGGCAAGCGTAATTACTGTGTAGTACGTATTAAGGATACTACGGGCGTCACATGATAACGTAATGTCTTTAGCGCTGTTCTAGTATTTAGACGACAGTTACCACTTACCATCACGTGGCCATCAGCTTGTTTGACATTATTATAAATAAAAAAATCAAGTAGTAAGGAAGCGAATGTACATTAAAAGTACCAGGAGAATATGAATTTGTAGACAGTTTGGTGAGAGATATGGCGTCACATGATAAGATTATTTAATATTTATTAATTAAATTATTTTAATTAATAAATATTAAATAATTAGTTAATCATTTGTGAGAGATATTACGTATTAAGGATACTACGAGCGTCACATGATAGCCTGACGTCCGTAGTGCTGTTCATGTATATAGGCGTCCGTTACCACTTACCAGCAGGTGGGCTGTCAGCTTGTTTGTCATTCTCTCATCTATTATTACGTTTAATGTCATTACTATAATAAAAATATTTGTTTTTCAGAAAACAGTTGATTTTCTATCGAGAATTGTCAAGAATATAACACCCCAACATGTAGTTCATTCACATCACATACTCAAGAATTGTATAGAAATGTACAAGAATATTTTGAATTCTATACCAAGTGGAATAGAGTCTAGTTTCGAAGAGTGGTGCCAAATGTTACCCTTAGAAAAAATAACATTATGCATAACCAGAAATAACCCGTTAAAAAACTACATAACAACAATAAAAGCTCTGGCAATATTATTAAATGTATTCGATTCGAAACCATTTCTGAAGGAAATACAGAATTGGCACTTGATAATAATGAGGAATTATTCAAAAATAAAAATGGCCGATATGCCATTTTTGACAGATTGCCTGACAGTTGCTGTCAAATATTTGACAGATAGCGATGTTAAGCGGGTGATTTTAGAAGGCGTGGATTTGAAAGGCGTGTCCAACGAACGGATAGGTGTTAAGTTTTGTACGCGTTTCATAAGAGTTTTTATGCCTTTTTTGAATAGAATACTCCTGGAGAGTGGATTAGAGGAATGCTGTTCTATATTGGATGATGTTGTGAGGTTTTATGTTAGGAAGAGGTCGCTAGATGCTAGTGAAGTTGTGGTATTGGTTGATAAGGTAAGATCTTAGATTTAATTTTTATGAAATTTTATATGCATATAGTAGTCAGTAGGTCTGAGAATTGGCTTTTATCTATTTTTCATACCCCTAAGTGATAAGGGTTGTACACTTCTATAATTTTTATAATTTTTTGGACAATTTTTTTTTTATAATGAGCCATTAAAATACATATAACCCTACATTTTCATTTTTCTATCATCAACTCTTATTTTTTTAATAGCGATTTTCATTTATATCGCAACAACGTTGCGGGGTCAGCTACTTTGATAGTAAACATTTCTTATCAAGTTATGTGCCTTTTTTTTACGTGAGGAAAAATCTTCGCAAATACCGTTACCCCACAGGAGGGATGGCAAGGTGATTTGTGGTATTTCTACAGCCTAAAAGCCACACGGTGTCACCGCAAGCGTTTTTGCTGGAAACAGAGGTTTCGCATGTGCATTTTACCTCGACCTCGCCCTGTAGGTATTGTAGAGCGGGCCCCATCTAGCTGTGGTTAGGGCGACCTATCAAGTTATCTCCCTTTCACTTGAACAAAATCCCTCATGGATATCAGAAACTGTGAGACTCCTACTCACTAAAAACTCCAAGATGTCCCTCACCCAACGCCTTATACCGGAGTCGCAGAATCGATGTCAGCCCACCGCGGCTCCGACGGCTTTGGCCCACTCCAGCAGCGAGCCCATCGGGTCCTCTGTGCGGAAGCCACTACTTCCCCTCCTCTTCCCTGAGGAAGGCGCGTGGGGACTTCGAGCCTAGTGCGGTGGTGTGCGATCGCCCCCGCGGTCGTCACCCCGATCCGGTAGCCATCCAGGGGCGGCTTTCGCCACCCCTGTCTCCTTGATCGCTAGGAGAGGAACTAGTGTCCATCCCCTCCTCGTTCCGACTGGTGCGTGCTTGGTGAATGAGTGGCTGGCCGCCTTCAGCCCTAATTCTGCCTTCATGTCCCTAGTTTAACCTTTCAACTGTTATCTGTCAAAATGATATTAATGCCCCATCTGTGAAACCAATTACAGGAATTCTCACAGATGGGGCTATAGTGTCCGAATCCAATAGTTAGCTCCTTCACAGATGAGAGGTTCAATTAGTTTTTAAGTAACCTGCCCTGACAGGTTCTTAATCCAGTTACTCGGGATTTGATGCCCCCGGGGTCGATACCGGGGTAAAGGATTTTGCCCCAAGGCCCCAACCTTCACCTAGGGGGCTTAGAATGACCAGTGCCAGTCATTTTATTGGCGGCAAGAATTAAATTTACGACCGTCCGGTCTAAGTTGGGTGCCACTAAACCACAACTCTCTCAATTATGTTTGTTTTTATTGCAGTTATGGCCAGTATACGAACCCAGAACAAATTTCCATCAGAAATGTAGTTTACTGTACAATATGTCGTGTTTGCCGCACAAGTTGGGTCCGGACTCGAACCCGCTACGGTGGGTGGCGGAGCAGCTCACTTCAGACATCAGTCGCGAGATGAAGACAAGTCTAGTGGTAGTGCTGCCATCTGGTGATGGCTTCAGGTATTATAAATCACATTACTCCAATAGACGGCGTGGGCTCCAGCCTACTTGCGAGTCATGTTCTCCTGGTACTTTCACTGTAGTATCGGAATAGTGAGATAACTTGACGACTTTTATCCTTGATGGGGTAGTCAGAGTCATTGTCAACTGTCGATGTTGTGGTGAACGCAACACTTGACATGTCCACATGTCGCTCCGTATATTTGAATAAAAAAACATATTAATCCAATGTCAAACATGGACGCTCCAGATGTCATACATACAGTACATACAATATTCATACGTAACTACAATTGTTCCAGCACGTTGTACGCCCAGTTTGCATCCAGCTGTTTGCCAGCGACCTTGTGCGAGGTGCACGGTGGAGCTCGAGCCGCCCTGCGCGGAGCCCTACACTCCCTGGCTGCTAATGGCAACCAGAAACTATTCGACATTGTACTCACGCTCGCTGACGGTATGTATTTAATGATGATGTTGTTGTAGATGGTGATGATGATAATATTGTTTTTAGTGATGATGATGATATTGTTGTTGGTGATGATGATGTTGGTGGTGATACTAATAATAATATCTTAGGACAATTCACACACGTTGTATCTAATCCCAAAGTTTGCATCCGAAACTTGTTTTTTTTTTTGTAGGTGCACGGTGGGTGGCAAACAAGCATATGCGCGATGGTAAACGGCCCTGTAGCCTAATGGACGAAACTATTCGACATTGTCTCATGCGCTCGCTGACTTAAGTATGTATTTAATGATATCTTGAAAACCCCCATTGTAGTCTCTGATGATGATAATATTGTTTTTAGTGATGATGATGATATTGTTGTTGGTGATGATGATGTTGGTGGTGATACTAATAATAATATCTTAGGACAATTCACACACCGTCATCTAATCCCAAACTAAGCGAAACTTGTGTTGTAACACCTATATTAGGCAATCGACATAAGTACATAATTTTTTTTTTGTAAATACATACATAGAAAATACACAGACTAATACAAATAATCATACTCATGAATAAAATGTTTGTAACATGCGAGAAAACGAGTCCGCGACCATCGGATTACCACCAGTAAGGCAAGTGTGCCTGTTGAAGGCGCCACTATATCTAGTATGTATTAATTATAATTATAAAAATAATGTAGCAAATAGGTTATATATTTCACAATGATTGTCTGTAGAATGCAAATGTATGTTGTAATTTAGTTCCGAAAAGAATACTAGATGGCGCTGTTAGATATCTAAAACTCGATATTATTTCGTTTTCATCGATTGATATACAAGATTGTAAAATTTTATTATTCAGTAACTCAACCGGGCGTCTGCGTGCGCCCTGTCGCCACTCCGATCGATCCCACTTCCAATTCAAACGGGACTGGAAATTACGACGGCCTGAGCCGAGGTTCGAACCCCTAGTGGTGCCCTCAGACTAAAGTCGTATCCGTCAGGCGGGAGTTGGCCTTCAGCCGCTCCATAAGTCCTTCCGCGGGTTTGGAGTGCCATCTGCACTCGCCCCCTAACGTCCGGTGAAGCTGTAAAGGCCAACTCGGTTTTCCCACGAGACTACAGCATGGGGTTTTTCAAGAATTAAGAATAATATATTAGGGTTTCTTAAGGGTTGGTTAACGCGCACGTGTTACCCCTGGTGTTTCAGGCGATCATAGGCTACGGTAACCGTTTACCATCAAATGGGCTGTATGCTTGATTGCCACCATCATAGTATAAAAAAAACAGCATTATAGTCTGAAAAAATGTTATTCAGTATTTTGTAACACCATTTTTGATATCTTTATACTCTTTCCCTCATATGTGGTGTTTTATTTCGAGGTTTTTTGGGCTGTCTGAATATCGCGGCGCGGTCGTCTTCAGTGCCAAATCGCTAAACCACCGTCAAATTATTAATTATCTATATACGCATGTAGTATTAAAAGTGGTCCTATTCCGAAATAAATATATATAGTAAAACGTGTTTCAAGTCAGCTATTTAGTTATAATATGCGCGGAATGTTCTTAAAAAGTTTTAATTTACGTATTAATATAATTGTTATAGACTTTGAAATTGTTATTCAGGTGACGACACGGCGGGATGGTGGGATGAAGCGATGGACTCCTGTGCAGCATCCCTCGCTCGCACAGAGCGCTTGGAGCTGTACGAGATGGCCTACAGACGTTGCTGGAATGGACTTACACTGGGGGTCTGCGAGCGGATCATGGTTCCTCTGCTTAGGTATAGTATATAATAATAACGACCACACACTCACTCACTCACTCTGTCAGTCGCTCGCTCACTCATTCTGTCATTAGCTCACTCACTCACTCACTCACTCGCTCACTCACTCGCTTACTCACTCATTCTGTCACTAGCTCACTAACTCACTTACACACTCACTCATTAAATTATAGTCTATGTGTTATTTTGATGTATAAGCTATGTTACTATAAAGTCTCACCAAAATCCGTTCAGTGAAAGCGTAACAAACATCCATCCATACAAACCTTCGCGTTTATAATTTACTAAGATTATCATTATCTTCTCCAGGTACGCAACGCCAGTGTTTTGCGAAAGATTCTTCTCAACAGTCATCGTAGGGCTGCTGAAGAAGCTGCTCCTCAAGCCACGCATGACATCAGGCGTCGCCTCCAATTTGTCACTGTACCACAAATGTGTGGTGGACCGTATACGCACTCTCACACTGTTGCAAGTCGCTTTTGAAAAGGTCAGTTGGAATTATTTAGGTTAAACATTTAATAATAATAATTACTCACAATTAACACAGCGCCATCTACACTCAGGGTAAGCTGAGCTAGTGTTATGGGTACTAGACACATATAAATACATAGATACATTTTTTTGTCTAAATACATACATCTCTTATATATAAAATTCTCGAGTCACGTTTCTTACTTGCTTGACCGATTTTTATGAAATTTGCATATTCAGTAGGTCTGAGAATCGGCTACTATCTATTTTTCATACCCCTAAGTGATAAGGGTTGTACCACCACCAACATTTATTTTTTATTTTTTGGACAATTTTCTTTTATAATGCATAAAAAATAAAATAAAGGCGACGGATGAAAGACGACTGCATGCGAATGTTGTGATGGATGTGTGGTGTGACAAGAATGGATAAGATAAAGAACGAATACATTAGAGGAAGTATGAAAGTGGCGCCGGTGTCGGAGAGGTTGAAGAGTAATCGTCTATCATGGTATGGACATGTAATACGTAGGAATGAAGATCATATTTTAAGAAAAGTGTTACATATGAATGTAGATGGTTATAAGGGCAGAGGAAGGCCGAAAAAGAGATGGATGGACTGTGTGAAAGATGATATGGTAAGAAAGGAAGTAAATAACGCGATGACTGCGAACAGGGATCAATGGAAGAGAAAAACATTACGACGACCACAAATAAATGGGATAAGGAAGAAGCATGATGAATGTGGCATTAAAAATGCATTTTTTATAAAAAATATTTCTTTGAATAGCGATTTTAATTTATATGTTAATACAACGTTTGTGGGATATGCTAGTGATATATATAGGAAGCACTTCAACAGATACCAACAATCATACTTATGAATACAAATGTTTGTACCGTACGAGGAATTGAATCGGCGACTATCGAAATTAAAGCGGTGCGCTAAACCCCCAGACCACTGGAGTCGTCAATAAATTATTTAATTCTTGCTACAGATCCCCCTGCCGTCTCTACAATCCCCCCAGTTTGAGCTCTATAGCGAGGTAGAAGCTAAGAGTAAGAAGCTAATCAGGGAGGTTTGCAAGATGTGTGTCACGCTACGTGATGAGGACTGTCCTGCTGCTGCAGAGGATAACCTCAGAGGAGACTTCAAGTGAGTACCAAATTCAATGGTAAGATTACCATTTTTAACCTGCAGATACTACAGTGAAAGTACTAGGATAACATGACTCGCAAGTAGGCTACAGCCTACCGCCGTCTATTGCAGTAATGTGTTTATTTTTATTCAAATGGGATAATTTGATAAAATGATAATATGGACATGGCAAGTGTTGCGTTCACCACAATATCGACAGTTGACAATAACTCTGACTACTCCATCAAAGATCACAGTCGTGAAGTTATTTTACTATCAGCGATACTACAGTGAAAGTACCAGGAGAACATGACTCGCAAGTAAGCTAGAACCTACCCTACCGTCTATTGGAGTGATGTGCTTTTTTTATTCAAATGTGGTAATTTGATAAATTGATAATGTGGACATGTCAAGTGTTGCGTTTACCACAATGTCAACAGTTGACAGTAACTCTGACTACTCCATCAAAGATATGTAACAGTCGTAAAGTTATTTTACTATCAGCGATGCTACAGTGAAAGTACCAGGAGAACATGACTCGCAAGTAGGCTACAGCCTATTAGTGCAATGTGTTTTTTACTTATTCAAATTCGAAATGTGGACATGTCAAGTGCTGCGTTCACGACAACATGGACAGTTGACAATGACTCTGACTACCCCATCAAAGATAACAGTCGTGAAGTTATCTTACTATTACCGATACTACAGTGAAAGTACCAGGAGAACATGACTAGCGAGTAGGCTACTGCCTACCGCCGTTTGACTTTTGTTTCTTTGTATTGTTTAGTGGCTTATATGGAAGCACTTTAGTGATATATTTGTGTTTAATATTCTTTTTTTTTTGTTTTTTATTATTATTCTAGCTACCTATACCGGTATCGCACGGGTATACTTGTATTATATATATAACCTTCCTCTTGAATCACTATCTATTAAAAAAAACCCGCATCATAATCCGTTGCTTAGTTTTAAAGATTTAAGCATACATAGGGACGAACAGACAGCGACAGCGACTTTGGTTTTATACTACGTAATGATGTATCGAATAAATGTATCTATTTCTTATTCTATTGTTTCTAGACGATTCCAATACGCCATCTACAATTGCTTGTGCGCGGCCATCTGCAAACGGCAGCCGGGCGAGAAGTTGTACGAGCATATACTGAGCAGGGACGCGTGGTCTCGAATTGTAGATGATAATGTGACATACAACCTCACAATAGTAACTGTAAGTTTTATTTTCCTTTTTATTTATTACTAGTTGACTCCAAGAACTCCTTTCCGCTTGAAATTTAAAGGAATTTTGAATTTCTGAACGCGCCCTGTTTAACAGTTTGTATAGGAAAATAATAATAATAATCTCAGGACAATTCACACAGCGCCATCTAGACCCAAGTTAAGCTAGCTAGAGCTTGTGTTATGGGTACTAGATAACTGATACATATACATAGATATATATTTTTTTTTGTAAATACATACATATTATACATAGAAAACACCCAGACAGATACAAACAATTATACTCATGGATACAAATGTTTGTGCCGTGCGAGGAATCGAACCCGCGATAATCAGTCGAAAGGGGTGTGCTTGACCGCTAGACCACCGAGGTCGGTAAATAAAATTGTTGTTTTTACTATTCTCCATACAAGGCGCTCTGTGATTGCCTTTTTTTTTTAATAATTATTATTTATGCCTAGATGGCGCTCCGTGATTGCCTTTTTTTTAATAATTATTATTTATACCTAGATGGCGCTCTGTGATTGCTTTTTTTTTTTTAAATTATTTATGCCTAGATGGCGCTCCGTGATTGCGTTTTTTTTTTAATTATTATTTATGCCTAGATGGCGCTCTGTGATTGACTTTATTTTAATAATTATTTATGCCTAGATGGCGCTCCGTGATTGCCTTTTTATTTAATAATTATTATTTATACCTAGATGGTGCTCTGTGATTGACTTTATTTTAATAATTATTTATGCCTAGATGGCGCTCCGTGATTGCTTTTTTTTTTTAATTATTATTTATGCCTAGATGGCGCTCTGTGATTGACTTTATTTTAATAATTATTTATGCCTAGATGGCGCTCCGTGATTGCCTTTTTATTAATAATTATTATTTATGCCTAGATGGCGCTCCTTGATTGCCTTTTTTTTTAAATAATTATTATTTATACCTAGATGGCGCTCTGTGATTGCCTTTTCTTTAATAATTATTATTTATACCTAGATGGCGCTCTGTGATTGACTTTTTTTAATAATTATTATTTACGCCTAGATGGCGCTCCGTGATTGCCTTTTTTTTTAATAATTATTATTTATACCTAGATGGCGCTCTGTGATTGACTTTATTTTAATAATTATTTATGTCTAGATGGCGCTCCGTGATTGCCTTTTTTTTTAATAATTATTATTTATACCTAGATGGCGCTCTGTGATTGCTTTTTTTTTTTTAAATTATTTATGCCTAGATGGCGCTCCGTGATTGCTTTTTTTTTTTTAATTATTATTTATGCCTAGATGGCGCTCTGTGATTGACTTTATTTTAATAATTATTTATGTCTAGATGGCGCTCTGTGATTGGCTTTTTTTAAATTATTTTTTTGGGACTCAACGGCGTTGTGTTAGTTGTCCTTTTTTAATAATTATTGTTTGTGTAACAGAAGCCGCGTAAGACTCGCCACTCGGTGTCAATAGAAGTACCCCAGGGTGGAGACTACTTGAGCACAAGCAGCGTTAGGACGAGGATGTTCCTGCGAACATTATCCGAGGATCCCCTCAACTACGACCTGATCTCGCATGAGGAGCATACCCAGGTGTGTATGTATGGTTTGGAATAGATTTCACGCAATGGAAAATATTTTAAATTAAAAATATTTTATTCGTGTAGGACATTTTAGCCGCTTATGAACGATAAGCTTTTTATATGAATACTAGCTGTTCCGGCGCTAATCTCAGGAACTACTGGTGTTGTATAGTCCATTTGTCGAGGAAGGCTTTAAGCTATATAACATAGCTATATACGCTACCACCAATAGGAGTGGTGCTGCAATGGAAAATATTGCGAAATGTGGGGAAATGAAATGCGCGAGTCAGCTAGTATTAATAATAATCTCAGGACAATGGACACAGCGCCATCTAGACCCACGTTAAGCTAGCTAAAGCTTGTGTTATGGGTACTAGACAACTGATACAAATACATAGATATATTTATTTTGTAAATACATACATATTATACATAGAAAACACCCAGACCGATACAAACAGTCATACTCTTGAATATGTGATGACAGGAGCGGTGGTGAGAGTAAACACACACAGTAGGGTGTAACTTGTGCATTAACTGTTACATCTTGAATTACTCTAGCTTACAATAATTACATAAACTATATATATGACCAACTGCGTGACCTACGTGTCGTTATACAAAATGTATTCTGGCACAATCTACTATCGAACGTGCTGATTTGCATCACTATATCACAAATACAAATGTTTGTGCCGTGCGAGGAATCGAACCATCGGACGTAAAGCGGTGTGCTAGACGGCTAGACCACCGAGATCGTCGTAGATAAACACATTTGAACGTAGATTCTCTTACCTAATGTCCAAGGTGGTGACACAAGATCTGGAGTTGATTGATAACGAGCTCAGCGATCATCCGTGTTCGGCCACGCTGACTGCACTGGTCTCCCACGTGTGCTCCCAGGGTTACACCAATTGGCTGCGGGAGATGGTGCGCGCATTACGAGAACTGCACGTTAATATGAAGTGGCTATTAGCACAGGTAGGATATTTATTATTAGATCTACTAATTGTAAATACTTGCTGCCCACCTTCATGAAAGAGGAAAATCATTTATTCAAATAAACTACTGGCTTTTGAAAGGTCGTTCGGAAAGCTGTCTCATCACAAGAAGAACGAGCAAGAAACTTGCGTGTTGCTCTTTTAAATAATTTTATTATTACTTTACATTTTTAAGTTTAAGTGTGTGAATACAAACCACCAATTAGCACTAATTCAATTAAATACTCAAAAAGAAAAAATATTGAATACATAACCAACTGGTTAAACAATTAATAAGAAGAAATCAGTCATAGTGATTAGAGCAGACCAGTCCTTACAAGCAGCACCCGTTCACGAGTATGACGGACATGAAAGAGGACTACTGGCCGAAAGGTGTGGTGTATCGGCGCTACCGTGGCAGATTGCCGTCTTCAGTGCCGTGATCACACATACAATATCATTGTATTAGTTTTTAAATATTATATTATATGTATGTTAGACTATAAGGTATTTATAATATGGGCCTAGTTGCCTGAAATAAATGAATAAATAAATAAATAATTGTACGCAACGTCGCGTGGAATTTAACTACATTTTTCTAAAATAAAAGTAGCCTAAGTTACTCTTTATTACATCAGCTACCTGCCAAAAAAGTCCCGTCAAAATCGGTCCAGCTATTTCAGAGATTAACCGGAACAAACAGACAGACAGGCAAATTTTTTTTAAAATGGTATTTGGTATATGTACCGTATTTATATTTATATGCATGTAGTAAAAACGGTTATTTCAATGTTACAAATAGACAGGTGTGTCTGTTTATACAGTGTGTAAAATTTTTGTCTGTCTATTTGTTGCGGCTAATCTCTGAAATGACTGTACCGATTTTGACGGGATTTTTTTTGGCAGGTAGCTGATGTAATAAGGAGTTACTTAGGCTACCTTTATTTTAGAAAAATAAAGTTAAAATCCACGCGGACGAAGTCGCGTGAACAGCTGGTAAAACATATACAAGATGTGGTTGAAACTATGTATATTTGTTGTAGGTCATTATTAATTGTAAAGATGACCTTACGCAACACGCTAGCGTGCTGCGCCCGGCGTTGCTCGAGCTTATAGCAGACACGCCGCACGAGAAACAAGGCAAAAGACTGCTCAATGGACTACACGTAGATATAGTAAGTATATATTACTAGATATCCCGACAAACGTTTTGCCATAAATTTAAGTACTAATAAAATAGGGGTTGGTGGTATAAGGGTAATTATTTAGGGTTGTATGTATTTTTAATGCAATATTATAAAAAAATGTCCAAAATTATGTGTGATCGCTTTTTAGCTATAAGGCCGCCCGTTGTTACCTCTTTGTTTTGTTTATTATTGTGTTTTTTGTCATATTATACAGAATTGTGTATGTAAATGTATTTTCTGTGAGTGGAACAATAAACAGTATCATTCATTCATTCGTTCAAAAAAAAATGTTAGGTGTGATAGGTACCTTATCAGGGGTATGAAAAATAGTAGCCGATTCTCAGACCTACTAAATATGCTTGAAAATTTTATTAAAACCGGTCAAGCCGTTTCGGAGCAGTATGGTAACTAACATTGTGACACGAGAGTTTTATATATAATATCTACATTTATATTTTTTACAAACTGTTACCACTTACCATCAGGCTCTTCCGCTTGTTTACCGTTCTAATAATATAAACAAAATGTTTTTTTTTAACAGCTCCACACCCTAATACAATGGTGTCAGAATACCGATAGTTCTGAAACGGAAATACCGGAATCGTCGATTGCTCATCTCAACACAACCATAGAGTATCTGATCAATACCACCATAGACAAAGAAGAGAGGTTGCTCTTGGATCTGATAGACAAACTGTTGGAGATCTATGGTAGTGACGTCACGGTGCCGTGGAGATGCTTTGGGGAGTATATTACGGGTAAGTGAATAGAATAGCAGCTGACTCACGTCATACTCGTGAACGATTGCTGCTTGTACGGACTGGTCTGTTCTAATCACTGTGATTTAATCTTAATGTGTATTTATATTTGACCCTAATAAATTAGTACTAGTTGGTAGTTTGTATTCACACATTTCGACTTAAAAATGTAAAGTTACAATGATTATTTACAAGAGCAACACACAAGTTTCTTGCTCGTTCTTCTTGTGATGAGACAGCTTTCCGAATGAGCGGTAGATTAAAGATTTTGAGATGACTATTCAAAAATGCCTTAATGAAGTTTATTTGAATAAATGATTTTCTATTCTATTCTACTATGCTGAGCACGGACTTATTCAGTGGATGTTTTGAGACACATACAGTTAATCGTTACTAATATTATAAATGTGAAAGTAACTCTGTCTGTCTGTCTCGCTTTCAAGTCAAAACTACTAAACCCATTTAAATTAAATTTGGTACATAGATAGTCTAGACCCTGAGAAAGGACATAGCTACTTTTTAATGCAAATATAGGTTGTAAGGGGTTGAAAGGGGAGATTACAGTTTGTATGGAAATATCATCATTTTTTAAAGCTAGAAGCTACAAACTTTCTTTTAAGCTGTTGATTAAATATAAATAAATATACCAAGGTTACTATGGAACGCGGACGAAGTAGCGGGCACAGCTAGTAAACTATAAATGGGGCTGTTCAAGTATTACGTAAGCAGATTTATCACAATTATTTACCCCCCATCCCCCGTTGTCAGCAAAAGTAAGCAAAGCTCTTACCCCCTCCACCCATGCTTACGTAAACATCTCTCAATTAATGTATTGTTTTTTTAGCAAAGACAATGTGAGGGTTGCCATTCGTGTAAAAAAGTAAATTACGACCGATGACGTAATCATCATACAGACTCCCCCACCCCCATGTCATCCAAAATAAGCAAAAAAAGACCCCCCGCCCCCCTATAGTGCTTACGTAATACTTGAACGGCCCCAATGGTAAAAGGATTTTTTCTTTAATTGTAGCAATGTTTTACGTTACTATGGGTATAGATGGCGCTGTGTGAATTATACAGGGTGTTTATTATTATTTAATAATTACAGGTTCTCCCAACCACCAAAATAAGGTATCACTATCGATTCTCAAAAGAATAACTACACACAAAATACATATACCCGAGTTGGTGCCAACGTTGGTTAAGTACGACAAATATTGGATCCAAGAGCACAAGATGGCGGAGCTGTTCGGTTTGGCGGTCACGCTTGAGAGCGACAAGGCGGAAGCTATGCGGCAGTTCAAAAAGATATTGGAGAGATCGAGACAGAATATAGACGCATATGTGAAGATACTGTATTATGCTCAACAGGGTTATCCGGGAATATGTGATGAAAGACAATTCAGGTATTTGGGGGAGGGGGACAGCACTGGGTACATCACGTTATCATGTATCGCCCGTGATGTATTTATATCAGTTGTCTAGTACCCATAACACAAGCTCTGCTTACCGTGGGACTAGATGGCGCTGTGTTAATTGTCCAGAGTTATTTATTTATAACTCAAGTCTGAACTTCGACTAACTCTCCGCTCTCCCTCCGCACCTCTCCTCCACTTCATACTGCATCATTCTCTCTCTTTCACACCATCCTTCTGTCTCATTCACACACACATTATTAATATTATAAAACTGAAGAGTTTGTTGGTTAGTTTGGAGGCGCTAATCTCAGAAACTACTGGTTTGAATTGAAAAATTATATTTGTGTTGGATAGTTCATTTGTCGAGGAAGACTTTAAGCTATATAACATTACGCTACGACCAATAGGAGCGGAGCTGCAATGAAAAATATTGGAAAAGGTTGAGAAATGAAACGCAGACGAAGTTGCGCGAGTGAACTAGTCCTACTACAAAAGTGTGATTGTTCTTATTTTATTCCAGAACCATCGTAGACCAAGCCCCAAAAGTTCCAAAGCTATTAAAAACAAGATGTCTACAGATAATATACAATTATATATCTCGGAAATCGTCACCAGACGAGCATATTACCTCCATGTTTGATACCATAGAGCTACACGAGCTGTTGACCACAGACAATATAGAGGCTATGGGAGTGGCGAAGAATGGCCTCCATTTGATGGATGATGGGATGAAGAGACGGGTGGTGATGATAATTGCAGAATATTGTCATCACCCGGATGTGAAGGTGAAGCAGGCCGCGTATGAGGTGATGGTGAAAGCTTTTGAAGGTAATTTTTTTATACCACTTAGGTGGGTGGTGGTGATGGTGGCGAACCCGCGATCATCGACAGTAAAGGGTGTGCTAAACCGCTAGACTACCGAGGCTGTAACTGTACTATAAAAAGATTTTCATTAATTATTATTTTATTACAGATCTACTAAACAGAAATGAAGGGCCACCACCAGCAAAGAAGTCCAAGAAGAGACAAAGTGCTATATTGAATCTTGGACTCAGCGATCCGTACACCCGCACCGTGCTGTCACGTGTCTCGAGTACGGACAGCGTCGCACGCGAGGTCGTTAGCCGACTGTGCGGCGACGATATGCGTGTTAGGTATGTTTTATAAATAAGCCTGATTCGTTAACACGAGCGGGTCAGCTAGTAATTTTCCATAAATTTATTGTGCCGTATGGGGTCGTCCAAGAATTATGTAAGCACTATGGGGGTTGGGGGGAGGGGGTGGGGGCTTTGCTTTGTTTATTTTGGATGAGATGGCGGGTAGGGGAGTCTAGATGATGATTACGTCATCATTAGTTATTTACTTTTTTACACGAATGGCAACCCTCACGTTGTTTTTGCTGAAAAAACAATACATTCATTGAAAAATGTTTACGTAAGCGTGGGGGGAGGGGTTAAGAGCTTTGCTTACTTTTGCTGACATGCCCCCCCCCCCCCCCCTTGTCAGCAAAAGTAAGCACAGCTCAAGCCTTGTCAGCAAAAGTAAGCAAAGGGGGGTAATTTTAATAAATCTGCTTACGTAATACTTGAACAGCAACTGTCAAGTGTGCTGACGTTTTGTCTATATATGTCATTATTACAGACTGGCCGAGAGTATTCTACTATGTTTGTACATGCCCCTCGCGGAGCATCATCAGTTGTCTCCGAAGATCCCACTCCTGGAGATGCTGTTCAGAGAATTGAGAAGCAGTCGCCGGTTCCTAGCAGCCAAGTTGAGAGATGCACCTCTGGAATTAAAATCTGATCGGTACTTTCATATATTAACGTGTTCAAGCGAGCATATAGCGAGCAATAAAATAAAAAATCAACGATATTATTGTTAGAGTTCACATCAATATTGTAGAAAAAATCCGATATTTTAAAAAGATATTAAAAGAAGGTAGTTTGTGTTTAGTACTAATGAAGTACCCAATGTAAAGATTATTACAAATATTGTAAATAGCGCCATCTAGTATTTATAGTCCGACCTACTACACTGACTTTGGTCTATAAATATGGAGGTCGGTAGTTGAATAATCCTCTTTCGTTGCGTGAGTCGCGGCATTCAGTCGACGAACGCAGAGCGTGCCGGTTGTATTTTGGATACTAAAGTGAATTGTATTAGAAATGGGTTTATCCCGGTCTTAGTTGGACCTGGGGGGAAGCTGCAAGTAGTGAAGGTGAGTGTTAATGCATTCTAAAAGGGCCTTTTAAACCTACACCCGTGTCACAAGTCACGGGCGCTACTTGGGGTTTCCCTTGCCGGCTTCAAAGCCTAAGTCATCGTTTATTAGTGCTTCTTTACATTATGGATATGAAATTTCGGAAAATTTTATGTGTTGAAGTGTCATGATTAGATCAGACGAGTCCCTACGTCAAGTTTTTGGTATTATTATTTAGGATATTTTAGGCTTATATTTTAAGAGGCCTAAATTACTCCTTGCAGCATTAGCCATCTAGTGAAAGTTCCGTCAAAATCCGTCTATCCATTTCAGAGATTTACAAGCAGACGGACAGACAAAAATATTTTTTTTTTATGTGCTATCGTATATACTTTCATATGCATTTAGTGAAAAGGGGTAAATGTATTATTTGTATATTTTATGGACTATTCTTTATAGGGGTGATGATGACATGATCAGAACTGCATCATCTAAGGTGATGATGAAGAGTGCTACGTACCAAGGCACCTTCCGGTCCTACCGCACCTCCGGATATACCAGGCGAACTAAAAAAAATAAAGGTATACATATATAACAAGTATTATCCGTTTGCCGAAAGTAAGTGCCGTTTGACGAAAGTTAGTAATTTGTTTTATGGAAATTGCGTAAGGTTTTACAACAAACTGCCAGAGTCTGTACTCAATTTGCCAGAAAAAATTCAAATATGTTATAAAATATTTTCTTTGTAAAAAACCTTATTATAAAATTGAAGAATTTATAAATGATAATAATTTTTTTGTAGAAAATATCTAACTTAAAATTCATAGCGCTGACAATGTTATCTGATTGAACAGAGATTAAGTGCGTAGCGGTTTGTATGTTGATTGTCGCATGCCTAATCCTTGTTTTTAATTAAATATAAGCAAATTAATATTTATTTAAAAGAGAAATACACAAGTTTCTTGCTTATTCTTCTTGTGATGAGTCAGCATTCCGAATGAGCGGTAGAATCGAAAAACTTGACTATTCAAAAGTACTTATATTAAGTTTATTTGAATAAAAATTATTTCTATTTCTATTTCATTATCATTCCTAAGATATAAATAAAGGAGTTGAGATAAAAAAGAAAAATCGATATAAACATAAACAGGTGGATGATAATTTGATGTTTCGATGATGATGATGATGATGATTTTTGGATGTTTGTGTCCTTAAATATAAGTCTCTGATTTTTTTTATGATATTAGAATAACAAAGAAGCTTACTGCCTACCTGTTCACATTATCATGTGACGCCCGTAGCTTCTTTAATATGTACGTAATACACCGTAATTTCACTGACGATAGGTATGTCACAACACTGTCTATTAATTTATGTTCTCCTGGTACTGCTAATGTAGTTTCGTTTCTTTAGTACTTTTTTTTTGTTATATTATGGCAAACAAGCTGACGGCCCACCTGATGGTAAGTGGTAACCGTCGCTTATATACATGAGCAGTACTATAGACATCAGGTTATCATCATGTGACGCCCGTAGTATCCTTAATACGTACTACACAGTAATTCCGCTTGCCATATCTCTCAACAAACTGCCTATAAATCCATGTTCTCCTGGTACTTTTAATGTATGTAGTTTCGTTTCTTTACAACTTTTTTTTATCATTGTATTAATAGCAAACAAGCTGACGGACCGCCTGATGGTAAGTGGTAACCGTCGTATATATACATGTGCAGCACTACGAACATCACGTTATCATGTGCCGAGTATCCGTTGCCAATCTGAAGGACTATGAGATCACGTCTCCATACACTGTAATTTTACTGGCCATATCTCTCAACAAACTGCCTATAAATTCATGTTCTCCTGGTACTTCTAATGTAGTTTCGTTTCTTTAGTACTTTTTTTTGTCATTGTTAATAGAAAATAAGCTGACGGACCGCCTGATGGTAAGTGGTAAACATCGTCTAATATACATGAGCAGCACTGCAGACATCACGTTATCATGTGACGAGTATCCTTAATACGTTACCAATCTGAAGGACTATGAGATCACGTCTCCATACACTGTAATTTTACTGGCCATATCTCTCAACAAACTGCCTATAAATTCATGTTCTCCTGGTACTTCTAATGTAGTTTCGTTTCTTTAGTACTTTTTTTTTGTCATTGTTAATAGAAAATAAGCTGACGGCTCGCCTGATGGTAAGTGGTAAACATCGTCTATATACATGAGCAGCACTGCAGACATCACGTTATCATGTGACGAGTATCCTTAATACGTTACCAATCTGAAGGACTATGAGATCACGTCTCCATACACTGTAATTTTACTGGCCATATCTCTCAACAAACTGCCTATAAATTCATGTTCTCCTGGTACTTCTAATGTAGTTTCGTTTCTTTAGTACTTTTTTTTTTGTCATTGTTAATAGAAAATAAGCTGACGGCTCGCCTGATGGTAAGTGGTAAACATCGTCTATATACATGAGCAGCACTGCAGACATCACGTTATCATGTGACGAGTATCCTTAATACGTTACCAATCTGAAGGACTATGAGATCACGTCTCCATACACTGTAATTTTACTGACCATATCTCTCAACAAACTGCCTATAAATTCATGTTCTCACTTTTAGGTAGTTAAAAGAAGCGATTCTTTGCTCCTTTCTTCTTTTTTATTGTAATGTCAAACAAGCTGGTGTCCCGCCTGATGGTAAGTGGTTACCGTCGTCTATATACATGAGCAGCACTACGAACATCACGTTATCATGTGCCGAGTATCCGTTGCCAATCTGAAGGACTATGAGATCACGTCTCCATACACTGTAATTTTACTGACCATATCTCTCAACAAACTGCCTATAAATTCATGTTCTCACTTTTAGGTAGTTATTCTTTGCTCCTTTCTTCTTTTTTATTGTAATGTCAAACAAGCTGGTGTCCCGCCTGATGGTAAGTGGTTACCGTCGTCTATATACATGAGCAGCACTACGAACATCACGTTATCATGTGCCGAGTAGCCGTTGCCAATCTGAAGGACTATGAGATCATGTCTCCATACACTGTAATTTCACTGGCCATATCTCTCAACAAACTGCCTATAAATTCATGCTCTCCTGGTACTTTTAGGTAGTTAAAAGAAGCGATTCTTTGCTCCTTTCTTCTTTTTTATTGTAATGTCAAACAAGCTAGTGTCCCGCCTGATGGTAAGTGGTTACCGTCGTTCATATACATGAACAGCACTACGGACATCACGTTATCACGTGACATCACGTTATCACGTGACGACGGTAGTATCCTTAATACGTAGTACACTGTAATTTTGCACGATGAATATTTTTATTTAGTATTTTTGGGTTATTAAATATTTTTTCTTTATTTGATGAAGGTCGCTATTCCACGGACATAGTCGCGTCAACAGCTGATATTCTATAATGTTGCGGGTAAATTATACTATGTTGCTGATCGAGACGATGTATATTACAGATGATAATAAACTGACAATATGTACATAGAAATAATGATCTTATATACTAAATGACAATAGGAAAATGTAAGGTGGGGTGACACAGTTTAGACACAGCAGTGCTTAGTACACAATATTGAATTTGTCTTACTAGACATTATTAAATGCAATTATTATTTTGATGTATCTAGGTGTATCTGTGTCCCATATCTAAATAATAATGTACTGATGCACAAGTGGAGGATGATAGGATGGACATGAGGTCAGGTCTGTTAGCACATCATAGTAAATTCACCAAGAATTTATAACGATGGGTGGTTCCAGGGGGAACCACGTGGAGGTCAACCTGACATGGTACATTGCTAGCAACAGGGTCATCAATCCACATTACTGATAATCACCTTTCTCCCAATAGCTGATCATCATCATTACATACTATAAAACAAAGTCGCTGTCGCTGTCTATCCCTATGTATGCTTAAATCTTTAAAACTACGCAACGGATTTTGAAGCGGTTTTTTTTAATAAATAGAGTGATTGTTTTATATGTATAATACATGTACTCGTGCGAAGCCGGGGCGAGTAGCTAGTATTGAATAATTAAGTAGTATATATTTTGTTTATGGTGAGTTATAGTAATTGTTTTTTTTTTATTGCAGCTCCTATCGACTCGGGCATAGACGTACAAATTACCATAGACAGCATATTGACTACGCTACTGAAATTTGCAGAGGTATGTGTTACTAATATTATAAACGAGAAACTTTGTATGTATGGATGGATGTTTGTTACTCTTTCACGCAAAAACCACTGAACTTAATGAAATTGTACTATAACATAAAAAAAATATTTTTGATATGACTTGATTTGGTTTTGGTGATGTTGGGGTTTTGATTTTGGCTTAGTATTAATTTTAATTTTTAACTCTTACAAAACGACAAATATCTGACAATTTTGTTGACAAAAATTACATATGATAAGGGGCCTTATTACAAACTTTATAAACCAGAGACTAAACAGAGAATCACAGACAACAATTTTAATTGCCAGTTGATAAAAATATATTAATAAATGTATGCACAAATATAAATTACTAGCAACCCTGGTGTATATATATATATATATATATATAGGTACTGACTTATGTTACGGCGGGCGATATTTGCCTTTTAAAAATATATTTTATTTAATTAAAACAATGAAATTATTAAAGTACAAAATGTATAATTATATCGAATGATCGAACAAGACTACTGTAAAAATGTAACAATTAATAATTGATGTTAGGTGGCAGTATTCGTGGTAATTTGCTGTTCCCGGTAGCGGTGTCAGCTTATTGTGCCACGCACAGCAATTTACCAGGCGTTACGCCATGGTAACTACCGTCGCGGACATTTTTTTTAGATTCTTTCATACATATTTTTTTAGTAATGTGAACCGTTTACACAGCGCACACAATGGAAGGCCTTAAATATGAATAATTTTCCCCGTTTTTACAACATTTTTCACTGATGTCTCGCTCCTATTGGTCGTAGTGTAATGTTATATAGCTTAAAGCCTTCCTCGACAAATGGACTATCCAATATAAAAATAATTTTTCAATTCGAACCAGTAGTTCCTGAGATTAGGGTGTTCAAACAAACAAACAAACTCTTCAGTTTTATAATATTAGTATAGATGTAGTAATGAAAGATACATACAATGGAGTATGTGTGAATGAGACAGAAGGATGGTGTGAGAGAGAGAGAATGATGACAATATGGGAGTGAGGAGAGGTGCGGAGAGCAAACAAAGAAACGAAACTTATGTATGTATATATATATTTATAGTATTTGTATGTATATGTATTTAGTATTCATATATCTAACTTTTTATAGTGCGCCGTCATATAGTAAAAGGAAAGTTAGGTCCCTTACCCAATGCTTCTATCTCCCTGGTTGTCTGTAAGAGATTGCTTTAAGCGATGAGGCCGCCTTTTGTTTGCATATCCTTATTAGGGTGGTTCACCTCAGCAGAATGCCCGGGCAAGGAGCGCAAGCTCGGGGTCCGTACCCAGTGGTCCACAAAAGGACCAGCGGACGACCCGAAAGTATGGAAAGTATATCCTTATTGTCGCCCGGCGACGCACGCGATGTTCCCGCGCGTGGACTGTGGGCGCGAAGCATACTTTCGCGTACTCGCCCCACTCTACGCGCTTCCACCGGTCGCATCTCGCGACCTTCTCTCCATCGTGGAAACACGTCATTCGCGGCAAGCGGCGTCCAAAGTCGACGAGCGACACTAAATTCCCCTACATGCCACATCACTCCCTCAGCTGGTTACATAATAGTAGCCGGCCTCGACAACTAACGACGTAAACGAACGACGCTTGCTCACCGTTGCTTCTCAATTTATATATTCAAATATCCTATATGTTCATAAAAATCTAGACTCATTTCCAAAAAACAGCAATATTCATAATATTAATACTAGATTTAAAGACAAACTTGCTGTCTCCAAGTATCGTTTAGAAAAAGTTAATAGGTCTTTTATGGGAATAGGTATAAAAATTTACAATAAGATACCAAAGGATATATTGGAATTACCCTTAAATAAATTCAAAACATCTGTTTAACACTCTAGAAGTATTATACAAATAAAAGACGTACCAAGGTTAATTGACAATTTAATTTTTGCATTACAACGAATACATGTAATGATCAAAACGAAACTATAGCGCGTTTTAGAATTGACACAGCGCCATCTAGTATTTCATACTGTAAACTGTTACGGCCAATACTTATTACAATTTATACATACCGCCCACCATGGACAACTACAGTACTTTAGTTGTTCATCACTACAAAAAAAAATAAAATTAACATACAAAATCAACAATATTAAAGGTGAGCGAATAGACAAACAAAAATGCTATAAAAATATTACAAAACATGAGTAGAAATTAACATACTTAACAAAATTACTTTAAGCTTAATTAAACAATAACAAATTCTGACAAATTGACAGATTTACTTAGAAAATAGACTGCCATTGCAAATGAACTTATTCTGTTACAGGCAGTAAACATATCTTAGATAATGGTCTTTTAATAATATTACCCTTACATTTAAGACTAACAACGCGTGTAATCTTGTCCAAACCTTCATGTTTATCAATTATTATACCAAACAACCATTTAGCAGGTGGTAAATCGTCCTCCCTTACCAACACTACCTATAATGTTGTAAGTCATCTTTTTGATTATCTGGATTACGCCACAAGATACGCTGAAAGTTTGTATCTTCAGGAAAAACCTTCACCTGTCTATACATTTTAGTTATGTCTGCCACTAGACATATAGGATACAATCGCCAGCGCATGATAAGATGTCTCAGATCGGACTGAAGAGTCGGACCAACCATTAGATCATCGTTCAAGGATACACCGTTGCAATCTTTGCACGAAGCATCAAACACAACGCGTGTTTGAGTAGTACTTTTATCTTCTCTGATGACGGGATGATGTGGCAAATAAACAGCGTTTTTGTTATCACGTTCATCATCAGGTACCAGCTCCATATGACCCAAACCTAAATAGTCCTTTATGACATTTGAATAATCCATTTTTAACTTAGGATTTTTTAATAATCTCTTTTCTAACAAATAAAACCTACGAGCTGCTATATCTCGAGAATTACCATACATACAAGTTGGATTTTGATCACGAAATGGTAATTTGACAACATACCTACCGAATGAATCTCGTTTGGTAGTGGCGACGAACAGTTCCTCACATCTCTGCTCTTCAGGCGTGAGATGTTTACGATTCAGATTGGAATTGTCTGATTCTAACTCCCAAAATTTACGTAGGAGTTCGTTTTCATTACAATGAGAATGCAAACTAACAATTGAGTAACAACACTCTTTCTCATTGTTACCAGAAGATTCTATCTCTCCTGACAATATCCAACCTAACTTGGTTTTTTGAGCAACTAATGATTGAGATGATCCCCTAATAAGACCCTCTTCCAAGATCATTCCATAAACTTTAGCACCCAATAACAAGTCAATCTTGTTGGGAGTGGTGTACGTAGGATCTGCTAAATCTGATTTAGACAGTTCTGTTAATACTGGTAAGACAACCTTTCGTTCTGGAAGAAAAGTAGTTAGCTTCTTTAAAACATGAGCCTTTACATCAACAACAAAGTTGGGGTCATGGAGTGATTGAATTTTTAAAAACACTACAGACTTAGAGGTTAAAGAACCCGCCTGATCACTTCCTAGCCCTGATATTTGACTTCTGCTTGAATATTTCTTTAACCCAAGAAGCTGAACTGCTGCTTCAGTAATAAATGAAGCCTGCGAACCTTGGTCTAACAACGACCTGAGGGTGATATTCTTTCCAGTCTTTGAAACAATTTTAACTAAAGCGGTGGCCAATAACACTTGGGTGTCAACCCTAGAAAAACATGCTACGACATTTCTAGCTTCGTCTTGTGTAGCTGATGTCGTTGGTACGACGACATTACTATTAGCCGATTGATCACTACCTACTTCATTATCGGCTGATTGTACTATACTTCTAGGATGTAGTAATGAATGATGTCTTTTCTTACATATTTTACAACGAGTGGTTTGTTGGCATGAGTAAACCGAATGCTTAGAACCTAGACAATTATAACATAAACTGTTGGTTTGAGCAAAATTACGCCGCGTGTCTATGTCTGCTTTTGCAAATTTTTTACATTTGTAAATCTTATGGTTTTCATTACAATAAGCACATGAAAATACTGTAGTTACATGAAGTGATTTTGTATTATATTGAGTGCGATTAGAATAATTTACTTTTACAGATCTGTTATCTAAAAATTCTAATGATCTAAATCTACTCTCAAGAAAACTTTTAAATTGTGTTAGAGAAGGTAAGTCATCACCAGTTTCACTAATTTTTACTTCCCATAATTTTCTAGTTTCAGTATCCAATTTTAAACTAACTATATAAATTACAATGATATCCCACGAAGTTACATTAATGCCTAAATTTATTAATGCATTTATACACTCATTTGTTGTATCCAAAAGCTCTTTTAGACCAGTAGATGACTCTGACGTTACATTTTTTTGACTCATGAACCTCTTTAAAATACAATTAGCAAGATACCTTTTGTTGTTGTAACGTTTCTCAATAAGATCCCAACATACTTTATAATTACTCTGTGTGATAGGAACGTGACGTAGTAATTGTTCTGGTTCTCCAGAGAGATGGCTTTTTAAATAATGTAAACGTTGTACATCGTCTAACGTCTTATTGTTATGTACCAAAGACAGAAACAAATCTCTGAAACTAACCCACTCTAAATATTGTCCTGAGAATACAGGAATGGAAATTCTAGATAATTTTACTGTGAGAGACTGACTTTCCTTTTCTTTACTTAACACTGTATCGGTACTAGTTAAATATTTTGTTAATGACCCCTTTAATTCAGTCTTATAATCTATATAAGTCTCTTCAGTTTGCTCATACATATCAGTTTGAGTATAAGAAGACTTTGCAATTTCAGACTTAGGTATGTCACTAATAATTTTTGAATGAGTGTTGGTAAATTGTAGCCAAGATCTTTCTAAATTTTCCAACCTAGTTTCGATATAAGCCTGTGTTAAACGTTCCTTAGGCGATTTTTTAAAATTACTTCTGGCTTTCACAATTTTAGTTTTAATATCATCCTGTATATTAATTAACGACTCCATTATAAAAGAATACAATTTTAGAAATAATAAAGAAACAAAGTTTACCAACTCTCACCAATACAATGAATAAACAACCGAAATATTCTATTGAAACACCTATTAATTTATAAACAAACTTTGAAATAAAAACAATATTTTTATTTAACTATTATACTTATCTAAAACTATTTAAAGTCTATAATAGCACTGATGCACAAATTCTTCTATGTCCAGTAGATTGAGTAATTTTGCGTTAATTTTCTAAGTTCAAAATATCAATTATTTTTCTAAGTGTTTGAAACTGTATTAACTCTGATTGAAAACCGGCATGGATTCCCCGTATGTTCACTTTTTCTCGAATTATTCTAAGTCCAATTTCACTACTTTTATTGGAAATTTTTCTAAGTTAATAATTTCAAAGTACTTACAATTTTTTATTTTCTCACTATTATGGCACTCACTCACACTTTAACTTCACTTTCCTTGGTGGTTTCTCTCCCGGCTGCTACAGCGCCCCCTATCGGATATATCCGACAGGCGCTCTCGATGCACTCGTAGACCGGCGACACCACGCACCATAAACGGCAATCCACCACTGGGTCGGTACTCGAACACAAAAACTTGCCAGCCACTCAAAATTGAACTTTACTTCCGGCTTCGATAAGGACCACAATGTTTAACACTCTAGAAGTATTATACAAATAAAAGACGTACTAAGGTTAATTGACAATTTAATTTTTGCATTACAACGAATACATGTAATGATCAAAACGAAACTATAGCGCGTTTTAGAATTGACACAGCGCCATCTAGTATTTCATACTGTAAACTGTTACGGCCAATACTTATTACAATTTATACAACATCTGTTAAATCATATTTACTGAGCAAAGCCTATTACTCACTAAACGATTACTTGAATGACGAGCGTGCATGGCAATAGTTGTTCATGCACTGAATTTTCATTCAATGTTAGACAGAGACACCTATATAAATATACATTGTAAATAAACTGGCTTTAAAAAAGAAGTAATTCAATTGAGTTTCTTGCCAGTTCTTCTCAATTGGATCTATATACCAAACTGGACGGTAGGGAGAAAAAACTAAAATTTAGAATGTAAAAATTTGACATTCATAAGCGGCTAAAATGTCCTACATGAATAAATGATTTTTTGAATTTGAATTTGATGTTGGGGTGGTCCACCCCAGCAGTTTGCCCGGGTGATGGGCATATGCTCGAGGCCCGTACCCGGCGGCCCAAATGGGCCTGCGGAAGAACCCCCTGCTGCATATCCTTCTTTTTTTAATTTCCTTTTTGTAATTATTTGTTTTTTATGCACAAAAAAAGAAAAAAAAAATTTTATGCACAAATAAAGAGTTTTATTATTATTATTATGTATTTTACTCTATATTTCAGACAAATACAATGGTGCAACAAATATTAACTGTTGAAATATTCAAAGCGCTGGGTCATAGAGACAGCTTGTACGAAGACGTGGCTGAACAACTCGCCGTTATGTTGGCACTACCGCCGTGTGACGTCACGCCTATGTTGATCCAACTTGCTCGAGTGACCATAGACAACTGCAAAAGTGATAGGTAAGAATTTACTCAATTAATTCGCATATTTTTAAATAGAAAATGGAACCAGAAGAGCAAACAAACGGAAGAGGATATCAAGTCGACTGTATATTTTGATTTATTTATTTAAATAATAATAATAATTTCCGTGGACAATTCACAAAGCGCCATCTAGTTCAAGCTAAGCGGAGCTTGTGTTATTGTTACTAGACCACTGATATAAATAGCATACCGCCTTACTTCCGATGGTTTTCCCCTCCGATCGATCCCCCGTCCAATTCAAACGGGAATCGAAATTACGACGGCCTGAGCCGAGGTTTGAACCCATAGTGGTGCTCTCAGACTAAAGTCGTATCCGTCAGGCAGGAGTTGGCCTTCAGCCGCTCCATAAGTCCTTCCTTTGGTTTGGAGTGCCATCTGCACTCGCCCCTAACGTCCGGTGAAGCTGTAAAGGCCAGCTGCGGCCAACAGCATTAGAGTAGTCCGAAAAAAAAAAAACTTCCGATGGTTGCGGGTTCGATTCCTCGCACGGCACAAACATTTGTATTCGTCAGTATGATTGTTTGTATCTGTCTAGGTGTTTTCTATGTATAATATGTATTTATGAAAAAAATATATGTATTTGTATCAGTTATCTAGTACCCATAACACAAGCTTTAGCTAGCTTAACTTGGGACTAAATGGCGCTGTGTGAATTGTCCTGAGATTATTATAATTCTGAATATTGTTTCAGTTTTCAGGACACAGTGCGTAAGTTAAAAGAAATAACTTCTGGCACAGAAGGAGAGCAAATAACGAAGTGTTTATATGAAGAAGTGAGACTGAGATGTTTGGGACCAGAACAGTTTGTACTTGGGTATGTTATTTATTTATATACGACTGATGAACAAACTGACGGTAAGTGGTAACCGTCGCCTGTATGCATGAACAGCACTACGGACATCACGTTATCATATGATCTCGTAGTATTCAACAAACCGTCTATAAATTCATGTTCTCCTGGTACTTTTAATGTAGTTTTGCTTATTTAGTACTTTTTTTTTGTTATTTTAATGGCAAGCAAGCTAATGTCCTACCTGATGGTAGGTGGTGACCGTCAACTAAGTATGTACGTGAACAGCATTACGGATATTATGTCATCATGTGACATATTCTGCATGCGTTTGCCATATTGAAGAACTACGAGGTCCTGTCTCCAGACACTCTAATTTCACTGGACATATCTCTCAACGAACTGCCTATAAATTTATGTTCTCCTGGTACTTTTAATGTAGTTTTGCTTCTTTAGTACTTTTTTTCATTGTAATAGCAAACAAGCTTACGGACCGCCTGATGGTAAGTGGTAACCGTCGCCTATATACATGAACAGCACTACGGCCATTACGTTATCATCGGAAGCCGTAGTATCCGTAATGTGTTGCCAATCTGAAGCATTATAGGTCCGGTTCCATACAATGTTATTTCACTGCCATATCTCTCAACAAACTGCCTATAAATTCATGTTCTCCTGGTACTATTAATGTAGTTTCTCTTATTTTTTTTTCTCATTTGGCAAACAAGCTGAAGCTCCACCTGATGGTAAGTGGTAACCGTCGTCTATGTTCATGAACAGTACGGACATCACGTTATCATACGATTGATGTTTTTTTTATACCATAAACAATATATACATTTTTATACCAAACGAGCTTACGGCTCACCTGATCGTAAGTGATTACCGCCACCTATGAGCATCTGTAACACCAGGGGTAATGCAAGTGGTAAGTGGTAATAAGCTCTTTTCTTGAAGGTTCGTAAAGCGGGAGTTGGCCTTCAGCCGTTCCATAAGCAGTGGCGACCTAGGGTCTAGTCGGTGTAGTGCCCCGGGGCCCTCAAGCTCAGGGGACCCTCGAACCCTTACCAGAAAATCTCGAATGAACTGAACTGATAATTTCTCCAATTTTCAAAATAAATATGACAGATTGTAACCCGACTTTAATCATGGCAACTCACTTGAGAGAAATTCGAAAGTTATACCTTTGAAATAAAAAAATAAATTCTTTCAGTGGGTTGGCAGTGTTGTCATTTTGACGGATAACGATATGTGTGTTTTAATAAAACTGTAATGTAGGGCCCCCATTTTTCGATTTACCCCAGGGCCCTTGGTTTCCTAACTACGCCACTGTCCATATGTCCTTCCTTTGGTTTGGAGTGCCATCTGCACTCGCCCCCTATCGTCCGGTGAAGCTGTAAAGGCCAGCTGCGGACAATACCATTAGAGTAGTCCGAAAATAGAAGATATTTTCTTATATTAAAGAATTACTAGACTCCAATTGTTTCAGATCAATCAGTGATGAGAATGACATCAACATGGGATGCGGAACAGATGAATATTCACTTACAGGTTGGTTATTTAAAGATTTTAGAGATTTTATAGGCAGTTTGTTGAGAGATATGGCCAGTGAAATTTCAGGGTATGGAGACCGGACCTTGTAGTCCCTCAGACTGTCGACTACAGATGATGACGTAATGTCCGGAGTGCTGTTCATGTATGTAGGTGACCGTTACCACTTACCATCAGGCGGGACGTTAGCTTGTTTGCTATTACAATGACAAAAAAAATTGAATAAATACTAAAGAAGCGAAGCTACATTATAAGTACCAGGAGAACATAAATTTATAGGCAGTTTGTTGAGAGATATGGCCAGTGAAATCACAGTGTATGGAGACTGGACCTTGTAGTCCTTCAGACTGGCGACGTATTAAGGGAACTACGTGCTACAGATGATGACGTAATGTCCGGAGTGCTGCTCACGTATATAGACGACGGTTACCACTTACCATCAGGCGAGCCGTTAGCTTGTTTGCTATTACAATGACAAAAAAAATAAAGTAGTAAAGAAGCGAAGCTACATTATAAGTACCAGGAGAATATAAATTTATAGGCAGTTTGTTGAGAGATATGGCCAGTGAAATCACAGTGTATGGAGATCGAACCTCGTAGTCCTTCAAATTGACGATGTATTAAGGATACTAAGGGCGTTACATGATGACGTAATGTCCGTAAGGCTGTTCATGTATATAGACGACGGTTACCACTTACCATCAGGCGGGCCATCAGCTTGTTTGCTATTACAATGACAAAAAAAAATAAAGTAGTAAAGAAGCGAAGCTACATTATAAGTACCAGGAGAACATAAATTTATAGGCAGTTTGTTGAGAGATATGGCCAGTGAAATCACAGTGTAGGGAGACCGGACCTTGTAGTCCTTCAGACTGGTGACGTATTAAGGGATACTACGTGCTACAGATGATGACGTAATGTCCGGAGTGTTACTCATGTATGTAGGTGACCGTTACCACTTACCATCAGGCGGGGCGTCAACTTGTTTGCTATTACAATGATAAAAAAAAAATTGCCTAAAAACTAAGAAGCGAAGCTACATTATAAGTATCAGGAGAACATAAATTTATAGGCAGTTTGTTGAGAGATATGGCAAGCGGAATTACTGTGTATGGAGACCGGACCTTGTAGTCTTTCAAATTGACGATGTATTAAGGATACTAAGGGCGTTACATGATGACGTAATGTCCGTAGGGCTGATCATGTATATAGACGATGGTTACCACTTACCATCAGGCGAGCCATCAGCTTGTTTGCTATTACAATGACAAAAAAAAAGTAGTAAAGAAGCGAAGCTACATTATAAGTACCAGGAGAACATGAATTTATTGGCAGTTTGTTGAGAGACAAGGCCACTGAAATCACAGTTTATGGAGACCGAACCTCGTAGTCCTTCAAATTGACGATGTATTAAGGACACTAAGGACGTTACATGATGACGTAATGTCCGTAGGGCTGTTCATGTATACAGGCGACGGTCACCACTTACCATCAGGCGGGCCATCAGCTTGTTTGCTATTACAATGACAATAAAATAAAGTAAGTAGGGAAGCTACATTTTAAGTACCAGGAGAACATGAATTTATAGGCAGCTTGTTGAGATATATGGCCAGTGAAATCACAGTGTATGGAGACTGGACCTTGTAGTTCTTCAGACTGGCGTCGTATTAAGGGAACTATATGCTACAGATGATGACGTAATGTCTGGAGTGCTGCTCACGTATATAGACGACGGTTACCACTTACCATCAGGCGAGCCGTTAGCTTGTTTGCTATTACAATGACAAAAAATAAAGTAGTAAAGAAGCGAAGCTACATTATAAGTACCAGGAGAACATAAATTTACAGGCAGTTTGTTGAGAGACAAAGCCACAGAAATCACAGTTTATGGAGACGGAACCTCGTAGTCCTTCAAATTGACGATGTATTGATACTAAGGACGTTACATGAAGACGTAATGTCCGTAGGGCTGTTCATGTATATAGGCGACGGTCACCACTTACCATCAGGCGGGCCATCAGCTTGTTTGCTATTTATTACAATGACAAAAAAAAAGTAGTAAAGAAGCGAAGCTACATTTTAAGTACCAGGAGAATATGAATTTATAGGCAGTTTGTTAATAGATATGGCCAGTGAAGTTGAGCCATGACCAGTGAAAGTATGGAGACCTAACGTAGTACTTCAGCAATGTTTTATGGACCCGGCATCCGCACCGTGAATACCTGGAATTGCTAAGAAGCGTTTCTCTTTATGATTTCAGATTTAACATCATGTTTCGGTCGACTCTCCAACTGGGATGACTTAACGATACAACAGAAGTGTCATGTACAAAACTCGGGTCTACCCTCATTGTGGACTGATTTATCTACATTCAAAAACCAACTACATTTGTATGAAGGTATATGTTCACTTAATATAGTTCATTTATTTCCGATAGTCGCAGGTTCGATTCCTAGCTGGGTACAAACATTTGTATCTATGAGTATGATTGTTTATATCGGTCTGGGTGTTTTCTATATATATATATATTATATATGTATCTACGACAAAAAAATATCTATGTATTTGTATTAGTTGTCTAGTACCCATAACACAAGCTTTAGCTAGCTTAACTTGGGTCTAGATGGCGCTGTGTGAATTGTCCTGAGACTATTATTACTTTAGTAAATATTTTTTTTATATTTCAGTAACTAACACAGAAAAATGGTTCGATAAAATGGTAACATTGTATAAGGGGCGAGAGCGAGACAGCGAGAGGTGGCTGAGGGAGTTAGACAGATGGCCGGTGAAGCACTTTGATGTTTCCGCTGTAAGTAGTCTTTCTATACACGTTGACAAGGATACGGCAGGGCTGACGGTAAATGGCCACAGTTTAATACACTGTAAAGTAATTTTCTTTCTCTAAAATATCGTTGATATGCATACGGCACGCCTGATGATAGTGGTACGCTGCAATTACTGTAATTTAATATTTATTTTTTCGGACTACTATAATGTTGTTGGCCGCAGCTGGCCTTTACAGGAAGAGATCTCTTTTAGACATAGTTCCTCCTTTGTTAACATTAGTTGTAATTTACTTACAAATGTATTTAAGTGCAATAAAGAATATTTAATAAATTCATGTTCTCCTAGTACTCATAACACAGCTTGGGACTAGATGGCGCTGTGTTAATTGTCCGGAGATATTATTATAATAACATAGTGGTCATGTTTATTGCAATAAATAATTGCAACATGTCCCAACATGTCCAGGTAACTGAAGCGATATCGTGGAACAGTGAGAACTCACTGCCAACTGACATACAACGCAGCGACTGCATTGCTGAGTGGGCTGCCAGGCTTCAGATCAGGTATTTTGTTGTTTAAATTCAAATTAAAATTAAAAATAATTTATATATGTAGGACATACTAGCCGCTTATGAACGTCAAATTTTTTATATTATAATTTTATTTTTTTCCCTACCGTCCAGTTCAGTATATGGATCCAATTGGATAGTGCAGGGTAGGGGAACCAACGGCACCCAGCACAATATTTTGGGCACGTCGTCGATCATAAAACTGTTTGAAGAAGCTGACTCGTGCTGTTTTAACAATATTTTCACCTACCTATGCCTGCGAGTCATTTTCAGAGATGAATAACATTAAAAACTCGGTTAGAAACCGTTTGACAGATGAATGCAGTTCAGCATGCACTTTGCTAAGAGTAACATCGTACAAGCCTGACATAAATTATTTGTCATCTAACCTGCAGCAACAGAAGTCACACTAATTTTACAGTAATTTAATTTATACGTGTAATGAAAACAATCCAATATGTACCTCTTTTGTTTACTTTATGTCATAGAGAGTTTTGATAGTATTCTTCTTTATTTTAAATGGCCGCCACCAATTTTGATCGGTGATTTTGCCAATGTCATGGTTTGAGAGACACAGTGTAATTTGTAGCTGTGGCTTATTTTAGTTTACTCGGTAAACTTTGACAGTTTCGTTCGGGTTCGGTATATTATAGTTAAGGACAGCACAACACCTGAGGGTCAACAAACAGTTATTAGTAGGGTTTATTATTATTTAAACGTTATTAGGTGGACAATACTAGTTAGTAGGACAATACAAACAGACACTTAATATTAAATTAAGGGGAGTTACAATTTCAGATTATTGTTAGTTATAAATTTAGCTAGTATTCTGACTATGGAGGGATGGGACAAAGTTAAGAGAAGTGATATATTGATAGGACGGGGAAGGTCGTGGGGGAGGATATCATACAGTTGAACTGATAAATTTGGGCACTTTCGAAAGATGTTCCAGAGTTCCTTCATCCAAGCCATATTCGCACAGTGAATGATCGCGGACTCTAATCTTGCATAGAATTGATAGTATTTATTATTATTATTTTTCAAATAATCAGAAAGTCAAAATTATTTGATGGCACATCAATGACCCCATTAAACATTTTTTGGAAAAAATGTCACGTTGATGCATAAATGTTCGCGTATCGTCTACCGTACCCCTTGACTGAATGTCCTACATGAATAAATGATTTTTGAGTTTGAATTTGAATTTAGTGGTCCTTTTGTTTTCACAAGTAGTAAGTGGTTTTTTACAGTTCAGTCCAGTTTTTAAGTTAACTTCTCTCCAAATCTTTTCTTTGTAATATCACTTTATATTTACATACTAGCCGTTCCCCGCGACTTCGTCCGCGTGGAATTTAACTTTCATTTTCTAAAATAAAATAATTTTTCTAAAATAAACGTAGTCTTAGTTACTCCTTATTACATCAGCTACCTGCCAAAAAAATCAAATTCAAAATCGGTCCAACCATTTCAGAGATTAGCCAGAACAGACAGACAAAAATTGTAAAAAATGTGTATGTACGTTGGTGTAAGTATCGTATTTATATTCATACACTTGTAGTAAAAAACGATTATTTAAATATTACAAACAGACACTCCAATTTTATTTATATGTATAGATGTATTTCAATGATTATTTTTTAATTCCAGACAGGCATATAGTATATCTCGCCATGACTCTGAATCATCTGGAGAATCGCCAAACACAGTTTTGTTCCGCTCGCACGATTTGCTTTGGTGTGTAAGAGCGAACGAGATGGCGCTACCTGAACTGGCGTTACAATGCATCCAACTAAATGAGCAGTAAGTGTTAAACATAGAATAGTGTATAAGGGAAAAGGAGAGATCCTACACTACACACACATAACACAATTTTTTCTTGGACCAAGGGAAACGAGAAAACACAAAAAAAAGTTAAAGCGCATAGACATACGCCGATGGAAAGCCGTAACGTAAAAAAAAAATTTAGTAGAATAGAATAGAAAATCATTTATTCAAATAAACTTACATTGAAGCGCTTTTGAATAGTCATTACATTTTTTTTATCTACCGCTCATTCGGAGACCTGTCTCATCACAAGAAGAACGAGCAAGAAACTTGCGTGTTGCTCTTTTAGATAATTTTGTTGTAAGTTTACATTTTTAAGTTGAAATGTGTGAATATGGTATCTTATTAATATTCTAACCGAGAAAGTTTGTGACTATATATAATAATAATATTTAGGGGGGAAGGAGATTGGTGTAGACTCATGACTCCATTACTAGCAATGTACCATGTCAGGTTGACCTCCACGCGGTTCCCCCTGTAAACCATCGTGATGAATTCCTGATGAATTTGTCACTATATGCTAACTGACCTGACTCCATACTCATCTTATCATCCTCCACTGGTGCCCTGCCAGCGTAAACCGTTAGCGCAGGCGGGTGCACCATTCCATTGTCATCCACTAAAAAAAATATATTTATTGGAGTTGGTCATCCACTAAAGAAAATATATTTATTGGAGTTTGTTGGTTACATATTTGAATCTCTGATGTCACACATCTTCCTAGGGTGCAAAACTTTTCATTTATTAACATTTGCATTAACATTACATAAACAATAAAAATATTAAACAATACCAATACATAAACTTTTCAGATAGATGTTTGTTGCTCTTTGTTGCTCTTGCACGAAAAAACTACTCAACAGATTTTGATAAAATTTTACTGTAATATAGCTTATACATCGGAATAATAATTTAATTATATGTCAAGAATATATACTAAATATATACTTTTATGATTCTTTTTGTATTTATCTAAAACGGAACTGTATTTGTGAATAGGTCGTTAGACGAAGATGACAAACCAGCGTGGGAGTATCAGAAATCACTAGCCTTGAGAGCAATGGGGTTGAAGCGAAACGATAGTTGCCAATTAAGAGATGCACTGCAGATTGCCGGTAAGTTCATTACGTTTTTTGACAGTATGCCAAACATACTGGCCAGCGCGGTTTAATGCTATCTTGGTATGCGTCACATAAGAAAGAGATAAGGGATGCTCTCAAAAATATTATATTTATTTTTATACTATGACGGTGGCAAACAGACATACGGCCCATCTGATGGTAAATGGTTACCGTAGCTTATGTACGCCTGAGACAGGGGTTTTAAACGTTTTATTGCAAGGTTTTTTTGTTGCTACTCTGCTCCTATGGGTCGAAGCGTAATGTTATATATATATAGGTAGATAAATAAACAATCCAGTCTTAAAATTGTATTTATTAGAAGTAATGCGAGGTGCTAGACCACCAAGGTCATGCCGAAGCAAAGCTTGTGTTTTGGGTATTAGACAACTTATATAAATACGCAGAAAGTTTTTTTATATATATATATATTATGATAATATACATAGTAAACACCCAGACAAATACTAACAAACATACTCATAAATACAAATGTTTGAACCGTGCAAGTCCGCGGAAAGGAATCGAACCCGCGACGGTAAAACGGTCTGCTAAACCTCTAAACCAAAGCCGCGCCGATATATATATCTTATTAATATTATTAACGCGAAAGTTTGTGAATATGGATGGATGGATGGATAGTTACTATCTCATGCAGAAACTACTGAATGGACTTTACTTAAACTTCATAACTATATAATTTATAGAAAATTTACTCTTTCACGCAAAAACTACTGAACGGATTTTGATTTGATTTGGTATGCAGGTAGATGTTATGACATAGGCATCCGCTAAGAAAGGATTTTGATTAATTCTACCCCCAAGGGGATAAAATAGGGAATGAAAGTTTGTATGAAACTTTGTCAATTTTAAAATGATCAGGCTGAGACTTTGCATAAAGCTACTATAACGTAAACATACCCTAAGAAAGGATTTTGATAAATTCCACCACTAAGGGGATAAATTAACGCGAGCGAAGCCGCGGGGAAATGCTAGTGAGCTATAAATTTCATGCGGGTGAAACGAAACGAAATTAAAATTATATTTTAATTTCGTTTGATTATAATTAATTTTTGTTTTCAGAAAACAATCTTCCTAAACTATTGAATGGTGCTCCCAATATGGTTGGATTCTATCAACTCATACTGGCCTTACATCACGATTTAAATTGTAAGTATTTGTATGTTTTTTATGTATTTTATATTGTAATCAAGCCCTCCTGCTGGTCTACACTGTCTAGCCATAATGTATATTTGAATCCAATTCACTAGGAGATCATATTAATTTCAATCCAATTCATTAAGAGGTCATAGCTATTTTAATCCAATGCATTAAGAGGTCATATTAATTGCAATCTAATACGCACCGACATCGGCACACGGATGATGAAGTAGAAAGTATGTACGAAGACATATCATTAAGAGATCATATCTATTTAAATCCAATTCAATAAGAGGTCCATTAGCATCTCTAAGAGTATTCTCGGTATACCTCTAGCAGAGTTGAGTTGAGTAATCTCGTAGAAAAGGTAAAAAAAGCGTCCAGCGTCCAAAAAGCTCGGTGTGTGCAACGGTACACCACTTACTAACGGTACACACCAGAGACTCCTCTTATATAAGTCGCAGGTTCGGCTGTCCCCTACGTCCAATTCAACGGGGGATTGAAATTACGACGACCTGAGCCGAGATTCGAACCCCTAACGGTGCCCTCATATTAAATCCCAAGCTTAGCAGAGCTTGTGTTATGGGATTTTCGTCCCTATCGACCACCACCAACATGCCCACCTTCATGAAGGAGGACTACTGGCCGAAGGGGGTGGTCTATCGGCGCTACCGTGGCAGGTTGCCGTCATCAGTGCCGTGACCATAGAGACAATTTTATTTACATATTTTATTATTATTTCTTATGTATATTAGTCTATGTATGGATCAGAGTGCTGGCCCGTAAAGTCGACGGATGAAAGACGACTGCATGCAACTGAAATGCGAATGTTGAGGTGGATGTGTGGTGTGACAAGAATGGATAAGATAAAGAATGAATACATTAGAGGAAGTATGAAAGTGGCACCGGTGTCAGAGAGGTTATAAGGACACAGGAAGGCCGAAAAAGAGATGGATGGACTGTGTGAAAGATGATATGATAAGAAAGGAAGTAAATAATGCGATGACTACGAATAGGGATGAATGGAAGCGAAAAACATATTACGCCGACCAGAAACAAATGGGATAAGGAAGAAGCAGATGATGATGATCTGTATGTTAGTCTATAAGATATTTATAATATCGGTCATGTAGTCTGAATTAAATAAATATAATAAATATTATCTCTCTTACAGCATTAACATATGATAAAGTACAAAATGCAATCAATAATATTGATGAAGAATATGTAGGAACGTCTGTGACAAACAAACGTACACTGCGATCTCTGCACGAGATGGCAATGACTTATTACAGTGATCTATGGATGAAAGGTAAGATTTTTTTATACTACGATGGTGGCAAGCATGCGGCCCATCTGATATGTATAATATATATAATATGTAAACGGCAACCATAGCCTATAGACAACAGGGGAGTGTGTGCGTGCGTGCGTGCGTACATGCGTGCGTGCGTGCGTACGTGCGTGCGTGCGTACGTGCATGTTTTCGAGCCGAATTTTTTTTTTCTTATTTTTACAGCTAGTAAACTGTGCCCGCGTTTTCACCCTCGTGAAATTTCTAGCCCTTATGTTATTCTAATGTATAAGTTATGTTACTGTAAAGTTTCATCAAAATCCGTTCAGTAGTTTTTGCGTGAAAGAGTAACGAACATCCACCCGTAGTCACAAACTTTCGCTAAGATAAGATTATATATTTGAGGTACATAAAAAAACTTCATTTCGTTTGTCAATTTAAGTATGGGACTAATTGTCTGACGATGGAAATACAATTAACAAACTGAAATTAATTCGAGAACCGACATGTTCTCTAGGTTCCCATGTAAAATTAAAAAATACCGAGCGAAAGTACCAGGATAACATGACTCGCTAGTAGGAGCTTATTAATGCAATGTGTTTTTTTTATTCAAATACGAAATGTGGACATGTCACAACATTGACAGTCGACAATGACTCTGATTACCCCATCAAAGATAACAGTCGTGAAGTTATCTTACTATTAGCGATACTACAATGAAAGTACCAGGAGAATATGACTCGCAAGTAGCCTACAGCCTACCGAGTAATGTATTTTTTATTTAAGTATACCAAGCGACATGTGGACATGTCAAGTGTTGCGTTCACAACATGGACAGTTGACAATGACTCTGACTACTCCATCAAAGATAACAGTCGTGAAGTTATCTTACTATTAGCGATACTACAATGAAAGTACCAGGAGAACATGACTCGCAAGTAGCCTACAGCCTACCGAGTAATGTATTTTTTATTTAAGTATACCAAGCGACATGTGGACATGTCAAGTGTTGCATTCACAACATCGACAGTTGACAATGACTCTGACTACCCCATCAAAGATAACAGTCGTGAAGGCATTTTATTATATTTCACAGAAGGCAGTCCAAACCAGGATGAGTTATTAATGAAGATGGCAGATGTGCTAAATCGGGTAACCAGTTCAAATCCAGCGTCGGGAGATATATTCCTTGCTATTATACTCAATAGATTGGATAACTACGATGGGACGACATTAAATGAGAACGTCGCTAGAGTTTTACTGGATCCGGTATAGTATTTTACACCCTTATACAAAGAGTCAAATTCATACATATATTTTTTTTTATTATAATTTTTACTTGTAATAATAATAATAATAATAATAATAAATCCATTTATTGCCAACATCAGCACAGTTACACAGCTACACATTTATATATATTTAACATGATTGGCAATAGGTACAAACTCAGCTATTGCTGGACTGATGGGCGTCCAGCGCTGGTTTTCAGTTTGTACCTAACGCAGGCGTACTTAATCACACGTGCTAGATAACAATACCACAACACAATGAAATAAAAATTTAACAAATTACTACATAAATAATAATAATATCCATACGGATATTATTGGACACGTGACATGCATGCAATGCATGTGCATCTACACAATAAAAAAAAAAATCACATTTTATGTCGAGATTTGTCGCCGCTATCCAAGGGCTGTCTCTGTCTATCTAATATAATTTTCCTTAAAGAGATTTTAAATTTTAACGGTATTATCATTTGGCGTAATGGCGGAGGCAGATCGTTCCAGATTTTAGCTTGTTTTGTATAATTAATATAAAAAATAACGACAAAATCTCCGAATGGATGTTAAGAGGAGTGTGACTACGCAATAAAATTACGATATAGAAATTCTATTTTACGGGCTCGGTAGTCTAGCGGTATAGCACACTGCCTTATTTCCGATGGTGGCGGGTTCCATCCCTTGCACGGTACAAATGTATATATTTTTTATGCGCTATATCCGCTCGCGCTAACGGTTTACGCTTGCGGTGCACCAGTGGAGGATGATAAGATGAGCATAAGGTCAGATCAGTTAGTACATCACATCTCTGGAGTTTTTCATTTACTTGTAATTTAAGAGTGAGTATTTATAATGTTTCATCAGAATCGGTTAAGCCATTTCCGAGAAGTACGGCACATACCATTGTGACACTAGAAATTTGTATATTTGATTATGAATATGGTGAAATAAAAAAATGTTACTATTCAAAACTACTTATATTAAGTTTATTTGAATAAAGATTATTTATTCTATTATGTTTGTACACAGTTACAGCGTCTCTTGCCGTATCTGGACCAGTTCTCCAGAGAACATGTCAAAGCGTGTTCGCACCTGTTCCCCACGCGCATACTCGGCGACTACGAGATGCAGGATCTCTTTGACGACAGCATGGACAAATATAAGAAGTACTTCACACTCATAAGAGATCCCACTTATTCGTTGCAGCAGTATTGTAGGCAATTATTGGACTCGTTGATAAAAAATGGTAAGTTTTTAATATATTTGACGACCCCAGTGGTGTAGCCTAGACTACTACACCACTGAGGTCGTCAAATATCAAAATTTACAATAATATACCAAAGGATATGTTGGATCCTATATGTTCATAAAAATCTTGACTTATTTCCAAAAAACAGCAATATTCATAATATTAATACTAGATTTAAAGACAAACTTGCTGTCCCCAAGTATCGTTTAGAAAGTCAATAGGTCTTTTATGGGAATAGGTATGAAAATTTACAATAAGATACCAAAGGATATATTGGAATTACCCTTAAATAAATTCAAAACATCTGTTAAATCATATTTACTGAGCAAAGCCTATTACTCACTAAACGATTACTTGAATGACGAGCGTGCATGGCAATAGTTGTTCATGTACGGGATTTTCATTTAATGTTAGACATAGACACCTATATAAATATACATTGTAAATAAACTGGCTTTAAAAAAAAAAGTAATTCAATTGAGTTTCTTGCCAGTTCTTCTCAATTGGATCTATATACCGAACTGGACGGTAGGGATAAAATTAAATTAGAATGTAAAAATTTGACGTTCATAAGCGGCTAAAATGTCCTACATGAATAAATGATTTTTGAATTTGATTTTAGTAGTTTTGCACGCCTTTGTGGTCAGTATATTTTCTTCACTGTGTCTTTTATCGATGATAATGTAATGGTGCACGCGCCTGCGCTAACGGTTTACGCTGGCGGGTCACCAGTGGAGGATAAGATGAGCATGAGGTCAGGTCAGTTAGCCCATCGTGCTTCATTTACCATGGATATCACGATGGTTTCCAGGGGGAATCTCGTGGATATCAACCTGACATGGTACAATAAGATGAGCATGAGGTCAGGTCAGTTGGCCCATCGTGGTAAATTAACCATGAATATGACGATGGTTTCCAGGGAGAACCGCGTGGATGTCAACCTGACATGGTACGATAAGATGAGATGAGGTCAGGTCAGTTAGCCCATCGTGGTAAATTAACCATGAATATGACGATGGTTTCCAGGGAGAACCGCGTGGATGTCAACCTGACATGGTACGATAAGATGAGCATGAGGTCAGGTCAGTTAGCCCATCGTGGTGAATTAACCATGAATATGACGATGGTTTCCAGGGGGAACCGCGTGGATGTCAACCTGACATGGGACATTGTTGCCAATGGAGTTGTAGTTCACATTTTATTATTATTTTTTTTTTATTGGGTTGTTTGGGCTATTGTTAGATGTGTAGCACCTGTAGCACTGCGACCTACATAGATCTATTGTGCTCACTCTTTTCAGAGTTCGCTACCTAGACCCGTCAGGGACAAGAATTGAAGGATATTCTTAGGAGCGATCGTTTTTATCTCCTCGGGAAAGAGTGTAAACTTTCCAAAGGAGATATTTCGTTTATGCATGAGTGGGCTACAACCACATAGGATGTGTAGTGGCGTTTCCTCTTCAGTTTGGCAGAATCTGCAGATTCTTGTGGATAGGCCTAGTTTGGCCATATGTTTGTTTAATTTGCAGTGTCCTGTGAGGGCCCTAGTCATCATGCATATGTTGTTTTTACTCAATAGCAGTAATCTATTGGAGTATTTGGTCGAGAAGCCCGATATTAGGTCTTTTGAATGTATTAATCCTGGCATTTCTTGCCAGTGATTCAGTGCTTCTCGTTTGGTTATTAATTTGGGATGGTTTTTAGTTATTAATTTGAGATGGTTTAGAGATTGGTTATTAGTTCACATTACTAACAATCCATTTCTACCCTCTTTATACGACCTCGATGGTCTGACAGTTTAGAAGAAGGAAGAGAAAAACATTACGCCGACCCCAAATAAATGGGGTAAGCAAGAAGCAGATGATAGTCTAACGGTTTGGCACGCCTTACCGAATGTCGCGTGTTCGATTCCGCGCACGGTACAAATGTTTGTATTCATGAGTGTTATTTATATCAGTTTTATATGTATACTAGCTGTGCCGGCACACGTTGTTTTGCCTTAAAATAAAAAAAAAATTAGGGGTACCCCTAACATTTAGGAGGATGAAAAATAGATGTTGGCCGATTCTCAGACCTACTCAATACGCTCACGAAATTTCATGAGAATCGGTCAAGCCGTTTCGGAGGAGTATGGGAACGAAAACTGTGACACGAGAATTTTATATATAAAATTACATATGTATTTACGTAAAGAAATTATCTAAGTATGTTTACCAGTTGTCTAGTATTCATAACAGAAGCTGTACTTAATATGGGACTAGATGGCGTTGTGTGAATTGTCCAAAATTATTCGTAAAATCCTGCACCCTAAACCGAAACACGTCTTTCAAAGCAAGCTGCTTGGCGGTTGAAATAGGTGAGACTGAGGTAGGCCTATCTCCAGTAGTGATGACGATGATGATGATGATGATGATGATGATACTGACGATGATGATGATGTATCCACGCAGATGATATTTATAATCTACCCCTGGATAACTAATTCTTTATATTTTCAGACACAACTAAATACGAGAACACGTTCTGTCGCATTAGAGAAATCCTTGATAACCCATACGCTGGTTCCACCTACCAGCTTCTGAGGAAACAGCGGGAGCTTCTCTACTCAGTTGTAGGTAAGTTTTTCATTTTGACAAACAAACATACGGCCCATCTGGTGGTGAATAGTTACCGTAGCCTATAGACGCTTGAAACACCAGGGGTGTTACGTACAGGGCTGGTCATTAAGAAACCTTAATTCTTCTATTCTACCTAATTCTTGAAAAACCCCTTGATGTTGTCTTTCGAGAAAACCTCGGCAGGTAGGAAGGAAGGGAGGAACCCTTCCTTCTCTCTCCCTCTGCTCTTCTAAAACAGCACTGCCTGACACCACTTAGGTTCTAGCGTGTGGGGATGACCGAGTCGAAAGGACCGAGCTGGTATCCAGGTATTTCAACCCAAAGATGAGTGCAGAAATATAATCTATACATATAAATAAACTTGGAGTGTCTGTTTGTAATATTGAAATAACCGTTTTTTACTACATGCATATGCATATAAATACGGTACATACGCCAAAATAACATGTTTTACAATCTTTGTCTGTTCGTTCCGGCTAATATCTGAAATGGCTGGACCGATTTTAACGGGACTTTTTTTGGCAGGTAGCTAATGTAATAAACAGTAACTTAGGCTGCTTTATTTTAGAAAATTAAAATTCCACGCGGACGTAGTCGCGGGAACAGCTAGTCATATATAAAAAAGGACTAATCGGCTGTTTTTTTAGTTGATTATATACATCATTAATTAAAATAGCCTGTCACTCGTTATATATAAAATTTTAAACATATGTTTCATAGATCATTCACGAGGAAAAGAGGAGATCCGAAAGATCCTAAAGCAACTGATAGGAGAATTGAAGGGAGATCCGGCAACTCTTCGCCTCTCGCAGCTCTGTCCCTCTCTGACGCAAGTTGCGCGCGGGAGTGAGTGGGACGCATGTATGTCTAGATTGCTCTCACTCGGCCCCCTAAAAGTCGTCAAATTCGACGAACAAGTTAGTATTATTTTTTAATTATTTGTAATGACAGCATTCCATTATGCACCCGCAGACTGATACAAACAATCATTTTCATAAACACAAAAGTTTGTACCGTGCGAAGAATCGAACCTGCGACTATCGGAAGTCAAGCGCTAGATCGTCGAAACCGTCAATTCGAATTCATTGAATGAATGAAAAAAATTACGTCAAAAAAAATTAAGCACGACGGTTTCAGCGTGACAGCGGAACGATAGAGTGATATTGACTGTGATGATCGATGATGATGATGACGAGCAATCAATCAAAACGACCGAGTAGTCAACTTGTCTCTCTGCAGGTATCAATATTCCTGAGCAGCATCCGTCGTCCGGCGCTATTAGATGTGCTGGTGTCGGATGGCTCTCGTCGTCGCCTTCTGCTCAAGGCTGGAGAACCGCTGATGCTGGATGCTGCAGCGTGCCGTGTTTCTAGACTCCTGCCTGACGTACGGACGTACACTGTAAGTTTATTGTATACATACTAGATATCTCATGCACCTTCGTCTGCGTAGAATTGTAACCTAGTAACCATACAAACTTTCATACCCTATTTTATTATTCGGGTAAATATTTTACCAACTTTGAATGTCATATTTATTTATATTTAAGCAATAGCTTAAGACATAGGTTTCAATCTCCTAGTTTTCTAAATGACGATACTTCCATACAACCTTTCAGCGCCCCTTTCAACCTACACCCCTATTTTCGAAAAAAGTAACCTGTGTCCTTCAGAGTCTAGACTCAAATATCCGGTGAAACTGTAAAGGACAGCTGCGGCCAACAGCATTAGAGTAGCCCAAAAAAAATATATTTGTACACGAAATTTTATTTAAATCGGTTCAGTAGTTTTGGCGTTCAAGCTCGACAGACATACAAACAGAGTTACTTTCGCATATTTAATATTAGTTTCGCATTTCGCATATTTAACATTATAATATTAATTAGGATAATCCGCGGAAGTTTCGACTGAGTTACATTTTTCTGTTTTTCCAACAGTTTTCTTTCTAATCAGACCAAACCACAGCTTACAAAGCAAGCTGTTTGGCGGCTGTAGTTACGATAATCTGCGGAACTTCGTCCGAGTTACATTTTCTCTGATTTTCCAATATTTTTCATTGTAGCTTTGCTCTTATTTGTCGTAGCTGGTCTAATCAGACAGAATCAGACTTGTCTAATCGAAATATGTCTTACAAAGGAATAGGTGAGACTGTATGTACGCGCAGACGACTAAGTCTACCTTCTCTATATTTTATCGAGTTAGGTGTTATTTTGCGGAAGTGCATTTTTTTATGTAATGAATTTATACCAGTTTTTTTTATACCACGTAGGTGGCAAACAAGCATACGGCCCATCTGATCGTAAACGGTTACCGTAGCCTATGGAGGCCTAAGACAGAGGTGTCAAACAAAATAATATATGTATTTAATTCTGCATTTCTGCTTTATATTAACTGCTTCTTCTCCACCAGGTAACTCCGATGAGCGAGGACAGTGGACTGATAGAATTTCTAGAAGATCACAAGACAATATATAGCTTGGTTTCAGCGAAAATTGATTTAGAGGGTAAGTTAAAGATCTTTTCGTAATAACCACCTGATGGTAAGTGGTAACCGTCGCCTATATACCGAAACAGTACTACGGACATCACGTTATGTGACGCCCGTAGTTAATACGTAATACACTATAATTTCACTGGCCATGTCTCTCAGCTGACTGTCTATGATGATGATTCGTGTTCTCCTGGTACTTTTAATGTAGCTTCGCTTCCTTACTACCTTAGATTTTTTTCACTGTTATGATAAATGAGCTGATATACCACCTGATGGTAAGTGGTGACCGTCGCCTATATACATGAACTGCCCTACGCACATTACGTCATCATGTAACGCCCTTAGTATCCTTAATACATTGTCAATTTGAAGGACTACAAGGTTCGGTCTCCATAAACTGTGATTTCACTGGCCATGTCTCTCAACAAACTGCCTATAAATTCATGTTCTCCTGGTACTTTATGTAGTTTCGCTTCTTTACTATTTTATTTTTGTCTTTGTCATGGCAAATATATCAGTTGTCTAATCCATAACTCGAGTTCTGCTTACATTGGGACTAGATGGCGCTGTGTATATTGTCCTAAGATATTATTATATGGACCATAGACCGTACCATAAATAAAAAACAATGTATTTAGAGTTGCGAAATAGTAGACAATATAAAAATCCTAAATGTATGACTGATGATACTTTCTCAGTCATCAGTACACATGTATTTCTTAACCAACAGACGCAAGGACGTCATAACTAGGTGGGCCTGGTAAGCAACTCATCAGGGAATCATCAATGCTAAATGTGCACATGTTCTGATGACTGGTGACAGTTCATCAGTCACCAGTATATATGTATTTCTTAACCAACAGGTGTGAAGATGTCGCTACCTCGGGCGCCTGATGATGAACTCATCAGGGACTCATCAGTAAACCAGTTCCATCAGTTCGCAGGCAAAGTGCCCGCGTACACGCTCAGGTAATTATCGTAATCTATCAATATTACTGGCTGTCCCGGCAAACGTTGTTTTGCTATATAAATCAAAATCGCTATTAAAAAATAGGGTTGATACTAGAAGGGCGAAAATGTGGGGTTGTATGTATTTTTCAATCCTAAATAATAATAAAATGAAAATATTATTTCGAAAAAATAAAAAAAAATATATTTAGGGGTGGATATCCCTTACCACGATGATGATAATGATCCATTCCATCCATTACCACTTAGGGGTATGAAAAATAGATAGTAGCCGATTCTCAGACCTACTGTATATGCATATAAAATTTCATAAAAATCGATCATGCCGTTTGGGAGCAGTATGGTAACTAACATTGTGACACGAGAATTTTACATATAAGATTTATTATAATACTAAAAAGCTGAAGAGTTTGTTTGTATGTTTGTTTGAACGCGCTAATTTCAGGAACTACTGGTTCGAATTGAAAAAAAATTGTGTTGAATAGTTCATTTGTCGAGGAAGGCTTTAAGCTATATAACATTACGCTACGACCGATAGAAGCGATGCATCTATGAAAAGTGTTGCAAAAACGGTGAAAATTATTCATATTTGAGGGCTTCCGTTGCGTTCAAGTTACTGAGTCTACGCATATTACGACACGTGTTTCGCCTCTGCTTCACCTATTTACATTAAATATGCAGATCAGCTCTGGAAGACCACAGTTCCTCGCTGCAGGACTTCATAGCCAAGAAATTGAAGTTCCAAGACACACTCGCATCTGCCACTGTTCACACTTGGCTGTTGGGTAAGTGGTATTAGTACATTAGCGGTGCTATTACGCTAACGATTATTAGAAATATTGTGAATAGCGCCATCTAGTATTTATAAATCGAACTAAGTTGTTTGTCATAAGCCCTGATCGGAGTTTTTTTTTGTATATGATAATGTAATGGTGCACCCGCCTGCGCTAACGGCTTACGCTGGCGGGGCACCAGTGGAGTATAATAAGATGAGCATGAGGTTGATAATGTACCATTACATTATTTAATATTTAATAATTTGTAATACTTGAACGGCTCCTTATAGGAATTTCTCTCTGTGTAAAAATAATAAAAAGCTAATATAACAATAAAAATATTGAATAGAAACCATGCATCTGAAGTGCAATATTGGTATTCTGTTGACGGCCGCGGTGGTTTAGCGATTAAGCACATCGGTTTACTTCCGGTGGTCGCGGGTTCAATTCCTCGCACGGCATAATTTGTTTTCATGAGTATAATTGTTTGTATCGGTCTAGGTATTTTCTATGTATGTTTGTTGTCTCTTCAACTCAACTTTAGCTGGTTTTTGTTATTATTATTTCACTCATTGCTTCACTCCAGATATTCGAATATTTTTCCAGGTCTAGGAGATAGACATCTGCAGAATGTCCTGTGCAGCACGAGAGATGGCGCGGTGTGCTGCGTGGACTGGGGCGCCGCCCTGCAGTACGGCGGCAGTGAGCTCCCGCCCGCCAGGCTCACCAGGAACCTGATAGCCATCTGCGACCCTCAGAGTATGTTGTTATTTTTAATTAGAAAACATTTATTCTAGTATGATATTTTAGATTTAAGTCATAATAAAATAGTTTATTCTTGTAGGACATTTTAGTCATATTAACTGGAAGCTTTTGAAATGTGATCTCAGAGAAGGATCGAAAGAATTAGCTGGTAAAATAAAATAAGAAATGAGAAAATAAAATTGTAACTTTGTGTAGTTCTATTGCAATTTTATTGTAAAATGTATTGTAAAGATAATTGTGACTTTGACAAGAAATTTATTACCCAGGCGAAGCCAAGTCGCACCGCTAGTGTAGTAATAATTATGTTCGTCTGTCCCCAGTTTTGGAGAGTCGTATACAGAATTTGATGTCCACACTGCGCGACAGCCACAAGCTGTTCTCAATATTCATCAAGATGTCATACAAATGGATGGGTCGCGAGTTTGATGACAAGGTTGATTTTATGAAATGATTTTATATATGATTTTATTTACTAACTTTATTTTATTTAAAAATTTTTATGAATGATTTTATATATAATGATTTTATTTACTAACTAGCTGTACCCGTGACTTCGTCCGCGTGGAATTTAACTGTCTTTTTCTAAAATAAAAGTAGGCTAAGTTACTCCTTATTACATCACCTACCAGCCAATAAAAGTCCTGTCAAAATCGGTCCAGCCATTTCAGAGATTAGCCGGAACAAACAGACAGACAGACAGGTCTGTCTGTCTGTTTGTTCCGATTCATCTCTGAATCCTTAATCCCAGAGGCAAATATGTCATTACCGATGTTACCAGGTTTTTGTAATTTTTAAATAGGGTTGTGGCACTATGGGAAATTAATATTAATTACCCATTTTTACAGGTTACTCAGAAATAATGTGTGGGTGTTTATTTAAAACGCATTAACAAGAAATTAATAATGTATAGGTTTTAATAAATATATGGTTGTTTTATCAAAATAGATTTATTATTTTCCACTTAAATAAAGACTAACTGCCTATTTTATAAAAAATAAATGTTTGTATGGTGTTATATATCATAAAATAAACACCTATTTTAAATATTTAGCTGTTTGAAAGAAAAAAAATGTAGCTTAATACTGTAAAAAATTTGTGTATATACGGAAACCCTAAAAAAATATTTTTGTGTTGGACAACGACAGTAATTGAAACACTGGTATATGTACTAAATAAAAAAAAAATCAATGGAAGCATCATGTAAATCCTTAAAACTAATATGTTAAAATAAAATTTACCGATTGAACAAATCGGTATCGCAGGTACAACACTACTCCGTTAGAGCTGGTAACATTATTTGAAAATTTGACATTAACACCTGTCAATTTAGTTGCCGGGGTCAAAAAGATACTATAAAAATAAATTTAGATTTTAGATTTAGATTTATTTATTTGGCATGTAAAACAGGTTACATTTAGGTCGTCAGTTACAAAATTATAATTCGATAATAAACATTAACAATAATCATTAACATAAATTTAAATAATCATTAACATCAATTAAAAATAAACATTGTAAAAAAACTGGCTTAAAAAAATATTCAATTGAGTTGTTCTTGCCAGTTCTTCTCAATTGGATCTATACACTGAACTGGACGATACGCAATAAGTATAATATAAAAAAAATAACGTTCATAAGCGGCTAAAATGTCCTACATGAATAAATGATTTTTGATTATGAATTATGAATTTTAAATCGTATTTTTTTGCAGTTCGTGTATATAGAAGATATCTTGTCTGGTGATGCCCTCTCGTGTCATATCACAAAGACAGTAATAGGGAAGTCGGAGAGACTGCACAAGGAGAAATATCTAAAATTACTCGACGATGTTCTCCAGGGTTATGAGAAGAAGGACCGGTACAGCATCGTGGAGCAGGTGAGGTCGCATCCAGCATGATAAATAACTGAATCTGAGTTTTTTTAGTTGTATGGTGCACCCGCCTGCGCTAACGGTTTACGAACTATCTAACTTAAAATTCATAGCGCTGACAATGTTATCTGATTGAACAGAGATTAAGTGCGTAGCGGTTTCTATGTTGATTGTCGCATGCCTAATCCTTGTTGTTAATTAAATATAAGTAAATCAATATTTATTTAAAAGAGCAACACAAGTTTCTTGCTTATTCTTCTTGTGATGAATCTGCTTTCCGAATGAGCGGTAGAATAAAAAAACTTGACTATTCAAAAGTGCTTATATTAAGTTTATTTGAATAAAGATTATTTCTACTTCTATTTCTACGTTGTATACGATGTATATGTATCAGTTGTCTAGTAAAAACCATGGTAGGACACAATGAAAATCATAATTACAACAAGAAAAACTAAAAACACCATATGACGACCTCGGTGGTCTAGATGGCTTTACTGTGTGAATTGTCATGCACAAACAGATTATTATTATTACCATGAGGACAATAGTGTTATTATGTATAATATGTATGTATTTACGAAAAAAAAATATCTATGTATTTGTATCAGTTGTCTAGTACCCATAACACAAACTACAGCTAGCTTAACTTGGGTTTACGCTGTGTGTATAGGAGATTATTATTATTACCATAGGACACTATTGTCCTAAAAAAATCTATATTTTTTATGGATGATAATGGAATGGTGCAACCGCCTGTGCTAACGGCTTACGCTGGCGGGGCACCAGTGGAGCATGACAAATTCACTAAGATTTTTTAATAATTCCAGGGGGAACTACCTTGAGGTCAATCTGACATAGTAATTTTTTTATATACTATAGTGGTAAACAAGCATAAGGCCCGTCTGATAAAAAGCTGTTACAGTAACCTATGGATGCATAAAATACCAGGAGTGTCACAAACGCGTTGTCGATCTGATATTGCTAGCAATGGGGTCATCAGCCCAAATTACTAACAATTCCTACAGACAATTCATACAGCGCCATCTAGTCCCAAGCTAAGCACAGCTATGGGTACTAAAGAACTTATAAATACATGCTTTTTTTTAAATACATACATAATATACATAGAAAACACTCAGCCCGACAAACAATCACACTCATGAATACAAATGTTTGTACCGTGAGAGGAATCGAACCTGCGACCTTTGCAAGTTATATTTATTATTATCGTAGGCATCGTGTCTGCTCCGCCACTGCACCGATCCTCGTATCCTGAGCGTGACTCGGACCAACTGGGAACCGTGGGTTTGAAGGACGCGGTCAGAAGACAAGAGATGATAAGTGATAGTGTTTTTTTTAATTATAATTTATACCTTTATAAGTAATTACAGTAATTAGGTAACAATAGAAGGTGATATAAAAGTTGATAACTTTATTAATTTAAAAATATATTTTTTTTTAATTTTTATGATTGATAACGTTGATTTTTTTTTAGAATAATGTTTTTATGTAACTGGAAACAAGCGATAATAATCATGTAATTTATAATAGAATTGAATGTTATAATAGTTTTTTTTTATTTCTTTTTAAATTTAGGGACTTTTGTACCATCTAAGTACATGTCAGTCCCATTGTACCCTAAAAGTTGTGAAAAAAAGTTACGGCTACAGTTTCATAAAGGCCAGTGTGTATAATATATGTGTTATCTATAATAGAAAAAGTTATTAAATAACAAAAAAAAATAAAAATTATATTGATTTTTTCACTTATTTTATTTTATAATTTCTACCTCCACTTCAAAGAGGGAACGCTGCCAATATCTTCGGAACCTTGCCTAAAGGGACTTCTTTTAATAATATATTTTGCTACTTCAGCGCCATCTAACAGCCAGTAATGAACTCATGCGAGGAAAGTCGCGGATAGAAGGTAGTTTTGAAATAAATAAAAGACACTTATGTTACGTAAATAGATTTATTTTGTTACACAAGTACCTATTATATACACATTTATTTACTTTTGACAATCTGGCTACTTGTGGGTTTGTATTCACCCAAAAAATAAAACAACACGCAAGTTTCTTGCTCGTTCTTATTTCCGAATAAGTGGTGGAGTGAAAAAATATTATGTGACTATTCAAAAGTGCTTATATTAAGTTTATTTGAATAAAGATTATTTATATTTTGTTACGTTACAATTACATTGTAAATCTAAATTTTTACAATAGTTTTTTTACTATATTTCTACATATATTCATAGATATAGATTCTAAAATGTTACGATAGGAAATTTTGAACTCCTTCCCACACTTTTTGTATATTTAAATAAATAAATAACTCTGTACAATTAACACAGCGCCATCTAGTCCCACGGTAAGCAGAGCTTGTGTTACATGTATGTACTATAATAGATAACTGATATAAATACTTAGATTTTTTTAAAATACATTTATAACATACATGGAAAACACCCAGACCGATACAAACAATCAGTCATGAATATAAATGTTTGCACCGCGCGAGGAATCGAATCTGTGACCATCGGAAGTAAAGCGGTGTGCTAAACCAGCGAGTCCGTCATTGAATATACAGTATAAGAAAACATTATAAAATATATGTAACCTAAGAAAAAAACAAATAATTAGTCACTAAGTATTACAAAAGCACTACTTTAATTTTATTACTGTTAATTTTTTTTATAAGTATTCTGCCTTAAGAGATTTAAATCTAGCCACCCGGGGCAAAGGGCCTGAGACTCCAAACTTCACCCCCTAGGGAGGTGCGGATGGATAGTGAGTGTACCCCTCTTGTCACATAATGTCACACTATCAGACCCCCTCTGTTTTGTGATGTATGGCCAGCCCCTTACGAAGCAAACTCTTTGGTGGTCAAAATAGAAGAGACAGAGATACAAACTCTACCTATAGTCTGTTTTTAATCTCGGAGACTAAATTGACAGGTGTTAATGTCAAATTTTCAAATAATGTTACCAGCTCTAGCGAAGTAGTGTTGTACTTGCGATACCGATTTGTTTAAACGTAAGTTTTTGTTATAATTTTTTTTTTACCAAACTGAACTGAGAGGAAACGCCACTACGCATCTTATGTGGTTGTAGCCCACTCATGCTTAAACGCAAATCTCCTTTGGAAAATTTATACTATATGTTGAGGAGATAAAAGTCATCGCCCATAAGAATGTCCTTCAATTCTTGTCTGGCGAACTCTGAATAAGTGCTACAGGTCCAAGCACCTGACAATAGACCAAACCCTACAAAAAAAATGTTTTATAAAAAAAGGTAGTAGAAGTTAGTCTTTGTTTGAATGAATAGTATATATATAATGTATTAATTTTTGGTAGTGCCACAACCCTATTTAAAATTGCAAAACCTGGCAACATTGTAATGTCAAATTTGTCTCCGACTTTAATTTTTGTAATTTATATTGTAAAACTTTAAATTGGGCTAAAAAGAACTTGTATCCAAAGCCGTAAAAATTACTAATAAAAAAAATGGTCTCCAAAATAAAAAAACGGACTATAGATTCTTCAAGTGACGGTCTTCAAGCGAATTTGGAGCAGGGTTTCCTGAGCGGCTGTAGCGGCATCCGCAGCGAGGCGACGCAACTCTTGGTGGTGGAGAGCTCCTTCCTCAGTCGTATAATGTCGAGCTCAGCCTGCCTCTTACGCTGGAAAGACACTGTAAGCTTATTTCCAAATATGTTCATTGAGTTTTTAATACCATGCTAGTTGTCTGGGACTCGATCTGCGTTACTTTGACAAAAATAACAATAATAATCCTGGACAATTCTCATGACCATACTGCTCCGAACGAAGGAAGGTTACTGTACTGTATTTAAATATTAATTTAAATAAAACGCTTCACATTTAATTTGTCCGTTCCCGCCATTTTATAATACAGATTCTGTCAACTGCACAGAGCACATTATAAACAATAGTAGTACTAGTACATTTTATCCACAAGTGGATAGACAAAGGTACGAGATCATACAGCCCATTATAAACAACAATAATTATACCAAAGACTATATATACTACATATATATAAATTAATAGAAACTCTATACATATAAATAAAATTGGAGTGTCTGTTTGTAATACTGAAATAACCGTTTTTTACTACATGCATATGATTATATGGTACATACAACAAAAAACGTTTTTTACAATTTTTGTCTGTCTGTCTGTTTGTTCCGGCTAATCTCTGAAATGGCTGGACCTATTTTAATGGGACTTTTTTTGGCAAGTAGCTGATGTAATATAGAGTAACTTATATTACTTTTATTTTAGAAAAATTCTCTAATTAACTTTTTTGTTAAATTCCACGCGGCCGAAGTGGTTAGTCGTTATATATAGAATTATAGCTGTATATACGAGTGACGAATGACGTGAGAATATTCTATAGATGAACTATGGAACGTGTCTGTCTCGTCTGCAAACGGCCAGTCGTCATGCAAAGAGGTAATGATGTGAAATGATTTTATTGTACAAATATAAGATCTTGTGTTATGGATACTAGACAACTGATATGAATATACATATACATTTTATTGTTTACCTACTTTTGGCAAATAAAGTATTAGGTATTCTTATTATTATTATTTATAAACACAATTTACTAATAACACATAAGTTTGTGAGTATGAATAAATAAATGTACGTGTGTTACTCTTTCACGCAAAAACTACCGAACGGATTTTGATGAAACTTTACAGTAATATAGCTTATACATCAGATTAACATATAGGCTATAATTCAAAAAGATATTATGTAAATTAGGCGAAATATAATGGTAAATGCCATGTAAGTGTTATACAGATTAAGTTGTGCGGGACAGACAGTTTTATATATGAATCAGATTATTCAATTTGGTTGTGTTACTTCAGAATAACATGTATGCTATATCACCAGCGGCCCTGTCGCCTCTCCGACCAACCCCCCGTCCAATAGAATAGAATAGAAAATCATTTATTCAAATAAACATAATTTAAGCACTTTTGAATAGTCATAACATTTTTTTTATCTACCGCTCGTTCGGAAAGCTGTCAATCAAACTGGGATCGAAATTACGGCGGCCTGACCCGAATCCGAAAACTAGACAAAACGGAAATAGACAACCACGCAGACAACATAACGTCCATACTAACCACGTGCTACGAACAGTCTTGCCCTCTCACCGTACCCAAAAGCAGAGGTAGGCAACACTGGTGGTGTCTCGAACTAGAGAGACACCGACGGAGGTTAAGGAAAACTTTCAACGTAGCCATGAATAGTAGGTCACAAAGTGATTGGGACAAATACACTACTTCGAGAAAAAAATACAAAAAACTAATTCGCCAACGACGACAGGAATGTTTATTCTGCACAAATATAGAAAACAACAACCAAGCATATATAAAAGCGTGTCTCTCCAAGGAGAAAGACCACACAATAGGCTGTCTAAAAAAACCAGATAACAGCTACACAACAAATGACACAGAAACTTGCGAAATACTACTGTCAACTCACTTCCCAGGATTTCTAGTGGACAATAACCACTCATGGAATTCACAGGAAGACAGGACAACCAGCAGCTCGGACTGGGAGGTAGCTTGCAAAATAATAGACAAAGAAAAACTAATATGGGCAATCAACACATTCCTGCCTTTCAAAGCAGCGGGACTAGATGGTGTCTTTCCGGCCCTCCTTAGATGGAGCGGAGACATAATAGCCGAACAACTCGTTCAGCTATTTCGAGCATGTCTGGCACACCGATACATACCTTTGAAATGGCGCGAAGTGAAAATAATCTTCATCCCAAAACCAGGCAGAGGTGATTATACGCAGGCCAAATCTTTTCGACCAATTAGTCTCACATCGTTTTTACTAAAAACTTTGGAGAGACTATGCGACAAAGAAATCAGAGACCTTGTGTCCACAAACAAACCACTCCACCCTAACCAACATGCCTACAGCGAAGGTAAATCAACGGAATCAGCACTCCACAGCGTAGTAACCCGAATTGGTAACTCGTTACACTCAAAGCAGCCAACACTAGGTGCCTTTATAGACATCGAAGGGGCCTTTGATTTTTTTTTTTGCCATACCTTTAATATATTAAGCAACATGCTAAATTTCGTGCAATTCAGTTTACCGTTAACACTACCACACGAGGTATCGTGAGCATAGGATGTCCACAAGGATTCAACGACAACGATTCTCTACACGGTAGGGTATATGACGATATTGCCATATGATAACAGGAAAATTTACTCTATGCGACCGCATGAGAGAAGTTCAGAACTGTAGAGAGATGGTGTAAAAACCACGAATGTAAATCCTTCCAAAACAGAACTAATCATGTTTACTAACAAAAACTCCTGGTACCTTCAGGACACCGAAACTCTTTAACACAGACCTTAATCTAAAAGAAGAAGTCAATACCTGGGAGTTATACATGGACAGATATGGAACAAACATCTTGACCACAAAATTAACAAAAACCATAGCATTTTATCAATGTCGAAAGATGCTAGGAAATAAGTGGGGTATTACACCTAAAATAACACTCTGCTATACACAGCTGTGATAAGACCAATGCTCGTGTACGGGACAGCCTTGGTTTTACATATCGAAACTCACGACCACAGTCAACTAAGGTTTTCAAAGTTGCATGCTCTGCAATCACGGGATGTATGAAAACTACCCCAACAACAGCAATTGAAATAGCCCTCAATATAACACCCCTCGATTTGTACCAACAGGAGGCAGCCATAGCTGCCATAAATACCATCTTGGTCTATCAAAAACCATAATAGTTCTCACACTCACATCCTGAACCAAGCAATCGAACATTTTTTTGATTGCAGCTCCGTTGACAGAACTCAAACTTATCAATCATTTAACAGAAAATACCAAATACAAATGAATCAGGAGGAACAAGACCAATCTGCTGTAAATGAACTGCGAATATACACAGATGGCTCCAAAACACATAACGGTTCAGGAGCAGGAGTTGACCTCAACATGAACTTATACATAAGTCGGCCCACACAGTTCGATTTTCCAATGTGAATGCGTGTCACTGAGGCAGCACGAACAGTGCTAAATCCGGTGTCAACAACTTCAACTGTAAAATTTATATCCAGCAGTGCAGCCGTGCTAAAAGTAGTACAGAACAGGAAATCAAACAACAGATTAATAATCGAATGTCACAATATCATGGATAAAGTGGCAGAGCACAACGGTGTAACCATCCAGTGGATAGGGCACAGTGGATCATATGGAAATGATGCCTTGAGTTCGAATTGGCGAGGATCAGGCATGACGGTTCCGCTTCTGCCAATACCATTCTCGCAGTTCGATCCTGGATTCGCCAAAGCATCAAAACCAAAGATGGAAACAAACCACCGATTGTAAACAATCAAAAGTTTGTTGTCAAAAGCCTAATAAATCTGGACAGGCATACATAAAAAAATATTTATGGAGAAACTGTTTTGATAATATATTATTGATTATTGATTTGATAATACGTTATTGACGACCTCGGTGGTCCAGCGGTCTAGTACACCGCTTTACGACCGATGGTCGCGGGCCCGAATGAGAGGCTCGCACGGAAAATACAAACATTTGTATTCAGCTCCTAGCGGTGCTCTCAGACTAAAGTCATATCCGTGATTGTTTGTATCGGTCTGGGTGTTTTCTATATATAATATGTAGTGTATTTAGAGTAAAAAAAAAAAATTTGATGCGGGCGTATTTGTATGAGTTCGTTGGCGAGCCTGGCTTCCACTTGAGCGACCCTTTGCCGCAGTTCAGCTATGTCGCGCATCAGACGAGCGGCCGCTAGTTTGTTGTCAGCCTGTGTCAATATTGTTGAGATTATTATTATTATTATTATTAAATCTAAATATATATAACTCAAAGGTGACTGACATAGTGATCTATCAACGCACAGCCCAAACCACTGGACGGATCGGGATGAAATTTGGCATGCAGGTACATATTATGACGAAGACATCCGCTAAGAAAGGATTTTGATTAATTCTACCCTCAAAGGGATCAAATAGGGGATGAAAGTTTGTATGAAACTTTGTCAATTTTAAACCGATCGGGCTGAGACTTTGCATGCATAAAGCTACTATACGTAGGGCATCCCCTAAGAAAGAATTTTGATAAAATCCACCCCTAAGGGCATAAATTAACGCGAGCGAAGCCGCGGGCAAAAGCTAGTTTATAATAATGTTACCCGCGAATTCGTCCGATTAAATGAAAAAAAATTGCCTAACTTACTTATTATAATATTAGCTATCTGCGAGTGAAAGTTCCGTCAAAATTGGTCCAACCGATTGAAAGATTGACGACAAACAAAATATTTATAAATTTATTTGTGATGATGATATTGATATTGATGTAATAAAAATTATTAAATATACTCGTACATTTATTGAAAAGCAGTTAATTTGTTAATTTCTTGCTTTAAACTTTTTATCTTTAAAAAGTAATATGACATATACATATAAATAAAATTGGGGTGTCTGTTTGTAATATTGAAATAACCGTTTTTTACTATACACATATGAATATAAATACCGTACATACACCAAAATAATATATTTTACAATTTTTGTCTGTCTGTCTGTGTGTTTGTTCCGGCTAATCTCTGAAATGGCTGGACCGATTTTGACGGGACTTTTATTGGCAGGTAGCTGATGTAATAAGGAGTAACTTAGGCTACTTTTATTCTGGAAAAATAAAGTTAAATTTCATGCGGACGAAGTCGCGTGTACAGCTAGTATTAAATAAAAATGTGCATGAACAACTATTGCCATGCACGTTTGCCATTCAAGTAATAGTATCAATAGTGTAAAAAAGTATCAGACTCACGATCCTCGATGGTGCGTTTTTGGCTACGTTCCTGCTGACCATATTCGGCAGATCTGCTACAGAGCAAGGAGTGAATATACTCTCGGTTGGATGCAGTTTTGTTACACCTTGTATCGCCTATAAAAATAGTATTTATTAGAGAGGGGCAGAGGCTATTGAGAGTAAGGGGGAGGCCCTATCTGTTAGTCTGGATATTGCGAAGGCCTTTGATCGGGTTTGGCATAAAGATCTTCTTTCAAAGCTACCATCCTTCGGGTTACTTGCGAAGTTATGCAAATGGGTCGCCAGCTTTCTCGCTGATCGGAGCATCAAGATCGTTGTCGATGGTGCTTGCTCCGACGCACACTCTGTGAATGCTGGTGTTCCACAAGGCTGTGTGCTATCTCCGACTCTGTTCCTTCTGCATATCAATGACATGTTACAAATCAACAACATTCATTGCTATCCGGATGACAGTACCGGAGATACCTTGTACAGCGGCCATGCTAATATGTCGCAGGCAAAAGTTATAGAGTACCGGAACAAACTTGTGTCCGAAATCGAAACTTCACTCCATCAAGTTTCGGTTTGGGGTCAGGAAAATTGTGTTCAATTCAACCCCAAGAAGACACAAGTTTGCGCGTTTACCGCTAAAAAGAATCCATTTATCGTATCTCCTCAGTTTCAAGACACTCCTTGATGTGAAGCCAAATCTCGAGGTCCTTGGCGTTGATAAATCCAGTAACGTTCACTTTTGCGGTCATTTGGAGGACAAGGCTAAAATAGCCTCAAAAAAGCTTGGTGTGCTCAGTAGAGTGAGACGGTATTTCACGGCGGCCCATCGCTTGCAATTATACAAGGCGCTGATCCGCATATGGAATACTGTTCCCATCTCTGGGCGGGAGCACCACAATACCAGCTACTTCCATTTGACCGCATTCAGAACCGAGCAGACATAATCATTGGTAATCAACGTCTATGTGACAGACTCGACCCATTGGCTTTGCGGCGAGATATTGCATCCCTGTGCATTTTCTACCGCATATATCACGGGAAGTGTTCTGAGGAATTGTTCGGATTAATACCGGATGCTGAGTTTCACCCGCCAGAAACTAAAATACCATCCTGATTATCTGGATGAATGGCGGTCCTCCACAGTGCGGTTTTCTAGAAACTTTTTGCCACGCACAACCACATTGTGGAATCATCTTCCAACAATGGTATTTCCGAACCGATACGATATTGAAACCTTCAAAAAAAGAGCTTATTCCTTTTTAAAAGGCCGACAACGTACTTGCAATTCCGTTGGTGTTGCGGGTGCTCATGGGCGGCGGTAATCACTTACCGTCAGGTGAGCCGCATGCTCGTTTGTCCCCTGTTATAAAAAAAAAGAGATGAAGTTCATATCATTCCATGCAGAGGTGGCATTACCCATTGCGGGGCTCCGGGCGTCGGTTCTTTTTTGATTCCATCGCTATTTTATATGTATATGTGCACGTGGATTTTTTTTAACCATTTCTTAACCCCCCTTCGTGGTACGTGGTGAGAATTAAAACTACTGAGTGTGTTTCATACCTGTGCAACCACCGTTCTTGCATGTTGCACATGATGTGCCTCTTCTTTCTGCAAATGACGCTTCAAATGTTCTATTTCTGTTGATATACAGTACTTCTCTTTCTCCAGACGTTGGTTGGCTTGTTTTAGTGCCTTTAAGTAAAAAAAAAACATTTAATGTAGATCATTCATTTTATTTTTTATTACTCTTTATTTTGACGGCTTCGGTAGTCTTGCAGTTTAGCACACGCTTTACTTCCGATGCTCGCGGGTTCGCTTCCTCGCACGGTGCAAACATTTGTATTCATGTATGATGTATGTACATACAAAAAATCTATGTATTTATATCAGTTGTCTAGTACCTATAACACAAGCTCTGCTGACCGTGGGACTAGATGGCGCTGTGTTAATTGTCCAGAGTTATTTGTGATTATTCTAGGGTTCGTTAATGGAACACACAAGTTTCTCGCTCGTTCTTCTTGTGATTAGACAGCTTTCCGAATGAGCGGTAGATTAAAAAAATTGTATGACTATTCAAAAGTGCTTCAATATAAGTTTATTTGAATAAATGATTTCTATTCTATTTTAAATAATTATACTACCTTCATTTTCTCTTTCTTTTCGAAGTGACATTCTTCTATCCGTCTCTTGAGTTTCCTCTTCAACTCTTCTAGAAGATTCGAGAGGGTGACGCGGTTTGCTTCGAGGTCGGCACGTTGCTGTACGATTTGATTGATCGCTGTCAGCAGTTTGATTCCTATGCAGAAGGAAATTTAGAAATACCAGCTACTATTGTGTAGAATTTATATAAATAACTAGCTTTTGCCCGCGGCTTCGTTCGCGTTAATTTATCCCATTAGAGGTGGAATTTATCAGAATCCTTTCTTAGGGGATGCCTACGTCATAGTAACTTTATGCATGCAAAGTCTCAGCCCGATCGGTTTAAATTGACAAAGTTTCATACAAACCTTCATCCCTATTTTATCCCTTTGGGGGTAGAATTAACCAAAATCCTTTCTTAATGGATGTCTACGTCATAACATCTACCTGCATGCCAAATTTCAGCCCGATCCGTTCAGTGGTATTGGCACATGAATATAAATACGATACATACCCCAAATTGACAATTTTTACTATTGTTGTCTGTCTTTCTGGTTGAAACAAAGCTAATCTCAGAAATGGCTGGACCGATTTTGATGGGTGCGAATACTGTTATTATTGAATGAGTAGTCATGCTCACTAAAATGTCCAGACATGTGGCGGCGTGGTGAATGGGTAAATATGGTCGAGCGCAGTGACTATCCGTCATACTCGTGAACGACCTAGGCTACTTTTATCTCATGATTATATTTGACCCAAAAAATAGTGCTAGTTTTATTCTAGTAAACTTAAAAATTTAAAAGAGCAACACACAAGTTTCTTGCTCGTTCTTCTTGTGATTACATTCCACGATAAAAAACAAATTGTTATGACTATTCAAAAGTGCTTAAATTAAGTTTATTTGAATAAATGATTTTCTATTCTATTCTATTCTATTCAGAAAAATTCTATTATTCTAGAAAAATAAAATTACATTCCACGCGGACGAAGTCGCGGGTAGAGCTAGTATTCAATATTATTGCTTATTGCTCAATTACAATTTAATATGTTAGTTAATAAAAAAATAGATTTTTTATTACTCTGCTCGTTGAGTCGAAAGCGCTGGGCGGCTGGTTGGAAGTGGCAGGAGTCAGGACTTGGCGCGCCGGAGTCAGGGCCCGAGTACACGTAGTTGGGTAGACTAGAATCTGGTGGAGATTCCTGATGAATAAAAAAAACTATCTTTTATGGAAGGAAAGAAAGAAAATATATTTATTTGGTGCATTATTGATATATGTATATACAGTGGACCCGCGGTAATCCGGTCCCTGCGTAATCCGGCCCCCCTTGTAATCCGACATTGTCTATTATTTGTTATTGAATATTACTTTGACAATATACTTCAGAGTGCATATACATACATACATATATAACATAGAATCTTATCACTGGATCTGTAATTTGTCGGATTACAAGATACTCATTTGTAAAAAATTCCGGACTATAAGCAGAGGACCCTTAAGCACCACTCTATAATCCGACAAATACGATGGTCCGACATGACAAAACTGTATATGTATATAATATAAAGAATCATCCTATAATTTGTCGGCAAGGTACTCTTTTGTAAAAAAATGATTGTTGGATAACCGGGTCCGTCTGCAAAACGTTTGTCGGATATGTATGTATGTATATAATATAAAGAATCATCATTGGATCTATAATTTGTCGGATTACAAGGTACTCTTTTGTAAAAAAATTCGGACTATAAGGGGTCTTAGGCAGTACTCTATAATCCGACAAATTCGATAGTCCGACACTGCCTGCAAAATGATTGTCGGACTACCGGGGGTCCACTGTATGTATATATTTACTAGCTGACCCCACGATCTCCGTTCCGCCTCAAAATTAAATATGTCAAAGGTTTTTTAAAGTTTAGTACGCATTAAATTTCTGAACGCTTTGTTTTTTTTTTTTGACAGGTATCTGCATTTTGTATGGGAAAATATAATTGTTGTTTTTACTATTTCTCTTACAAAATTTTCTATATTTTATCACCGTTTAAACCTTCCCTGGACTTCTACGAATATTTCAAGACTAAATTAATAAAATTAGTCAAATAGGTTCAGCCGTTCTCGACTTTTAGCGAGACTAACGAACAGCAATTATATAGATATAGATATTATATATGTATATGTTATCTGTATCTGTATCTGTGGTAATATCATAAATATGCTCGAAAATTGCATTTTATTATTTTACGTCACAGGGTAATAATGATATTTTAATATATATTATTGGGGGAGAAAGTGATTGTTAGTAATGTGGACTAATAACCTCATTGCTAGCAATGTACCGTGTCAGGTTGACCTCCACGCGGTTGCCCCTGGAAACCATCGTGGTAAATTCTTGGTGAATTTGTCCCGATGGGCTAACTGACCTGACCTCATGCTCATCTTATCATCCTCCACTGGTGCCCCGTCAGCGTAAACCGTTAGCGCAGGCAGGGGCACCATTTCATTACCATCCATAAAAAAAATATATATTATTAAAAGGATCTCCTTATCTATACATCTATACATATAAATAAAATTGGAGTGTCTGTTTGTAATGTTGAAATAACCGTTTTTTACTACATGCATATGAATATAAATACGGTACATACACAAAATTAACATTTTTTACAATTTTTGTTTCTCCGTTTCTCTGTCTGTTTGTTCTGGCTAATCTCTGAAATGGTTGGACCGATTTTGACGGGACTTTTTTGGCAGGTAGCTAATGTAATATGTAGTAACTTAGGCTACTTTTAGGTTAACGAAGTTAGTTAGTTATATTCTATGAAAGTATAAAAAAATCGATTTGAAAGTTATATTTCCTAAAATTACCGACGTCCGCCAAATGTACTGTTACTTTTTATGCATTAAATAAATTGTTATATAAATAAACAAATAAATAATTATATATAGAGAAAAAAGTACATTATTTTTATATTATATTTTTTATATTATATTTTTTACACTTACCAAAGATTTGTATTTCGGGAGGTCATCGCTTGTAAATCTAACGCTGTGATTTCGTGGTATCTTCGACCCGGCGTGTAGTATCCTCAACGACATATTGTTAATAAATAGTTAACCTAAATAATATGAATGATTAGTAAATAATTAAGGAATAATCATTTTTTGCAGGATAATTCACAGAGTATCCTTCTAGCCCCAAGGTAAGCAGAGCTTTTTCTTTATACTTCAAATGTGGTAAACACATATTTTTGAAGAATTAACACAGCGTCATCTAGTGCCAAGCTAAGCAGAGCTTTTTTTCATACTTCGAATGTGGTAAACAAGTATACGGCCCATCTGATGGTAAACAGTTACCGTAGCCTATGGATGCCTGAAACACCATGGGGATCATATGCGCGTTGCGGACCCTTAAGGAACCTTAATATATTCTTAAAAATCCCCATGATATAGTCTCTCGAAAAAACCTCGACAAAATAATGCATAACATAGTCTTCTAAAATGGGATCGCATGATTAAGATGATGTCCGTAGTGCTGTTCATGTATATAGGCGACAGTTACCACTTACCATCAGTGCCGTCAGCTTGTTTTATATCTCAGGACAATTCACACAGCGCCATCTAGTTCCAAGCTAAGCAGTGCTTATATTATGAGTACTAAACAACTGATACAAATACATAGATACATTTTTTAAATACATACATAAAATACAAAGAAAACACAGTCCGATACAAACTATCACACTCGTAAATTTAAAATGTTTGTGCCGTGCGAGGAATCGAACCAGCGACCATATTGTTAGTGGATCTAATTACATAATTTAAATTAAATAGGGTAGTTTTTTCTACGTACCGTTTGCAAATCCGATAGCGCGATCTCCTGAACGGTTATGCTGAATTTACGTCCCCTACTGTGGAGCTGTTTGGGTACTAAATCATTATACAGGGTGTTACTGAAAATATACAAAATTAAACTTACCATTACTTTTTAATGAAGACCCCGGTAGACTAGCGGTTTAGCACACGCAGTCGCGGGTTCGATTGGTCGCATTTTACAAAGATTTGTATTCATGAGGATGATTGTTTGTATCGGTCTGGGTGTTTTCTATGTATAATATGTATGGATTTACGAAAAATAATATATCTGTGAATTTGTGTCAGTTATGTAGTACCCATAACACAAGCTTTAACTAGCTTGAGTCTAGATGGCGCTGTGTGAATTATCCTGAAAAAAACTAACCATCACTTTTTAATGAAGATCCCGATAGACTAGCAGTTTAGCACATGCGGTCGCGGGTTGGATTCCTCGCATTTTACAAACATGTGTATTCATGATTATGATTGTTTTTATCCGAGGCTGTCGAAATTAATTGTATTCTCTTAAACAAGTGTAAATGTAAACTGGTCGATAATAATTTGTGAGGATATCTGTTTAATTTCCCTTAATTCTATGAAGACATGTAGATTTTAGTTTCTTATATTTCTAATAGTCGCAGGTTCGATTCCTTGCACGATGAAAACATTTGTGTTTATGAATATGATTATTTGTATGCATTATTTTTTATATTTTCTATTTATATTTTGTATTTATAAAAAAAATGTATTTCTGTCAGTTATCTGTTACCCATAACCCAAGCTTTGCTTAGCTTGGGACTAGATGACGCTGTTTTAATTGTCCCGGCTTTGTATAGTTATTTTAAAATTTTGTAGACCTGCACAATTTAAACAATTTTGAACTTGCAACAATTAACAGAGCACCCTGTATAAATAAAGACAGTTACCCGTGCTTGGTACGGGCGAGCTTGTATCGTAAAAAATAATATCATAGCCGAGCATTTTGCCAATGATCTGCTATTTAGGACGAGTTTATGTAATATCAACCTACCAGACATAACCTGAATAAGAATAAAATTCGTTTATTTACATAAAAAAATAAACTTAAAAGATTATTAAAGAGGGTTCCGAGGGATTTTAATTATATCTTCCTTCGACTGGACTGTCATCACAGATCACGAGTCGGGCAAAGTAAGAGTTACGAGCGTACCTGGATTCTGTTATGGCGGCTGCTGCAACAACCGATTAACTTTTTTTTTTTTATAACACAGGGGACAAACGAGCATGCGGCTCACCTGATGGTAAGTGATTACCGCCGCCCATAAGCACCCGCAACACCAGGGGAATTGCAAGTACGTTGTCGGCCTTTTAAAAAGGAATAAGCTCTTTTCTTGAAGGTTTCAATATCGTATCGGTTCGGAAATACCATACTGGTCACAACACAACACGCGCGGCGGAACTAGTGTATATATACCTTGATAATTTGATAGTTTATATTAAAATTTTAGTGATTCAATTATATAAATGTAATTATGTGCAAGCGGCGTTTCTCAGACACGAGCGGGAACGAACAGAAATCGCCATCTTTTTTCCCAGCAGCGGCTCGGACTCGGCTCCTTTCGGCCCTAGATCGTGAAGTATGCCTGTCCTTGTCTATTACACGAGATGTGCATTTAAACGAATTGTGGCGCAAACAAAGATACTGACTTAATTTAAAGTGGCAAAAGGACCAGGTTCAGCGTATGTGGTTGTTTTTGATGGAGATATTCAGTGGATTATATACAGAAGCAAATATAATTTATTTTCGATCTGATTCAGTTGCACGTTACATATAAACTGTTACTTAGCAACATGATTAATGGACATGGATAATGTAATAACATTAAAGAAACTTATTATAAATGATTTTTTATATTTTGTAATGACATATTGTAAATTAAATATTGTAATGGGTGAAAACTGTGATCGGTACAGCCTATGCTGTAAATAATATAATTGACGTAGTGGAGTAACCTGAAACAGTCATGCTCGCTATAAAGTTCAAACTTGTGGCGGCGTGGTGGGCCGGGTCGATGTGCTCCCTCAAATATGGTTGAGTACAATGATGGCTGGCTCATACGTCATACTCGTGAACGGGTGCTGCTTGTGGGGACTGGTCTGTTCAGGTTGTGAACACTGATTAAATTTTTTGTTCTTTGCGATAGCATATGCTGGTGGTCACTCTATTCTCCCAAATTTGAATTTTAAAAACTATATTTATTATAAACATGTACCACTATTTTTTGAAAAAAATACGTGCTGAGTTTCTTGTCAGTTCTTCTCATCTCGATATCATTCCGAACTGACGGTAGATTTGACATATCATAAGAGTCTGTAATAGACCTACATGAATAAAGATATTTTGAATTTTGAATTTTGATTACCTACTTATTTTCAATGTGAAGGATTAGAATTTTTCTTCTAAAATCAATGTATAGCGGCCTAATAGCGGTATAGGTCCAACCAGTTGCAATTCTCGTAATGCGCGCACCATCTCCCGCAGCCAATTGGTGTAACCCTGGGAGCACACGTGGGAGACCAGTGCAGTCAGCGTGGCCGAACACGGATGATCGTTGAGTTCGTTACGACCACAGATAACATAACATTACATAGTTACGACGGACGAAGTCGCGTATACAGCAAGTAATAAATAATAATAATAATAATAAATTTCTGCTCTCTCTATTCTGTTAGATTCTGCCCGCATTGTACGCCGGTTTCTGTCCCTGGGGCCCTGAACCCCGACTGTGCTTGAGATGAGAATTTTTGGGAAAAAAAAAAAAAATAAATAATCTCAGGACAATTCACACAGCGCCATCTAGACCCAAGTTAAGCTAGCTAAAGCTTGTGTTATGGGTACTAGACAACTGATACAAATACATAGATTTTATTTTCGTAAATACATACATATTATACATAGAAAACACCCAGACCGACACAAACAATTATACTCATGAATACAAATGTTTGTGCCGTGCGAGGAATCGAACCCGCGACCATCGGACGTAAAGCGGTGTGCTAAACCACTAGACCACCGAGGTCGTCAAATAAACGTCAATAAACATAAATAAACTACTGGTTACATTCTGCATACCGATAGGACGTTCACGACATTGGTTCAGCAAGGAATTATGTCGGTGTGTCACGCGACGGGGCCTGGCCCTGGTTGCTCTGCATTTACATAATTTTGGTACTCAATTAAGTAAATCTTTTAAACATTATAAACGCAAAAGTTTGTTAGTACTGTAATATTATGTTATCTGTGGTTAGTACGGATGGTTTGTTACTCTTTCACGCAAAAACTACTGAACGGGTTTTGATGAAGCTTTACAGTGATATAGCTTAGAATAGAATAGAATAGAAAATCATTTATTCAAATAAAGTTACATTGAAGCACTTTTGAATAGTCATTACATTTTTTAATCTACCGCTCGTTCGGAAAGCTGTCTCATCACAAGAAGAACGAGCAAGGAACTTGCGTGTTGCTCTTTTACATCAGAATAACACATAGACTATAAATTTAATGAGGGTTAAACATTTAGTAAAGAATAAATAAATAACTCTGGACAATTAACACAGCGCCATCTAGTCCCACGGTAAGCAGAGCTTGTGTTATGGGTACTAGACAACTGATATAAATACATAAATAACCCTGGACAATTAACACAGCGCCATCTAGTACCACGGTAAGCAGAGCTTCTGTTATGGGTACTAGACAACTGATATAAATACATAGTTTTTTAAATTACATAGTCATATACATAGAACACACCTAGATCTATACAAACAATCATATTCATAAATACAAATGTTTGTACCGTGAGAGGAATCGAACCCGCGACCATCGGAAGTAAATAGATGTAATTCCTCTTCCTCTCAAATGAGTTCGATTCCTCATAAACCGTTAGACCAACGGAGCTTAATTAAATAGGTACAATTTATAGAAAGAGCAGCGACTGCAATGCAGTTTGACGGTCACTGTGTTCTAGCAGACTTATTTCCGTAAGTTGCAGGTTCGAATCCTCGCATGAGACAAATATTTTGTATTCATTTTTCATTTGACGACCTTTGTGGTCCAGCGGTCTAGTGCACCGCTTTACGACCGATGGTCGCGGGTTCGACTCCTCGCACGGCACAAACATTTGTATTCATGAGTATGATTGTTTGTATCGGTCTGAGTGTTTTCTATGTATAATATGTATGTATTTACAAAAAAAAGTCTATGTATATGTATCAGTTATCTAGTACCCATAACACAAGCTTTAGATAGCTTAACGTGGGTCTAGATGGCGCTGTGTGAATTCAAGACAATTCACCTGAGACATATTATTATTATTCATGAGTATGATTGTTTACTTGTATTAGTCTAGGTGTTTTCTATGTACTTTATGTACTTATGTATTTACAAATAAAATGTTTTTAAAAGCATTAAATATATTTCTATCAGTTGTCTTGTAAATATAACACCAACTCAGTTTAACTTGCGACTTGGTGGCGCTGTGATAGACCGGATGATGTGGATGAAAATTACGAGGTTCCGGGAACAGTAGGTACATTTTTTTTATATAACACAGGGGGGATAAACGAGCATGCGGCTCACCTGATGGTAAGTGATTACCGCCGCCCATGAGCACCCGCAACGGCAGGAGAATTGCAATTACGTTGTCGGCCTTTTAAAAAGGAATAAGCTCTTTTCTTGAAGGTTTCAATATCGTATCGGTTCGGAAATACCATTGCTGGAAGGTGATTCCACAATGTGGTTGTGCGACATAGGCCTCCCCAAAGATCTCCAGGCAAAAACTTTCTAGAAAATCGTACTGTGGAGGACCACCATTCATCTAGATGATCAGGATGCTATTTTAGTTTCTGGCGGGTGGTACGGTGGTGAAACTCAGCAGCCGGTATTAATCCGAACAATTCCTCAGAACACTTCCCGTGATATATGCGGTAGAAAATGCACAGAGATGCAATATCTCGCCGACGTTGATTCCTGATTCTGGCTGCTCGGTTCTGAATGCGGTCAAATAGAAGTAGCTGGTATTGTGGTGCTCCCGCCCAGAGATGAGAACAGTATTCCATATGCGCCCGGATAGATTTGGATTTGTAGATACGTAACACTTTCCAATGAATATCTACTAATTATAAGTATATATTCTATTAAATTAATAAATAAAATATTTTAATGAACCAAGGAAAAAATATAATGTCACTTTTTACAATAATCTGATGTACGAATAATCAAAATTTTATAACATACTAGTTCTTCCTGCGACTGCGTCCGCGTGAAATTTAACAAAAAGTTAATAAGATATTTTTACTAAAATAAAAGTAGCTTAAGTTACCTTATTACATCAGCTACTTGCCAATAAAAATCCCTTCAAAATCGGTCCAGCCATTTCAGAGATTAGCCGAAACAAACAAGCAGGCGAAAATTGTAAAAATGTTATTTTGTGTGTATGTACGGTATTTATATTCATATGTGTATATAAAAAACGATTATTTCAATATTACAAACAGACACTCCAATTTTATTTATATGTATATGTCATATTACTTTTTAAAGATAAAAAAGTTTAAAGGAAGAGGTTTCACAACAGGCGCTGTGTGAACTGTCCTTGGTAATTATTATGTATTTCTTTACTGCGAGGAGTCGAACCCGCGGGCATCCGAAGTATGTTGAACCGCTAGACCATCGACGTCGTATTTGTATAATATACCATGACTGCTAATCCAGATTTCCAGAGACCTGGCTTCACCCTTAACTGCTTATACCGTTAGCCCTACCAGGTGCAGCATTCAGGTTGTAAATCACAAACCTACCAATCATTATTCTATAAACAACAAAATTTTAGTTGGTGGAAATTCCGCCTATGGTCGAATTGTTAGTAATGTGGACTAATGATCCCATTCCTAGCAATGTACCATGTCAGATCGACCTCCACGCGGTTCCCCCTGGAAACCATCGTGATACATTCTCGGTGAATTTGTCACGTTGGGCTAACTGATCTGACTTCATGTTCATCTTATCATCCTCCACTGGTGCCCCGCCAGCGTAAACCGTTAGCGGGTGAACAATTACATTATCATCCTTTAAAAAAAAAATTCGACCATAAATAAAAATCATCTTTGAATCAGTAATGAAATGAAATATGTATGGGTTTGAAATGTATGGCAATGTGTTTAATGTTTTTCTTATTGAGTTAATGTATTTTATGCATAACTAGCTTTTGCCCGCGTTAATTTATCACCTTGGGGTGGAATTTATCAAAATCCTTTCTTAGGGGATGCCTACGTTTTAGTATATTTATGCAGCAGTCTCACGCAACGTAGGCCTAAGAAAGGATTTTGATAAATTCCACCCCCAAGGTGATAAATTAAAGCGGGCAAAAGCTAGTTATGCATAAAATACATTGAACTCAATAAGAAAAATCACATGAAATGCCATACACTTCAAACCCATGTTTTTCGATCGGTTAAAATTGATAACTAGCTTTTGCCCGCGTTCATGCCCATGGGGTAGAATTATCAAAATCCTTTCGTAACGGATGCCTACGTCATAACATCTACCTGCATGCCAAATTTCAGTCCGATCCGTCCAGTGGTTTGGGCTGTACGTTGACAGATCACTATGTCAGTCACCTTTGAGTTATATATATATATATAGATTTAAAAAATATTCTGCACTCCTCTATATAAACTATAAGTGTGTGAAATTCCATATTACTCCGTCCGCGTAATATTTGTAAAAAAGGGTACAAAGTTTTAATACAATGACGTATGGGCGGGAAAATCAAATGACCATAGACAAAAAATAAAATTCACAACACTTTTTTATATTTTTTTTAATTAACATAAGTTTATTCATTCTCTTGGCTACGGAGGCGTGCAGACGCGTTGGTGACCCTGATGCTGAGCTGCTGCGCACGTTCCACGATGGTCTTCCGTTTCTTGGAGGAGACACCGTGTGCGATCTCTGCGCAGTATTTCCTGTTCTGCATCATGAGGATTTCCAGCTCGCGAACATTGTGCACCAGAACCTGAATGAAAAGTTTACATTACATTACTGTAGTTTCATCAAATTTATATATTATCATGAAAAATTAATATTTTTTCTATTTGGGTATTTCATTAAATTAGTGCTAGCTGGTAGTTTGTTTTCACACACTTCAACTTAAAAATTTAATGAAATAATTGTATTATTTAAAAGAGCAACACACAAGTTTATTGCTCATTCTTCTTGTGATGTGACAGCTTTCCGAATTAGCGATAGATTAAAAAAAATGATGACTATACAAAAGTGCTTCAATGTAAGTTTATATGAATAAATTAATTTCTATACTATTCTAAATCAGTTCAGTAATTTTTGCATGAAAGAGTAACATCACATCCATCCATACGCACAAACTTTCGCGTTTATAATATTAATAGGAAGTAAGATAATGTATCTCCCAATATGACCAAATAGTTATAAAAACTGTCAGGAATAGGGTTTGGTAGATTTATTATAGCAAGGTTACAAATTGTAATTATCATATTTACAATGAATAACACAGAGTGCCCTTGCAAATGTACATTCATATATATATACATACATAGCGCCATCTAGTCCTAAGGTAAGCAGAGCTTGTGTTATGGGTACTAGACAAACAATATATAGATATATGTTTTTGTAAACATATATATTATAAATAAGAAACACCCAGGCAATACAAACAATCATACATAGGAATATAAATATATGTACATTGTGAGGAATCAACTCCCAACCGCTGTAATTTAAGGTGCTATGCTAAACCGTATGGTCCACAGTGGCCATATGATAAGTCTAAGAGTATATTCTCAAATTCTGTGTACATTAATATGATAATTCACGGTTTTTACCCATTTTTTTTTATTAGGTTGTTTGGGCTATTGTCAGGTGCTTAGACCTGTAGTGGAAGCTACATAGATCTATTATGCTCACCCTTTTTCAGAGTTCGCTACCTAGACCCATCAGGACAAGAATTGAAGGATATTCTTAGGAGCGATGGTTTTTATCTCCTTAGGATAGAGTGTAAACTTTATAAAGGAGATATATGGTTTATGCATGAGTGGGCTACAACCACATAGGGTGTGTAGTGGCGTTTCCTCTTCAGTGTGGTAAATATATAGATTTTTGTTGTGCATAGGCCTAGTTGTGCCATGTTTTTACCCCTTACCTTACGGAAACCATTGGGGAGCATGTGACGGGTCTTCTTGTTTGATCCGTAACCAATGTTTGGCATCAAGTACTGTCCCTTGAAACGCCTGCGCACTCTGTTGTCAATACCTGGAATTTAATAAAAAAAATTCAATTATAGAAAGAGAAATAACCTTTTTTCAAATGAATATTTTTTTTTGTTCCTGGTTTATCCGCAATCAGTATGTCTACTATAATCCGATTGGTTGGCAAATGGCAATGAGAGTCTGTCAATCCATTGACTGCAAGACTTGTTATTTAATGACACCCTCTGGAATACATTAAGGAATTAAGAACTGGAGTGTTGCTTATCCAAATCCAGTAGATATGTTCTTTTCAGACGTTTTGGGGGGGTTTTGTTTATATGGATGACAATGGGATGGTGCACTCGCCTACGCTAACGGTTTACGCTGGCGGGGCACCAGTGGAAGATGATAAGATGAGCATGAGGTCAGGTCAGTTAGCCCATTCTGACAATTTCACCAGGAATTTATCACGATGGTTTCCAGGGGGAACCATGTGGAGGTCAACCTGACATGGTATACTGGGGTGAGTCCACATGAGTCCACATTACTAACAATCTTTCCCCTGACGTTTTGGGGGGTTGTCAGTTAGTAACCTCTGAGCTAATTCATTGGGGTGGACACTACATAAATGAACACTATTAAGTTATTATTATTAAAGTGTAACAAGATTTAACATATGAGCAGGGCATTTATTTATACCCATATTAATAAATATATTATATATATACTAGCTGTCCCTGCAAACATTGTTTTGCCTTAAAATAAAAAAAAAATAGGGGTGGACAACCCTTTAGGGGCAAGAAAAATAGATGTTGGTCGATTCTTAGACCTATTCAATACACTCACAAAATTTCATGAGGATCGGTCAAGCCGTTTCAGAGGAGTATGGGAACGAAAACTGTGACATGAGAATTTTATATATAAGATTATATGTATGTATATATGATGAATTGAAGAATTTGTTAATGACAATAATGTTTTTATAGAAAAACTTAAAATCCATAGCAATGACAATATTATCTGATTACACTAATGAGTGCGTAAGGATTTCTATGTTGATTATCGCATGCCTCTTACTTGTTATACTGTAATTATTATATAAAAAAACATCTATTCAAAAGAGCAACACAGAAGTTTCTTGCTCATTCTTGTGATGAATCTGCATTCCGTATGAGTAGTAGAATCAAAATATGACTATTCAAAAGTGCTGGTTATGAGTTTATTTGAATAAAGATTATTTCTATTTCTATATATATTTTTCCCTTGTGTCACTTAAAATTACTTATTTTAAATGAGTACTAATACCTGCCCCGCTAATAGTGTGTTAAGAAATTGTTAAGATACAAAATATAGCATATCCCATTGCAAAATAAAGGACAAAAAAAAATCTGTTTCATCAAATAACACTTTTTATCACTAACCCTACTGTCTAATTCAGCTAGCTACTTCAATTGGGAAGAACTGACAAGAAATCAAACTGGTTTATTTTTTTTTTCAGTTTTAATCTTATTCATTGAATAAAATAATGTATTTATTCAAATAAACTTAATAAAGTCATTTTTGAATGGTCATATTTTTTAATTCTATCACTCATCTGGAAAGCAGATTCATTACAAGAATGAGCAAGAAACTTAAGTGTTGCTTCTACAAATAAGTTGTTCAGAATGACATTTTTAAGAACTTTGTATTATCAAAAATTACGTACAGAAATGTCCTAAAAGTCTTGTAAGATGAAATTAATATATTTACTGAGCTAAAGAGGGTAGACAGTGAGAATCAAATGCCAACAGTATCTATAAATGAAAGTAATGTATCTCCCAATATGACCAAATAGTTATAAAAACTGTCTGGAATAGGGTTTGGTAGATTTATTATAGCAAGGTTACAAATTGTAATTATCATATTTACAATGAATAACACAGAGTGCCCTTGCTAATGTATATTTAATACGAAATTACTAATGGCTACATCAAGACCTAACCTATTAAAATATTTTACCTGAGCCGATTTGTGAAAGAAATGTATTATTTTTTAATTAAATACGACATGGATAGTACTTTTCTTTATCGAAAAGAAATCTAATTACTGTGAAAGTAAATATTGTGATAGGTTATTGAAAGTAGCGTGTGTCCAACTTACCTCTTGGTTTACGCCAGTTACGCTTGAGTTTATCATAGCGATCTGATTGATGACGAATAAACCTTTTCGTCCTCTTTTTGACGATTGTGGGCCTGTATACTGGTCTGATAGCCATTTTGATTATACGAATGAAACGCGGTCGTGAAACACGCGGTGACACGGCCGCACGAAAAGGAAGAAGAAAAACATAGACAAAAGAATACAGAAGATATTTTTTATTTGACTTTGGATACGTGTCTTTTCAATTTTCATAAGTAATGTCATATATGTCAAACTATTAGCATAAATGTCAACTCACGATAATATTACATTCCATTTATTTATTTTGAAGGCATTAAATTCGTTTCGTGTGACAGACACGGTCTTAAATTTTGTTTAAATATGAATATTAATTCATATTTAAATAAAAATAAATTAGATGTTTAATAATAGTGTTTTAAAGTTGGTTCTGTCAAGGAACGATCCGTTTATTGCTGTGTCCGTGCAAAAATAAATTGCAAACTCTATTCTATTAATGCCAATTTTTATATCTTTCAAGGTATAGTGAAATACTATTATTGTGTTTTCTTGTTGTATGTTGTATAAAGAAATTTTAAATATTATAAGTAACGACACACATTAGAAATGTAAATAAATAGTATCTAATTCAGGAAGTTAGGTTTAACTATTTATTTACTTTTCTATTCTGTGGAAATCATAGAGTCTTTTATGTGACAGTTCATCCTCGTTTATGAGTGTAAACCGATTGTCTATGCCACAGACGCCAAATGTCGCCATCGATCAATGACATTTTGTGAAGTTGAATTTATTGATATAAAGCGTTAATGTAAATAATAAACAATTTCATCATAAAAGTCGGCTTCTAGTCGATATGTATGCCAAGGGCAAAGGCTCTACGGTGCCTTCGGACGCTCAGGCTCGTGAGAAGTTGGCGCTGTACGTGTATGAATACTTGCTTCATGTTGGTGCAACCAAAGCCGCTCAGACTTTCCTTTCGGAAATACGATGGGAGAAGAATATAACCCTTGGCGAGCCGCCCGGGTTCCTACACTCGTGGTGGTGTGTGTTTTGGGACCTGTACTGCGCGGCGCCTGAGAGGCGGGACACATGTGAACATTCGTCGGAAGCCAAAGCTTTCCACGATTATGGTTTCGTCAATTCAGGATATAACGGAATCGGTCACAACGCCGGCCCGGCGCCGCCGAACGACGGTACGTGTTCCCAACTAGTTTATTGCCGCCATAAACTGTTTGTTTCGTGGCATACCTTTTTCTAGGCCATCACCTTATCTCCCTGTTCAAATGAAATTGGTGTTTATGGTGTTAGTAGAACAGTTGTGTACGCAATTTATGTATTGTATTGTTATGTACATGTTACCTTATGGTTTTACTCAGCTTTTCACTCAAGATGAGTTTTTATTTTATTTTTTATTTTATGCAAGCAAAGGACACTTAGTGTACTGACATATTTTAAAAGGCAAATTATATATTTAGTAATATAATTTATGTTAATTTATGAATTATATATCATTTCTATTGGGATGTTTACATATCTCTTTTTAAGTACCACAGTCTTCAAGTTTGTTTATTTTGTTATTCTTTGCTTTGTGATACAATTGAAAGTATGTTAGTTAGTGTCTTATGCTTCCACACCTACTGCCTCAGCTGTGTAGCAATTTACACCACCACTATACTTGAATAGGTTGCAGGTTCAATTTCCACACCTTCTACTGCCTGAGTGGTGTAGCACACCACCATAGTTGAATAGGTCGCAGGTTCAATTCCTTGTTTGATGCAAACATTTGTATTCAGAAGTACGAGTGTTTGTATTATAGGTTTGGCTATTTACTATATATATATCACATAATTATTAAAAAAAAATGTATTTAAGTATTTTTATCTTTTGTTTTGTACTAATAACACTAGCTCTGCTTAGCTTTGGACTAGACAGCCCTGTGTGGATTATCCTAGGTTATTAAGGCCTTTAGAGTAGTAAAAAAATCAATTTGTTTTTTTTTTCTATTTAGAGAAAGTTAGGTTATGTATCTTTACATAGTATAAAATGAAGTTGTTTCCGCTGTCTGTTGCTTAGAACTTTTAAAGTATGCAATGGATTTTAATCCAGTATTTGGCAGTAGATAGAGTGATTCAATAATATTTATAGTTTATACATATAATATACATGTATGCGAAGCCAGGGCGTGTAGCTAGTTCTATGTAAGCATACTATATGCAGTCAAACTACAACTATAATCAGTAATAAGTGCTTTTAATGTGTAACATATTACATACTTAATATAATACTGGAGTAACAAAGATCTGCAGATTTTGCCAAGTTGAAGAGGCAATACACAAATTCAAATTCAAAACAATTTATTCATGTCGGACATTTTAGCAGCTTATGAACATCAAATTTTTATATTATAATTTTTTTTCCTACCGTCCAGTTTGGTATATAGATCCAATTGAGAAGAACTGGCAAGAAACTCAAATATCCTATGTGGAAAGTTATATCCTGAGGAGATAAAAACCATCCAATAACTTAAGAATATCCTTCAATTGGAATGCATTACGTAGATACAGATAATATTCATGATAATGATTTTTTTAGCATTTTGATAAACTATTATTACTTATTACCTTCTCTCCAGACTGCGAAAGCATTAAGACATATCCACTTTAATATTTATTTATTTTTCCCTCTGTTAATAAATCAAATTGAAGATGACATCAACCTGACTCTGGGACCGTTCTGGAACAGGTTTGCGGAAGACAGAGTTCAGTAGAGAGAGCTGGAGGAGGCCTATGCCAAAAGGCACACCAAGTTGTGGGATATTTTGTAAACATCAAAATGTACCGCAACTTTTGGAAAAAGGGCTATATTATTATTATTACAAATCAAATTAAAATAAGAATTTAATCACTATGAGAATTTGATTATATTGTGTAGTTAGGTACAAATCACTATGTATGCCTAAAAGCTTTGCCTTAGTTTCCTTCGGAAATTGTTATTATATAAGCTTGCTTAAGCTCACCTGAAAACATTTGATTCATATCAAAGGTTTTGGCTATAGGGTGGGCAGTGAAATTACAAGCGGTATGGTATCCTAGTACTCTGGTATTTTCATGTGATGTTAGTGAACTGAGTGAGTTTCTTGTCAGTTCTTCTCATCTCGAAATCATTCGGAACTGACGGTAGATTTGACATATCATAAGCCTGTAATAGACCTACATGAATAAAGATATTTAGATTTATGAATTTTTCATGACTGTTGGGCTGTTAATTTATATTCTAGGCAATCTATTTTTATTTATTATGATTATATTAGTTAATATTATTATATAACAATATTGCCCCATATTTTATATATCTTTCGGACTATCTTATATAGAAAATAATAAAACAAAATAAAATATTAATACTGTCTTTGTGGTCACCACACTCACTATGGTAATCCACCATGGTAGCAGTGGTACACAACTCCCTTCGGCCGGTAGTCCTCCATCATGAAGGTGGATATAATGTTGATGGGAACTCGGGCCATGAATGCCTTGAAACTAACGTTGTGTTTCGGTTTCAGCTGCGTCACCCTTAATGTCAGGTTACTTTTTCGGATATAGTTGACGATGTTCTCATTCCTGTGATATAGCTGTCCTTCAGATGGTTTGCCGTTCCACTACATAAAAAATATATTTAATTCCAGGAATGGGTGGTGGAGGAATGCCACCAGGATTCTTCCCAAACTCGCCCCTGCGGCCGTCGCCGCCGGCTCCACACCCTGGCAGTCAGCCGTCACCGCACGGGCCACAGCCGCAGCTCATGGGCACCGGGCAGCCGTTCATAGGCCCCTGGTACTCGGGGGGTGGGCCCCGGGGGGCTGTCAGGATGGGGATGGGCAATGATTTCAATGGACCACCAGGTTAGTAAGTTAGGATGGCTATGTTGATTTTTTTTATTGATGATATGAATGGTACACCGACTTGCGTTAACGTTTTACGCTGGCAGGGAGCACATCGTGACAAATTCATCAGGAATTTATCATGGTACATTGCTAGCAATGGGTCATAAGTCTACATTACTAACATACACTACTGATCATTTAATTGAATTAGTGCTAATTGGTAGTTTGTATTTACTTAAACTTAAAAATGTAAAGTAAGAATAATATTATTTAAAAGATCAACACGCAAGTTTCTTGCTTGCTTCTTCTTGTGATGAGACAGCTTTCCGAATGAGCGGTAGATTAAAAAAATGTGACGACTATTCAAAAGTGCTTCAATGTAAGTGTATTTGAATAAATGATTTTCTATTCTATTCTATTCTAACAATCCCCTTCCCTCCTTTAGGTTGGTTTAAGTGATAAGGCCGCATTTTGTTAAGCACTTGCACGACTATTGTTAATTTAATTTCGAATCGGAAATGTAAAGTTACAATGATTATTTAAAAGAGCAACACGCAAGTTTCTTGCTCGTTCTTCTTGTGATGAGACAGCTTTCCGAATGAGCGGTAGATAAAAAAAATGTGATGACTATTCAAAAGTGCTTCAATGTAAGTTTATTTGAATAAATGATTTTCTATTCTATTCTATAACAGTAGTATATGAGCGACGCCGGGCCGGGGATCTAGTATACAATTAGTTGAGTAACGAACGGTAATAACGTAATAGTAACTGTTGAACTTGTTGAACTCTGATATGATAAACATAATAGTAATTTCGTAACATGATTGTATATTTTTTTTCACCACTGAAAATTTTATACTTGAATTTAATTTGATACATATTATAAACAGGAAGTTTGTGAGTATGGATGGATATTACTTTTTCACACAAAAAGTACTGAACGGATTTTAATAAAACTTTGCAATAATATAGCTGTTAGTTGCATATATATTTACTACAGAACAGCCGCGTATTTTCTTGCTCAAAACGTTATGCAAAATTCGACCTTATCCTATACAATAGCTTACATCTGAATAACATATAGGCTGAAAATTATAGCCTATGTGTTACGATACGCGCGTGAAACCGCGAGCACAGCTAGTACAATATAATAATAATAAAATATCTCATAACAATTTACACAGCGCCATGTAGTCCCAAGTTAAGCAGAGCTTGTGTTATGGGTACTAGACAACTGATATAAATACATAGATACATTTTTTGTAAATAGATACATAATGTACATAGAAAATACCCAGACCGATACAAACAATCTTTATAAGTCATGAATGCAAATGTTTCTACTATGCGAGTAATTGAACCCACGACCGTGGGATGTGATGCAAGGCAAATAGCCTTACATAGAGTAATGTAAGTGACATTGCTAGACCACTAGAACAATGAGCCGTCGAGAAACTTCGTTTTAAATATTTGAACGTTTTTTTGGACCACATTTACAATATTGAGTTAGTCAGTTAGTCTAGACCCTGAGAAAGCACACAGGCTAGTTTTTAATGGTAGGGTTTTTAAAGGGTTGTAAGGGGTTGAAAGCGGAGATGAAAGGTTGTATAGAAGTATCGTCATTTTTAAATCTAGAAACTTAAAACTTATTGTTAGTTAAATTATATTAAATAAATATGATATTTAAATAATGTAGAAATTTTTCTGTTAAGGGGGTAAAACGCGGACGAAGTAGTGGGCACAGCTAGTATTAGTAAATAAACTATTAATAAACTATAAAAGTGCGAAATTTCATAATCCTCCGTCGCGAAATTTTCTTAAAAAGGCGTACAAAGTTTTGTTTCACGTATTCATATATAGATGTGTATGTAAATAGATATTTTTTTTCTATATTACAATGGTTGCAAACAAGCATACGGCCCATCTTATGATAACCAAACACCAGGGGAGTCACGTGCGCGTTGACCTTTAAATTCAAATTCAAATTAAAAAATCATTTACTCATGTAGGACATTTTAGCCGCTTATGAACGTCAAATTTTTTACATTATTTTTTTTTCCCTACCGTACAGTTAAGTATTTAGATCCAATTCAGAAGAGCTGGCAAGAAACTAAATTGCAAAACTTTTTTTTAAAAGCCAATTTATTTACAATGTATGTTTATATAGATATTAAATGAAAATCCCGTGCATGAAATAACTAACATAAATTAAGAAATTTAATATACCCTTTCTTGAAAACAACCATACCGTACTCTTGAGAAATGAACTACCCCGGCAGGTAGTTCATTCCATAAACTAAGTGTACGCGCAAGGCAGCTCCTCTAAAGTTGTACTGTCCGAGACCACATAGGTTCCAGCGTGTGGGCATGATTTATCAGTAGCTTAAAGCCTTCCTCGACAAATGGACTATCCAACACTAACAGAATATTTCAATTCGAACCAGTAGTTCCTGAGATTAGCGCTGTTCAAATAAACTCTTCAGCTTTATAATACTAGTATAGATTATGAACGGTGTGGTATTTGTGTGCAGGTCAGGGTATGATGGGCAATTCAATGGAGCGCGGCGGCGGCGGCGCGAGCGCGGGGCTGCTGGGTGGGCCGCGCATGACGCCGCCGCGGCCCGGCATGGGGCCCATGAGCCCCGGCGCCTACGCCTCCGGCATGCGCGGCCCTCCGCCCCAGGGACCAGGTGCGTACAGGGCTCACGCGCTCACGCGTACTCTTACACACATATCTGCTCATATTTATGTACTCTCGCACACATGTCTAGTTATATATTGTACTCTTGCACAGTTATATAGCTTCTTACGTATTGTACTCTTGAACACATACGTACTTATGTATTTTACTTTTACAGATGATGACATCATCATCATCTGCTTCTTCCTTATCCCATTTATTTGTGGTCGGCGTAATATGTTTTTAGCTTCCATTCATCCCTGTTCGCAGTCATCGCGTTATTTACTTCCTTTCTTACCATATCATCTTTCACACAGTCCATCCATCTCTTTTTCGGCCTTCCTCTGCCCTTATAACCATCTGCATTCATATGTAACACCTTTCTTAAAATATTATCCTCATTCCTACGCATTACATGTCCATACCATGATAGACGATTACTCTTCAACTTCTCTGACACCGGCGCCACTTTCATACTTCCTCTAATGTATTCATTTTTTATCTTATCCATTCTTGTCACACCACACATCCACCTCAACATTCGTATTTCAGTTGCATGCAGTCGTCTTTCATCCGTCGCCTTTACGGGCCAGCACTTTGTCTTGTAAATTTTTCCCTTAAGCTTAAGGGGAACACGCGAGTCACACGTCGTTGCCGTAACCTGCCCCCACTTCCATTCTGCGTTAATTCTATGCTTTATGGTCCTGTCTAATTCACCGTTGCTTTTGAGGAGAGAACCTAGATACCGGAAATCGGAGCAGATCGGTAATGGAGCTCCATTTAGTGATATGCTGCTTACTCTTACCACATACACCTACTTATTTATTTATTTAACTTAAACGTACACAATACAAAAATAGTACAGAACATTTGCCGGACTTAACGCCATGCGGTAATTTCTACCGGTCAACCATAGGTAGTGGAGGGAATCATTTTATTAGAGTACATTACATAATTGTACTCTTGCACACATACCTAGTTATATGTTGTACTCTAACACATACATACACTGGGCCATTCATTAATCACATGATGTTTTTTAGCATTTTTTAATACAGGATAGGTTACGTTGGTGATACGTGGTGAGGTTTAAGACTAACCTCCCCTCGTCCCAAAACAAATTCACTTGTATTTTTTAGTTCATACAAGGATTTTTTTTTTAATATTGTCTCTGAATACAGGTATAAAGTATAATCTACTTTTATTGCAGACAAATCTACACGCCGCTTTTGGGTTTAGAAATCGTGCGTTTGACGAAAAATGAATATATATTTCGTATTTTTTGTCGAGCCGTCAACTTATTATTTTTAATGGCAATGTTAATTTATATGGTAACGACGTTTGTCCTTGTCAATGAAGTAAATTATGGTACCATATACATGTCTGCTTACCTTTAAACTGTATTTCTGATTCTTGATTGACATCTATGGCAGTAAAATTGTAGCATTGGAAATTATAAGGTGTCATGCCTTAGGAATGACTGAGGACTAAGAATTTCAACGCATCAAAGGTAGTCTTCAGTAATTCCTAAGGACTAATAATTTCAACCCAAGGTGGGTTGAATTTTGAACCCCTCATTGGTTAAAATTCCTGGGTACTAACTAGGGTTGTCACATGAACACGTGATGTCTTATTTAGTAATGATAGTATCAAAAATTAAAAAAATATCTACAATGGTAGCATCTCGGAATTAAATTAGTCAAAAATAAATGTGTGTATCGGTGAACAGGTATGCCACCGATGGGAATGGGCCCGCGGGGCGCGTGGGCGGGCGGAAGCGTGGGCGGCGGCGGCGGGGGCTCCGCCCCGCTCAACTACAGCGGCGGCTCGCCCGGCGCCTACGGGGCCCCGCCCGGCTCCAACGGGCCCCCGGGGCCCTCCACGCCCATCATGCCCAGCCCGCAGGACTCCTCCAACTCGGGTGAGTGTAGATGAATTTACAGGTGGCGGTCTGTGGTGGGGTGCGGTTGGATACCGGTTTTTGGTATCGATACCGGTTTTAAATTGGTACCGAGGAGAGACGGCTTCGTTGTGTGACGTGTTTGCAAATAATTGTAGTTTAGAACGAATTTAATTTTTTTTTTATAACATACTAGTTATGCACGCTACATCGCGCGTGTACATTTGTTTGATGATCAAACAACATTTAAACATGCCATTATTTTATTAAAAAAGTTAATAAAATCGTTCTTTATATTTCGTCCTTTTAAGAGGCATTTTTGCAGCTTTCTTTAGGCTTTAAGGATAAACTATATTAAATTATAGTTTTATCAAAATTACCTAAGAATACAAAAGTGTCCATTTGACAGCTGCAGTACATTACAGAGATTGTCAAATTGTCTGTCTGGTCATGAGCACCCCTCAGGGAGGTGAGGGTTGAGGCCGGCATCGACTCTGGGAGGAAAATCCTTCGGATGACTGGGTTAAAATCTCTAGGGCGAGTATAAAATTCAAAATATATTTAGATATTCATGTAGGTCTATTACAGATTTTTACGATATGTCAAATCTACCGTCAGTTCGGAATGATTTCGAGATGAGAAGAACTGACATGAAACGCAGCTCGTATTCTTCTTGTGTCAATATTAATCAATATCTATGACTAGATTTATTTGCAAAACCGTTACATGATCGAGCGCAGGTTAGATTCTTAAAGAATATGCTCAATTAATTATTGTTTCTATAAGATTTTAAAATGGCCGTATTTTTCGTTAGGAATATAAATCGAATATCTAGAAATCGGTATCCGAATGCTTCCAGTGTTAACTATATGTTAAAGGGCGTTTGGATCCCAAGCGACACAATTTAGAGACGTTAGACATATTTGTTATAAATAAAATAACTAACAAAAAACCGATTAATACCAGAAATTGATACCAATTTTAAACAATAACCGTATATGGGAATTACAAGTTGAATCGTTACTGAAAATTGGTATTAATATCCGTATTACAAACACTAAACTCTATATTGTGTTGTGTTCAGCTACACATTACGATTTAATATTTGATGTGAAACGTCGGAAAGAGTTAACAACACTTTTGAAATACAAAATGAAGTTCAAAGGTGAATTTAACATCAACAATTTAGCAATTTGCAGGTTTATATAATAACATTACATCACTAAAACCAGGTAATTGACTGTGGCACTTTCTTAGACGTGGTTTTTGATTGCCAATTTCTTATACATTTGGGTATCGATACGGTATTACCGGTGTTATCCGAATATTTTGATACCCATTTTTTGGTATCGCGTTCGAGCGACGTGCTCGTTGGTTATGTCGTGAATATTGAAATATGCATTCGAAAACCATTGGTATATATCACTTATTGTTTAAAAGAATCTTCGAAAGGAATATTGTTTTCTTACTTTTAGTTCTGCTTGCCTCATTCTCGCTTAACCTTGGTTCGTTCACGCTTGGGTCACTCCTGTATTACGCTTCTTATATTTCTTTTTTTTTGTACAACAAGTCTTTGATTTCGTCCTACCCACTTTATGTTTGTATCAATTGTTTAGCTGTAAGATTACTGTTGGTTTTCAACTAGATCGCAATGGATTGTTGATTGGAAATATTTTGTAAAAATGTGATAATAATTTTGTTATGTACTTTATGGTAAATTTTCTATAGACAATATTCTTTATTCATTATTTTGAATTCGTTACACATAAAGCGGTTAATTTTGAATAGTTATTTTAAATGAAAAGTATCATTAAATGATTTTGAAATGAGATTGTGTTGAAGGTCTTGGTGTGGTAAGATCTGGTGCAGATGTTTTCGTTCAGAGAACATTGCAACTCTGGTCAGACCATTAAGGAGTTGTAATATTTTTTTGATATTGAATTGCCCTGTTAGGTGCCATTTTTTTTCTACGTATTGTCGCTTCCTGTTAATTTATTTAAATACATTTCGTGTCAGATCTATTTAAAAAAATTTTGATAGGGTCAAACAAAACTTTGTTGTGAGTTTGACGAGTTTTATAAACATCTCACATTAGTTTTTTTTTAATCTGCGATAGATTTTAACATGCCAAGGGCGCGTCATCACAAATCTAATTGTTTTTTTTAATAAGTAATATATTTAATGATACTTGCGTTTTTATGAAAAAATCTCTAAAATAACTTGAAATTTAATATTGTTATTAAGAATTTGCGTATTATAAATCGATATTTAGGTTATGGTATTTTTTTTATTAATATATTAAAGTTTAGTAATAGAATTTTGTTGTAGATGTTAAAATTGGTATGTGCTTTCAATTTAGACTGTAGATACAAGTTTTTAGATATATATTAACAATTCAATACCAATTTTAAATCATCTATACGTTTATACATTTGTGTCTACTGTAAATTTTTATATATTCCAATTGGGATATATTTTTATTTATTATAATTATATTTATGAAGTAATTCTAGTTGAAAATCGACAGTAATGTTTTTTTTTGTCTTAAAACCGTCCGTAAATAATATAATACTCAACGTACAAGACCGGATGCATTAGAAAAAGGAAGTTTAGTTTATGGTAGCATTGTTACAATGAGAGGTCTAAATTTTTTTTTTCAGTATTGTAATAAAAAAAATGAAGTTCTATCTTTTGTGTCCGGTCGAGTGCATATATGTGTAATGCTATTAATTGTATGATAATTGTAAATTAGCATAATAATATGTCTATATATATATATGTCTTCGAATAAATCACAATTTGTAAAATAGACTTGTTTCAATACCTAAATATAAATTTAACTTTATCAGAATGATTATAATTGATATATGAATTATCCTATTTAATATAAATATTTTCAAAAGTGATTAAAAACCGATAAAATTATGAATTATACGAAATGGATAACATGAATGAACCGGTCAGTATACTAGACTTCGATACCGAAAGTAGTAAAAACCGGTAATAACCGGAATAATCTGGTATCGACCGGTAATAACCGGTATCAGTTACTACCAATTGACAATTGGTATGAGAGAATGCTATTGCCGCGGCAGGGGGTGACAACATGTACACGCTGATGAAGCCGGTCGGGGCGGGTGCCCTCGGCGCTGAGTTCCCGCTGGCCGGCGAGCATGGGCCCGCGCCGCAGCACCTGCCGCAGCCGCCCGCCGCCGAAGGTGGGGCTTCGCTGACGGCCTAGAAATTTGCGGATAGTTCTATTCACTCATTTGTATATGTAGATCTCACGCGGGCTTTCATTCGTATTTAAATTTAAAATAGTATTTTTTCAAAAGAGATTCTTGAATCGGTTTTTGTGATGAAAAGCGATTTAAATATTCTCGTTCACATCCCTATACGGGAAGATCTAAAGAAAATTATACTTTATTCATAGAAAATTCACGAACTAAAACCAATTATTAATTTGACAAAATCAAAATCAGTGATTATTTATTCGTGTAGGCCATTTTAGCCGTTTATGAACGACAACTTTTTTGTATTAATATTTTTTCTACCGTCCAGTTTAGTGTACAGATTCAATTGAGAAGAACTGACAAGAAACTCATGCTATATGTATAGCATGAGTTTTTTACTGGCAAGAGCACCGCGCCAGCGGTTCTTGGCACTAAGAGGGTTAAAATTAATCGTGTTAAAACCCGTTAAACTAATTAATATTATGAACAAAGTAACTAGTAACCTACCATCACGATTCTTATGCGAGATGGAGTAGTCAGAGGCACTATCGACGTGGTGAACATAACACTTAACATATTTACTATTTTATATTACATATTTATTTGTATGACATTATAGTTTTCGTATTCACAATAATTAAAAATAAATACATAGTAATTGTTACACATTGTCTCAAAATTATAGTATCAACGGATTATCTGTGCAATAAAGAATATAATAATATTTCTGGTACAATCTATTTTCATAAGAGCCGTTCAGACTTTTAGTCCTGAAAAGGCAATAAACAAACAGACAGACAGAATTTAGTATTTATAATGTTAGTACGATGTTACAATAGATAATTATTTAAGAATAAGCCACTGATGTAAATCCTGGTTTATGTGACTAAAAATGATTTTAGATATTTGATAATGTAATAACGTCGTAAGATTTGTAAATACCAAAGCACTAAATAGTGAAAGTATTATATAATTAACTATTGCGAGGTGTGAACTAAAAATTAAATAAAAATAGGCTCTACTATTTGGAAACCAAACATAATAAATATATTACAATTGGATTTGAAATCATATTTCTATTGATAAACTGAATTATCACAAAAAATCAAAATTTAGTGAAGTCGCATTGTTAAAATCTTAAGGTAGATTTCCCAACACGATTTTTTGATTTACTCGTAATACACTTTTGCGAAATATTTAATACAGCTAAAATTATAAGTAATTTGCCTCAAAATTGAGCAACGATAACAAAAATAAGGATTTATTCTATCCCAATATTTAAAATGGGAATAGTTTCTCCAAAATTTTATTGGTTCTGTTTATAGATATAATATTCATTTTGATCTATTCTGTGTTAGTCGTAAAGGTTACATCAAGTCAGTGTTAGTATTCATGAAACTGAACAAGTTTCACAAAAAAGTAAACTGAACAACTGAAAATAATTTTTAGATACTTACATGCAAACAACGTGGTCAACGTGATCGATGATGTAAGCTGTTCGAAATGTGTATATTTTTGGTCAGTTTTTTTTCTTAGTGATAGTGGTTCAGTATCGTGGATATTCTACTTATCTTTTCTCTGGGTATACCTTTACGATTGACCTTATATTTTTTGCATTAAATGAATTTATTAGAAGTAAATATTTTGCAAATGAAAGCCCGCGCTTTTTAACATCAAAATTCATTGTAAGTTTGTTTTGCATTTTTTTTTCAGTCGCCTGTCCTCTTATTTCTAGGCTAAATAAAAATCAGGCCACTTTTTTTTCTAAGGTTAGAGAATGAAGCAAATAGAACTAGGGTTAATAATTAAGTATTTATTTTACAACATAGGCGACGTAACATAGCACAGCTATTCGTACGCGATATTAGGAATAAATAGGTTATAACATTTTGTTTGTGAATTCAAATTACACAAACACTAAATATTGCCGGAAACCTGTTATGATATATCAGTGATAACCGCATTCAAATCGGTTAAGTCGTTTCTGATATTGGCGCATAGACAAACATTTTTTGACTTCGTGTACAAATGGTTTTTTTTATTTCCGTCTGTCCGATATGTACGTCTCGTTAAGATTTTTTTTTATATATTTGGATTTAATATTAACAATAATATCGTAAATTGCTTCGCCTGAGATGACCGTATGGCATGTTTAGGCAATGTAATTTACGTGGAAGCTGTAGGCTCGTATAGTAAGTGCCTGAAAGTGCTATACACAAAATTGCCTGAAAATGTCACATACAAGGTTAGTCGCGCGGGTCAGTCATTATTCATGAAACTGAACAACTGTCCCAAAGAACTGAACAACTTTAAAATATTTTATAAAATTACAATAAAATCTTCGCTGCGCAACTTTTTATTCAGTAGTCGGTCGCAGGTTCAATTTCCGTATAATACATGTGTATACATATACATTTCTATTGGTCTGGGTCAATGAAAAAAATAAAGTATTGCTATCAGTTGTTTAAGCATAGTAAAAATTTGTCTGTGTTTTTTTCCATATATATTGTCTGCATTTACAATTAAAAAAAATGTTAGTATTTATATCACTTGTCTAGTACCCATATCGTGCTTATATTGGGACTAGATGGGACTAAATTTTATTATTTTCATATTTACATCTTTTTTCTCTGTAAAAGTGGTTCAGTTTCGTGAGTATTAGCTGAGTTTCGGTTCAGTATACCAATTACGATTAACCCTGTATTCATTATTATTACTGGACATACCGCATGATTCATGCTTTCAACATGGGTTCCATTTTGATATTTTCAACCCCAAATCATCAATTTGGTTCAACAGGGTACTAGAAGTTATGCTGCGGTCACACGGGAGAAAGGTTTTGATGAGATTTCATGTAAACTTTCGTTTTCGTCTGTTGGGGCATCTATAAATTATGTAACACTGATTTCATGTTTCTTTGATCCCTCCACCCATCCTTGTCACAGCTAGTCAAATGTCTGATGGAAGGGAGGTATAGAGGATATCCCTCCCTTCCTAGTGTGACGTCACATATTAAACACTTTTATTAAATATTAATTGCACCCACGATTACGTCCGCATGGAATTTAACTTTATTTTTCTAAAGTAAAAGTAGTTTAAGTTACTCCTTATTACATCAGCTTCCTGCCAATAAAAGTCCCGTCAAAATCGGTCCAGCCATTTCAAAGATTAGCCGGAACAAACAGACAGACAGACAAAAATTATAAAAAAATGTTATTTTGGTGTATGTACCGTATTTATATTCATATGCATATAGTAACGGTTAGTTCAATATTACAAACAGACACTCCAATTTTATTTATATGTATGTATGCGACTATTCGCAAGTTCTACTTAAGGATTTTTAATAATACGTGTAGGGGTGGGGGCCTACACGTATTATTAAAAACAAGGTCTTAAATGTAGTGATGACACATTCCAAAATCGAATATATGTATTTATTAGATTTTGGAATGTAACGTCACGAAGTTTATAAACCTCTCGCCCATTGTCACACTACGTCACACTTTATCGACGACCTTAGAGGCCTCCTTTAAAGGTACCGATAAAGTGTGACATTGTGTCTTAACGCGTGAAGTAATTTATAAATGAACCCTTACGACGAATTTGTGATTTCAGTACAAATTTTAGCTTTGCATAAGCAATGCTTTGATAACTTCTTTGCCCAGAGAAACGGAATCGGAACGGAATCGCTACGGAAATCGTCGCTGAATACCGAAAAGTGTGACAGCAGCACTATGCGGTCTCTCTAGATACAACTATAGTATAATGTATTATTTAAAAAATAATTACTTGGAAAATGGACTTTAGTGCTAAAATTTTAAGGTCGATTTTTTTAAATTTAATATGTATGTTAATACAGTTTATACGTGTGATCTGTCAACTATATATACAATAAACTGTATTAAATCAAAACACTATTAATTAGGAATTAGACTTTATTCTAATAATGTTAAAGTTGATTTTCCAAAACAAATTTTTAGTTAAGACAATTTGTTTGTTGTTCGTATACACTAGCTAGAGTGCAGTAATGTTTATGTTGTTGACTCAGGCTTAGGAGGTGTGGACGGCATGAAGTCATCTCCAGGAGGGGTCGGAGGAGGAGGACCAGGCACGCCAAGGGAAGACTCAGGATCAGGAATGGGAGATTACAACTTAAGTGAGTAGTTCTTTTAATTTTAATTATGACCACAACCTCTTACCAAGGTATACTTTGTTCAAAGTCATCTGCACGGGTACTATCATGTCAGCTATTTAGGGCGTTAAGCATATCATCTACCACTTACATAGTTAGACTTGTCTACAAAGTCTGCGTGGACCTTTGTGTCATCTATTTCGGCCGCCAAGAGAGACACGAAAAATATAAAAGAAAGACATTAAATAAATTTTATTGTCAACTTATAACATGTTCAATATTTCAATATATTTTCTATTTGAGTATTTAATTGAATTAGTACTAATTGGTGGCTTATATTCATACACTTAAACTTAAAAATGTAAAGTAATAATAATATATTTAAAAGAGCAACACGCAAGTTTCTTGCTCGTTCTTCTTGTGATGAGACAGCTTTCCGAACGAGCGGTAGATTAAAAAAATGTAATGACTATTCAAAAGTGCTTCAATGTAAGTTTATTTGAATAAATGAATTTCTATTCTATTCTATTCATGAACTTGAACAACTAGAACAGAAACACTAACTGGAACATGAACCAAATTATAAAAGTATAGGAAATAGACGTTATTAATGGGTATAATGGACCATACTTAGCTTGCTGTCACAGCGCTATTATTATGTACAGACCAAGCAGCTTTGTTAGCTGTCTTTCAGTTATAGGATGAGGCAAGGCATAAGGCAGTGAAATTACAGGGAGTGGCAAGGGTGGCAATAACGTGATGGAGTGCTGTTCACGTATATAAGCGACGGTTACCATTTACCATCAGGAAGGGTAGATAGATAAAAAGCTTTATTTTTTAAATTTTACATTATTATGATGTTAGCTTGTTTGCCATTACAGTAAGAAAAAATATAAACTAGTAAAGAAGCGAAACTAAATTAATAGTACCAGGAGAACATGAATTTATAGGCAGTTTGTTGAGAGATATGGCCAGTGAAATTATAGTGTACAACGTATTAAGGACACTACGGGTGTAACATGATAACGTGATGTCCGTAGTGCTGTTCACGTATATAGGTGACGGTTACCACTTACCATCAGGCGGGATTGCACCTTTTTTACCATTACAATGACAAAAATACAAAGTAGTAAAGAAGCGAAACCACATTAAAAGTACCAGGAGAACATGAATTCATAGACAGTTTGTTGGTATTAGGAAGAAGAAGAAGAAGAAGAAAGAAGAAGAAAAACATTTATTGTCAACCATTTTTACATATACATACATATATACATACATACATACACACTTAGAACAATTACAATAATAATTTATCTTATATTATTTCTAAATATGGTTGGCAACATGGCTGACACTCAGCATATGCCGTGACAGCTAACTGTCACGGCGTTGGTATTCTGTGCCTGCCATTAGTGACAACACGTACAGCTCGATGTCAGTTTTTTGACCTTTGACATCTGTCAGATGTCATTATTGTTACTGACAGCAAAATTTTTTTTTACACGTGTTCGAGACCTGCCACGTACACAATTACAATTTTAGGGATACTACGGGCATCACATGATAACGTGATGTCCGCAGCTGGCCTTTACAGCACCGGACGTTAGGGGACGAGTGCAGATGGCACTCCAAACCCGCGGAAGGACTTATGGAGCGGCTGAAGGCCAACTCCCGCCTGACGATACGACTTTAGTCTGAGGGCACCACTAGGGGTTCGAACCTCGGCTCAGGCCGTCGTAATTTCGATCCCCGTTTGAATTGGACGGGGGATCGATCGGAGAGGTCCATGCGTAGGCGAAAGAATTAACATTGATATACATGTGTAAATTATAGCTAAAAATTGCCATACTTGATAATATTAATATAACTGACGGCCTCGTTGATCTAGTAGTTGAACATACCACCTTACTTTCGATCGAGGTCGAGGTTTAATTCCGACTGTATATATCCTCATGAATATAATTTAACCCCCGATCGTCGGATGTTTGGCGGCGTGCTGAACCTCTAGACAACCGAGGCGGTCATGTTATGATATTATGTATTATTATTATTAAGATTAAGAAACTTTAATAGTGTGTGCAATTATTAAAGTTATGTATATGTTAATAATTACAAATATTAGTCAATTAATCAAATACCAATTTTTTGGGTTTATTAAACCGAAATTAAGTTTATAAAATATTTTAAAGGTTTCGGAGGACCAGGCGGCGACCAAAACGACCAGACGGAGTCGGCGGCCATCTTGAAAATCAAAGAAAGCATGCAAGAAGAGGCCAAACGGTTCGAGAAGGATCCAGAACAGCCCGACTATTTTATGCAGTGAACACAGTAACCCCGGGAGCCAGCCCGCCAAAGTGGTGTAACCCAAAATTTTTGGTATCACATTCAGTTTCATAAAAAGTATTTTGTATGATCTCAAAAATAATTGTTTTGGCGGGTTGGCGCCTCTCAACGATCTGAAGTGAATTTTAATAGAATGACCTTACAAGTTTTATTTATTTATTAATCAGTTAACGATTAAATTCGTTAAAATACATCGGAGCGTTTCGGTACTACAGTTGTAATACAGAGTAATTAATACTAAGTTTTATAAGAGTTCCTTTTGAGAATTGAATCTATGTAACAACTCTATCTATGATTTGAAATAACAAAAGCACAATTTCACACAAAAAAATATTTTTCAAGTGAGGGGGGCAGGTCCATTCCGAACATAACTTTTAAAATAAATCTATGAAAACAATTACCTGCAAATGTGATATGTTAAAAATATTAAAATCATAGTTACGTATACAATAATAAATTGATACCTAGTGAGTCAATATTGGTATGGACTCTATCTGTCGTACAATTTTGGAACTAATTAAATCAAACTTAGTTTCATGCACAAACTTGTTTACTGTTTACCATACTAGATGGCGCTGTATCGTATCTGTTTAGTCTTGTAAAAGAGCTGCTTAACTTCTCTTCCATTATACATCAACAGGAATGGTACATTTTGAGGTACTCTATTTTTAATTCCAACCTCTGTATATGCAATTATCGTTTTTATTTCCAATCAATATAGCTTAAAGTCGATTGACCTTGTTAGTGTGACGTCAAGAATTGTTGTGGTGATACGGATACGCATTTTGTGTCTCGCTCTATCCTTCTGCAATGCTATAAGTACATCCCTGTCTGTACGGGGTTGTAATACTAATTTATACAATATTTATCAATCACGATACCGCTGTACTGTAGCGGTTTTACTTGCAGAGGCAAGGTGTACGTGATTTCCTTCCAGACAGAATGTAGAGGAAAAACAAAATGCCGGACACGAATTTATCAATGAAATTTGAGTTTATTCACTCATGTTCAGCTACGGTTTTGCTAACACAGTTTGAGGCGTTGTATTAACAAGGTACCTACATCATGCTTTTATTTCAATCATACATATTTCTATGATTAAATGATATGATATCATTATAACTTGATAGATCTTTTCACTTTATATTATTTAATTTGTGTTTATAGTACTGAATCGCTCCTCACATCACTTGGTAGCGAAATAGTGAATACAACGGCGAGTTTTATTCGTTTAGTTTTATTGAACTTTTAAATCGAATATGTGTATGTATCGCCTATACATAGCAAGTATTTAATTGTATTTCAAAGTACCAACTTTGTTAGAATTCTATTTTGGATGTGGCATGTGGTTTTTATACGACAAAATAGTAAATTTGTAATGAAACATTGGATTTTGTTATATTTTTAGTTACACCTATTTTACACGGGTGTTACATTCTTATTTTTTATATAAAATAAAACAATTCTGTCTAATGGAAAATTTTGTTGAACAGATATCTGCTTCCCAAATTCCCCCAAATATTTGAATGATCTGTTTCCTCGCCTTTATTTCTTCGATTCCGCATTTCCTCAACTGTTACATAAACCGATCACAAGTATTTTGAATTTACCCTTTTCAGAATACATGTATATATTATATATATCTGTAACTATATATGAAACGTGTAAAGTCACGTTAGATTAAAAGTCAGGCCTTTGTCCAACAGTGGGACTTAGCAGGCCATCAGTATAAAATCACATGCGACATATCAAAATTATATTTTATTACGTATAAGGACGCGCGTACTGAGTTTTCTCCGGGGCGCGTTAAAACCGCTAGGAATAATTTATTTTCCTTCCTTTTTTTTTCAATTTAAAAAAAATAAATCTTCCACTTTTTTTTTAATTAAATTATTTAGTATATATAGGTAGCTAGCAAATTAACTACATCTTCTTTTATATGGCATAGTTTTCCTGTATATTACGGTAAGGATTTTAGTGTGTAATATTTTAATAATACAAGAAAATATGTTTTAACGCAAATTCCGTTATAAAAAAAATTACATTTGGAAACAGCTGTTGCCTCTGTTAAATACTTTATGGGATCAATTAACTGCCTTAGCATCTAAATAAAAACCTGCAAAGAAGATTTTTTTTTTAATTTTAATGCAGCCAAGATATAACCAACATTATGCCTTGTACCAGAGAATGTAGATATTTTGTTAGCGCCTTAAATTTTGTTTTAAGCTCTAATGTTCCTAGATTTGTATTCTTTTTATTTTTTAAGAAATACGTTCGATACGCGTCAGTGCTGTCTGTCGCGTTATTATACATTGTAATTTGTATTGCTGTATGTGATACATCAACGGAGCGTTTAAATACAATCCTTTTTTTTTCAGACCCCAATTTTTTTTATACATATTTTATACAATATAATTATTTACCGAAACTGCTACTGCTAACTTCACAGTTGTTTATACATTATATAAACGAATTTATATTTATATTCACGAGGACGTTTGTAACGGCGTCGAAATATTTTGGAGCTTATAAATACTACTGGCTACTGGCACGGGTGTACATGTATTATATATATAAACCTTTCTCTTGAATCACTCTCTATATTAAAAAAAAACATTTCAAAATCCGTTGCGTAGTTTTAAAGATTTAAGCATACATTAGGGATAGACAGCGACAGTGACTTTGTTTTATACTATGTAATGATTAACAAGACAAATACACAATTTATATAAAATGTACAGTTATACAATGTTAAGAAAGAAATTATAACTTGTTTTCTTATTAATGATTTTTGTATCTATGTACAAATAGGCTTTGAACATTATTGAACGTTTTATCGTGTAACATTGTAATGCTAATGAAATGTAGATATTACATCGTAATAGATAAAGTGATCGTGTAAATTTCGTGTAATTCTTAGGGCGATTCTACACTGTTACAGAAACTAAACTATTACAGAAATGTAACAATGTTACAAAAAAGATATATTAATATCTGAAGCCCTATCTCTACATGTATTGACATTGTGATGCCAATGAAATGTAAATATTACACTGTAAAGGTTGAAGTAAGTGAATATTATTTCGTGTAATGCTTAGGGCAACAATGTTACAATGTTACAAAAAGAAATGTTCACATCTGAATGCAGTTTTAGCCACTACCAATCACGTTTTCCTCAGAGAAGACGCTTTGCGTAGTTCTTTTCAACCAGCATATTCAGGTCCATATGTTGTAACACATAGAGGTGATAAAATGTTTAAATTGCTTAAACCCGCTTTTATTCTTAGTGATCGACACGAGTCTAACAATCAGGATTCCAATTATACTACAAATCGTATTACTCGTTTTGGACGTCGTGTACATTTTCCAGATTTTTAGCCTACACACTCATCATATATTAATATTGTAATGCAAATGTATGTATTAATGTAGATATTAAATTGTAATGGATGGAGTAAGTGAACAATATTTCATTTAATACTTAGAGTGATTGAAATTAACGTTGTCAAACAATATTAAAATAAATGTTCAAATTTGAACGCCATATATTACACGTTTGAAAGGCATTGTGTTTGAACGCTCTGTGTCGTAGTTAAGAAATTATGAACAGGTACCGAGTTTTATTTGTATTCTAATACATTTGTCGAGTGTTATTTTGTATTATTGTTACAATAAAACAATGAATCAGAATAAAACACGACAAATGTAAGTGCAATAGATTAATTAAATTAAATATAGTTTTTATTGATCATTCTTGCAGAATGTTAGTTTGGTTAAGATTTGAAATATTAGTGCTTTAACTGCTGAGGAACTCTGTGAGTGGAGGTGGTCGTTATACGCTTGGCGGTTTTGGGTGTGTGCTAACCGACTAGGCGATTAGCTGTCTTTACGCACTGCTTTCACGCAGGATATAATGTGCATGTAAATGTATACAAAGGGTGCGAGAGACTGCGTGGTTTAGCGCCTTTTTAAAATAATTAATTATCATAGCAAAATGGCGGATTTCTGACTATGGAGCGAAGTTAGTTATAAAATTACTGATAATTTATAAATCTTAAACGTGTCTCTATGGAAAATGGATTCTATGAAATAAAATCTTAATAGAAATTGAATCAAACGTAAACACGTGCGAAAGAGTGAACAAAAAAATTGTTAAATGCAATCTCTCACAATTGCGTGCGCTGTAATTTCAGCGCTGAAGCCTGCGAAAAAAAATGTGTCCTGTAAAAACAGCTGTTGGACGTGTTGTCATCGCTTACATTCTAGAACTATTGTCCATGTAATGTATGTAACATTACGACTTTTCGACACCTCGCCTCAACAGTTAAAGTATTATAATTTGAAACATTATTAAGAATTTTGATAATTTCGTTTAAAAGGTGTTTTGGAAAGTTCTAACAATAATTAAATGAAAGCATTTTAAATGTTATGTAATGGTTTATTAAATTATTTTTTAAATATCACACCTGCAATGTTACATGGTATGTTACGCTGGTTTTATATTGACATGTGTAAACGTTACATGTAAAAATGTAACCATTTTGACGGGTAATAATGTTTTACACAGTTATGAATATATATATGTTGCCACAGCGTATATTTTTTATGTCATTCTAATAAATTATGTATGTAAATTTCTAATTCTCCCTTCCTATATGAAGTTTTTTAATTTTTTTCGGAATGTATACAATATAACAGAATGGATATCGTTATTTTTATTTATTTAAACTATATTTGACGGGCTGGCCAGTGATTTAGCGAACCGTTTTACCTGCAAGGACGTGGGTTCGATTCCTTGCACGATACAGACATTTGTATGACTATAAATGTTTGTATTGGTCTGGATATTTTGTATGTATGTTATATTGCAATGTATTTTTTTATATCAGTTGTCTAGTATTCATACTGTTTGGGACTAGATGGCGCTGTGTGATATATTATTTCGCATTTATAATATATGTATGTATTTTTGATTCAATTTGTAATAAATAAGCATGGTTGTAAACAGTAGACCAAGTCGAAAGTCAGTGATAGTATTCATGGCACTAAAGTATTTACCCAAAGAAGCAACTTATATTTGAAAATAATGTTCAGTTCAGTTCAATTTTTATTTGTTTTATTTCTGTTGCACTGCACAATTGTGATGTAGTGACTCAAAATATACAGAATATGCACCTTGTTAAGTATAGCATCGTGAAATGAGCCGTCTTCAATTATTATTTAAAAAAATATTTAATTTCAAATAACGTAAATTAATTACATTAAAATTTTGTTAATTATTAAAAAAATGTATTTCAGAAATCAGAAATAGAATTAAATAATTAATGATTTTCATGTATGAAAAATAAAAAAGAAATTAGCAACAGAATTCTAAAAATTAATGATTTTTTAGCTTTCAATTGTATTTCTCGGCGAAGTTTGTTAAGTTTGCTTGAGTATTTTAAAAGATATTTGTAAATTAGTTACAGAAATGTAATTTTGTGACTCCATATTAGAGAACGAACCTAACATATTTTACAATAACATATATTACGGAAATATTATAAAGTTGTTTTTAGAAGTTCAAATTTTGTGTTTTAGTGCTGAGATCTTGAAATGTCACGTCACTATTGTACTCCCGACGTTTCGACTACTTTGACCTGTCAGCTCGTGACCACGGCTAGTGCAACCTAGTCGAAACGTCGAGGGAGGTAAATACCTTTATTTGCCATTAAATTATTCGTGTTAATAATATAAATAATGTATATTAAACACGAAAGTTTAAAAATTATGTTACGGTATAAAATTTAAGATCCCTTGTCACACTAAGTCACACTTTATCGACTCCCTAGATT